GAAAAATAGCTAAATCCAGGGTTATAATTAGAGAAATGAAAAACTAAGGGTATAGGAGATTTGAATGACACCATCACCAACTTGATCTACGTGATGTTTACAGAAACTAGTCCTTACAGTGGGATGTACATTCTTGTCAAGTGCACATGAAACATTCACCAACATGACTGTATTCTGGGTCATAAAACAGGTCTCAGAAATGTGGAAGGATTCATATCGTACAGAGTATGTTCCCTGACCACAGTAAAATCAAATCAAATGAATACAGAGGTTTGTTGATGGCAGATTAAGTATGGGACATCCCTCTAAGAGTATGTGATCCCTTGTCTTAAAAAATGAATTTGGAAAAAAAAATGAATTTGGACAGTTTGCACTGATGTGGAGAAGAGCCCTGGTGTATCTTTATAGGATAGTACACAGGATACCCCATTCAATGTATTTTACACTTATTTTAAATGTTTTATTCATTTATGTTTAGATATGGAGCAAGGAAAGTGTGCTAGTAGGGAGCATCTCCAGAATGGGCTATACAGGAGGGGACTCATGACTAAATTAAAATTCTCTCTAGCGTTTGAATTTTTACAACAAAAAGGCATGTACTTTTGAAATCACGTATGGATGGGAAATAAACGTTACTCACTGCTTACAGCTGGGCATGTCACCTGACGGCCCTCTGGCTGTGGCAGTGCTTGTGTGTAGGGAAAGTCAGGCACCTTCCACTGCAGATCCATGCTCCCCAGAAAGAGCCTGGAAGGAAGGAGTATTTTGGGTGTGGAGCTAAGTAAAAAGAAAAGCAAGATTTGGGAGTAAAATGAGAGTAAAACACTGATGTGGCCAGGGGGCAAGCAGAAGGAAGCAACAGTCTGGCCTGGCCTGCATGCTAGACCCCTCGAGCTGACCCTACTAACCCTCTTCTTTCCTCTCCAGAGCCGTCTGCAACTCCTGTAGCATAAAGGTGAGGACCACCTGGGGTCAGAGCGAGGCCCCGTGTCCTGAGCGTCCTGCAGCCTGGCTGGGTTGTCCGGGAATGAGGTGGGGGGTTGACAGAGGCTCTGCTATCTTGAGTCTGATGACCCCCCTCACTAGTCAGTTCTTTCATCTTCTCCTTCCAAGAAGAACCCACTCCTACACTGCCCAAGACTGCAGTGTAAAGACCCTGTGGATGGTTCTTTTTTTAATTATTGTTTTAGCAGGCCAGAGCTAAGAAACCCTTCTCTAAACTCTCCTTCCAACAGCACAATCCTCGAGTGTTTTCGGAAGGGCTCGTTTTATATACAGCAGCTGGTGGTGTCTGTGTACACCTGGGGTGCAATTTGGGTGGCACTCCTTTACCTCTCTTTTATCCCAGAGATAGTCATCTGTTTGAGGGGTTTTTACCACCACAATTTTCAAATCCTTGCCTTTTATGACCCCTCTTCAATGTTAAGTGATGGTTATATACAGGCCACTGGGCTACACCCAGCATGTTAAAAAGGCACACTTTGTTCTACAAAGCAAGGGAACCATGCCTTCAGACACCAGGTGTGAAGGGGCGTCCAGTGAGCAGGTGGGAGCAAGTGACCTCAGGCAGGGTCCTCTGCTGGCCGGGCAGGTGGCCTTTTGGGGGGAGCGGGATGCCTGGAGTGTCTCTCTCTATTGCAGATGAAGATGCCTTCTAAGAAGTTTGCTCACATCCCCGTCTACACACTGGGCTTTGAGAGTCCTCAGAGGGTGTCAACTGCCAAAACCACGCCAACACAGAGAAGAGACGCGTTCCAGTGCGTGCCGCCCTTAGTGACGTTCCTGGTGGGCTGAGAGCTGCGTGGGGGTTTCTCCGCTGGGGAAGGCGGGGGGGCACTGAGTAGTCAGAGCCCAGAGTCCCAGTTCTTCCCGAGGAAGGGCTTTTGTGGGGTGGACTTTGCTCTGCCTGGCGTGGGTGTGGGGGACACAGAGGCTCGGGCAGGGCCCCCTGACGGCACTGTCCTGCCTCAGATCCCTGCAAGGGCTGCAGTGGCGGAGCGTGGAGGAAGAGTTCCCGCATATGTACACCCATGGCTGTGTCATGAAGGATGTGTGCAGTGACTGCACTGGCTTCGTGGCGGATGTGGTACACTCCAGCCGCAGGAGTGTGGATGCCCTCAACACCACGCCACGTCGTGCCCGCCAGACCCAGTCCCTGTATGTCCCGAACACCTGGACACTCGACCTCAAGTGATGACCCGTAGCCCCCGGGCTGCCTGGCAAACGCTTCTCAAGGTGCCCCCAGACGGCCATGCCTCCAGGGAGGAGCCGGGCTAGGCCTGGACCAGGCTGATGAGTCTCCATCCTGGGACAAGAACCCCCATCCTCCTGATGTGCATGTACATATATACATACGTTTATATAATATATACACACAGCCTATATATTTATATTCACGTCCCCTGACCCCCAGAGCTCACTCCAGGACCCTCCCTGGGGAGACTGTTCTTCTCAGGATTCCTTGGGCGGGGTGGGGGGGGTGGGAGCAGGTCTTCTCACTGAGACAAGGGGGGCGGTGGGTGTAAGCAGAGCGCACTCAGAGGTGCTGGGGTGGTGCTGGTCCGGGGGCCCTGGTGATGCTGGAGGTCCTGGTACAGGAAGGCACTCCACAGACTGTACCCATGGCCACTCTTGGCCTAATAAAGGTGGTCTCACAGTCTCCGGTGTGGGGTATGAACTGAGTTCTCCAATTGCAGTGGTGGGCCTGTGCTCTGAGGGCAGAGGCTGGGCTCTGAGGGGTGGGGGCCGTCATGACACGAGGGTGCTCAGGCTCACTCCATGGCCTGGCCATCTTGGTCTTACAGCCAGCAGGGCTGCGTGTGTGACAGCCGCTCAGCCTGCTTTCTGTCACCTGCCAGCCTGGGGGACCCTTCGGCCTGATCCCCCAAACCTCTACTGCTGTTCTCTAGGCAGAGGGTTCGCTCAGGGCCTACAGTCCTGGGGGGAATGTGCAAGTGGGCACCCAGGTGCTCTGCAGTGGGCTTCTGTGGTCACCCCATCTTACAGATGAGGAAGCTGAGGCTCAAAGAGGTGAAGGAACTGACCAAGATGGCACAGCCAGGCCTGCTGGATGCCAGGCTCTAAGGCCTGAGGAGGCCCCAAGGGACAGAACGTGCAGCAGACGGGCCTTCGGGTAAAATGCTTTCTTTCCTCAGCTGGGATCCAGGGACACTGAGCGAGACAGAGAGAGCAGCCAGTAACAACATCCAGTTCCCAGGCTTGTTCTAAGCACTTCCTGTGCAGAGAGTATTATTACCATTTTAAAGTGAGAAAACTGGCACAGAGAGGGTAAGGAATTGTGCCCAGTCACACAGCCAGCAAGGATAAAGCACCTCCAAGGGTGATAACATCCCCAAGGGCACATAATCCTGCAGGTGAGGAAGCAGCCAGGGGACACATGCAGGTCCATGCTCCCAATAGGGAGAGACTTGGGTTCTAATCCTCACAGGGATACTGTGAAATGAAAGCCACCATGGGACAGCTGGGCTAAGCCAGGAGGGCCCACTTGGTTCCAAGGTGAGGTCAGGAGGGAGGGTCTAGGGTTCCCAGTGCTCCTACAGCCTGGCTGCTGTGGGTTTGCCTCCTGCTGAACCCAGGGGAAGAAAGCTCTAGTGTCCACCCAGCAAACCCGCCCCACCTCCGCTCACCTAATGTACCTCCTGACAAAGGGAGGGTGCTCGCTCTAGAACTGTTCACAACCAAGCTTCCAGCTCAGGCCAGGCCTTTGGGAATACTGGGAGAGAATCAGGTCCAGAGTTGCCTGCTCAGGGAGGGCACCCCTCACAGTTCCCGTGCGGTCAACTTAGGGACAGCAGAGCAGGAAGCAGCTTTAGGTGACACCCCCACGTTTCCATCCACAGGTGACGTGACAAGCCTGCATAAGCTAGTCACATCTGGGACTAGCCTGGCCCTGCACAGTCAGAATTTTCCTGAGGAGGGTGGCCTGGAGGTCCTGTCTGTGTGAACTTTAACTCTTAGTCGCCGGATTGGGGCCGGGGTGGGGGTTGAGCAGTAGCCACGTACCAGCCATGGTGAAGGAGTCCCAGGTCCCAGGGACTATCATGGTTAACGGACCAGGGGTGCAGGGCACTGGCACACACACCTGCCTCCCTTCTGGGTCCTCGCCAGCAGCCTTCTTCATCTGAATTCTAGAACCGCAGGCAAGAAGGAAGAAAGACTACATTCTACGTGGACCAGTCCTCTCATCTATAAACGGATGGATATCGACCTTCTAGGGTGACGTAAGAACTCAGTACAGGGATCGGCCTGGTGCCGCGGTCGGAGTCGTCTGACTGACCGCGGCCCTTTGCTCTCCTCCATCATGGTGGGAGGACCCATTTCCACAGCAGATCAAGATTATCTTGCCCTCGCGTTTGGAGCTCTGCAGGGCAGGGGTTCTCAAATCTGCCTGCAAATTCTAGTCCCCTGAAGATCCCACGTTGGTATTTCTAGCGGCGAGTCGTCGACCTTCACTGTAAACCGCCCCCCCCACCCCCGCCCCGGGAGGTTATGACACACGGCCAGAGAGGCGAGCCTCCACGTTAGACCACGGATTCCGCTATCCAGACGTGCGGAAGAATCACCGGGGGCTCACTAATGACGACAAGGGCAAATTCCCAAGGCGGACCCTAAGGGTCGGTTTCAGCCTGTCCGGGGAGGGGAGTCCAGAGGACCTTCATCTTCAGCATGTCCAGTCCGCAGCTTTGGGAAGCTCCTCACCTTGGAGGCGCCTACTTTTAAGCAGGACAGAAGGGTCTCGCTGGCAGCCTCAGAGGCGGCCCGCACAGGATGGACACGTCTGCCCCAGGTGTTGCCTGGCCCCGCCCCCGGCCCGCCCAGCTGACCAGCACTCGGGGCTGGAGGCTCGGAGCCCCACCCCGCCCAGAAGACCCGGAGACACCGGCCGGTGGAGGCTCCCAAGTCGCGCGAGAACTCGCCCGGAAGTGTCAGAACCTTTTCTAATACTATCGACAACAGAGAGGAAGTTCCGCAAGGCAGCAGCGCGCAGACGCGATACGCCAGCCTCGCGCCACCGCGCCTTAAATGCGCAGGCGCGCCAGCCGCTCTCTTTTCTGCTCTTCCTTCTGCCTGTCTCCAGACGTCAGCGGCTGTTGGGTCCTATGTCGCGCCGGGCCCTCCGGAGGCTGAGGGGGGAACAGCGCGGCCAGGAGCCCCTCGGGCCCAGCGCCCTGCAGTTTGTCCTTCATGATGACGATGATGTGGAAGAAGAATGCCCAAAGCGGGGTCCAGGTGGCCGGCGCCCCCGGGGCGCAGGGAAGGAGGGAGTCCGAGTCAACAACCGGTTCGAGCTGGTGAGACGGGGTTACCTGGGGTGGGGGCAGCAGGTGGGGTCGGTGTGCGAGGCGGGTCCGTGACGTCACGGGGCGGGGCGATGAGGGTCTGGGCTGCAGTGGGGAGGGCGGGGCGAAAGGAGTGGGAGGTGACCTGAGGCCAGGGGGCGGAGCTACATTGGGTTTGTTCCGCGGTGAGGGGAGGGGCCATAGCATTCAAGGGCGGGGTAAGTAGGGTCCGGGCTGCCGCGGGGTGGGCAGGGCCTGTCTTGGGGGCGGGCAGGGCCTGTCTTGGGGGCGGGCAGGGCCTGTCTTGGGGGCGGGACCGCGGTGTGGTGGGCGGGGCTTCATTCTCATAGACTGGGGCTCCAACTCTGATTTCAGGGTTAAGTATCTCCCCCGCGGTGCCTTCGCAAATGTTCTCACAACCCAGGACTCTGCCTCTCCCTTGCTCATCGCTTCATCTCCCACAGCAGGTGCCAGGCACAGAGGAATAACGCCCCCACCCTAGGTTCTCCAAAGCTCTGGCTTCAGACTGTAATTTTATTTTTTTTTCTTTTGGCTGCGTGGCTAGTGATATCTTAGTTCCCTGACCAGGACTGAACCTGGGCACTTGGCACTGAGAGCTTAGAATCCTAACCACTGGACTGCCAGGGAAGACCCAGCTGGGTCTGTAATTTTGCATGTGCTGGTTCTGGCTCCGCCGACTGCCTGTGTGGCAGGTAGCGTGTCTGCTTCCTGTGCCCAGCACACACCTGGGGCTCCACACTACCGCCGAGCGTTCGGAGGAGTAGCAGTAGGTCTGAAGATCTGGAAGAAAACACCTCTCTCTTGGTCTGGCTCCCAACTTCACAGGAAGGTGGCACGTTAGGACCTATCCTAAGACAATGGAGAGTGTAGGCCGCCCATCCCACATGGGAAGTTTGGTTTAGAGGTTGTCCATGTCTCTCTAAGGTGAGAAAGCCTCACTCCAATTTCTGCTCGGGGTGGCATGAAATCTCTTCAAAATCTCTGGACTCTCTGTCCACCTCTTCTGAGCCTCCCTGCACTCTTGTTTCTTGTCATTTCTTTCTTTGTAACTTTTTATTATGGAAGATTTCCAACATATGCGAAAACATTGTTACAAGTAACCTTCATGTTCCCCCTACCAAGCTTCCCTGGCTCCCCACGCACAGCCATGTCTGATTGTTTTACCCCAAGGCTCTCATCACATCATTTATCCCTAAATTTTGCAGTTACTTTTTGACTTGTCCCAAAACCCTCAGGGCTTCTTTCCATCCCACTTGTTCACAGTCTGAAATGGGTTTGTGCTGGAGTTGGCCATTTTCATGGATCTTCTGTCAGGGTAATTTCTCCTTATTCTGACATTCTCCAGGTTTAGTGTCTCTCTCTCTCTTTTTTTTTTTTTTAAGTCAAACAATATTAAGTTATTCGGAGAACATTCACACATCCCAGGCACTGCTGTGATGTTGTGTGTCTTACCGTCTGCCCAGGTCATGTTGTCCCCATTGTACAAATGAGGTAGTAAGTGACACTCACTGTGTAGATCCAGGCTTGATGACTTACAGTTGTACTCTTAACCATCCCCTGGTATTTGTCTCTGAGGCATAGTTAGTGTCCCTTCTGAAGAAGAAAGGAAAGTAGATGGATGGTAGGCCAGGGTATGTGGGATAAATGGGGGAAAAGGCAGGTTCTTCTCTGTGTGAACAGAGGGAAAGGATGCTTATGTGGAGCCCCATGAACTCAGGTCAGGGGACTGGCGGCTGCACCTGTCTGTGTGTGCTGTGTGTGTTCCCTTGTGCTTTCCGGTAGGACACTGATGTGGCCGGCACAGACCTTCATCGTGGTCTCTGGATTCACACCTCACCTCCCATCGTCCCCTTTAGATGTTCTGCAGACATCTCAGACTTGGTGTGTCCAAGCTTCAGCTGCCTTCTGCCTCCTCCAGCCCTCCCTGACTGTTGAGGGAGCTCCACTCTCCTGTCACTAAGGCCTGCAGCCTGGAAGTACCCTTGACCTTTCTCTCTCACACACCACATGCAGAGCCTGGTAAGGCCTGGACGGCTCCAGGCACAGTGCCTGCGGGGTGGCCGTTGCCTCCGTGCGAATCATTCTGACCACTCCCGCTCATCCTCTTGTCCTCTGCAGCCTGTCTAGTTGCAGTAGCCACAGGGATCCTGTCAGACCCACATCTGCTGTCAACCCTGCTTCCTTATAGCCCCCGAGGGCCTGGGTCATGTTGCTCATCTGCTGGAGCCACAGGCCTGAAACACAGGTCTCCGGCCATCCCCTCTGCCTGGGATATGCTCTGTTCCCCCGTCGCTCACTTCTCAGGCTTCGCTCAGATGTTGCCTTCTGAGTCTTGCTCATCCTTCCCAATTTAAAATTACATCCCCCTCCCACTCCCGTCCTGGTTCTTCTGATCTTTGTCCTTTTCCCATGGAAGTTTATCACTGAGCAAACCAGCCAAGTTACCTCCATGTTCTTTTTATCTCGTGCTGCTTGCCTCCCTCTGCCTTGTGAGAACGGAGACTTCATTGTTCCCCAATGTTTCCCCACCCCCGGAGTGGTGTCTGCCCCTGTGGGTGTGCAGAGAGGTCCTCTGAGGCCAGCCAGTGAGAGCCTGCACCTAGCTTTACGGTCAGGACCCAGATTTGCATCATGGCTCCACATGTCCTTACCTGTGAGAACTCAGACGGCATTCCTAACCTACGTGAACAAACTTGTCAGCTCCCCTGCTTCCTGCCTCATGGGGTTGTCACAAGGGGTCAGTGAACTCCATGCCAGGCACACAGCACTCAGCAGATGTTGGTACTGAATGATGTTAACAACCAGGAAAGGGTGTAATAGGACTTAAGTGGTTCCCCCACCATCCCTGGGAGTGGGAAGATCTCTAGGGTGTCTGTGACTGGGGCTGTCCTCTTTTCTGACTCTTGAGTGAATTTCCTTGGCCTTCGATTAGAAATCATCTGCCCTACCTCATTCCAAGTGTTTTTTGAAAATCCGTTTTATTGAAATATAATTTATATGATAAACATGCCTGTTTTTAGAGTATAGTTTGTATTTTGCAGCATAACGTACTGCACAACTGTTAAATAGTGTTGTGTAATAGAATTTATTAGTGTTTTGGGGTCAGGGACCACTTTGACAATCTGATAAAAACTACAGAAACTTTTGAAAACTGTCAAGTTTTATTCTATATCATTGAAAAGTTTTAGCAAGAAGACAATTTTTCTCCAGAGAATTGTATGAGTCTGTCTCTCTGTTTTCATGTACAATGCAGTGACCAGTCTCTGAAAGAAACCTCAATTATAAAGGAAATCTAAATTATGTAATTAAATAAAAACAAACTTCTTTCAAAATAAGCATCATTGTTCAGGTTGCTGTTGTTTGACTTGTTCAGTGACCGTTGACCTGCCAATATATGTCATCTCCATCTTTGATGTCCAGTTCAGGAGCAAAACACCTGGCTTCATATTCACAAATGCATGTTTAATATCAGGTGGTGTTAGAACCTCTATAGCTTTTTTCACTGGTCAAGGGCACATTTGGATGAGGATTACCATAGTTTTCTAAGATTCTTCGTGTTAACGTCATGTTACATCAATTGTTTTATCCTTAAGTCTGTGAGAAAATCTTAGCAGACATGGCCTCATTGATGCCAGTGTCTACCTACAGTAGACAGTAGATGTACCTACAATAGACAGTAGATGAGGCTTTGTCCTCCTTGACTACATACCATAGGAGTACTCTGTCAGTATTGCAGAGGTTTAATGTTTTCTCTCTTTAAATTGAAAAAAGAATTAAAATGAAAGGCTTTTTGTTTTTTTTGACCTGCAGGATCTTAGTTCCCTGATCAGTGATCAAACCCAGGCCCCTGCAGTGAAGGCACTGAACCCTAACCACTGGACCGCCAGGAATTCCCCAAACGGCTAATTTTTGTAGAGCCAAAAATAATCTCACAATACACCAAGCAGTGCATTAATAGAAACAAAAGTAAGGTTTCTACTTCCAGTCTTGGCAGAATAACTGGTACTGAAATAACCCTCTTGCCCTAAACAACTACAAGACCAGCAGAACAGTTGAACTAATTGTGTTCAGACATTAGACAACAAACATTGCAGGTCTCAGGTCCCCAAGACCCCCGTGCCAGCTTTCTGCTTGGAGACACTCTCCAGAAATTAGCACAGGAAGGCTGTGCCAGCAGATCGCGGTGCTCTCCGTGAGTTGGGGAGTGGGGGGTAGACTAGATTTGGGGTTTGCAGAGGTGGCTTGAGTTAAGGGAGAGGGAGCTGGAAAGAGGGAGTTCTAGAAGCCTGCTTTAGTTTTGGGCTCGATGCCTGGCTGTTTAGGCATAGAACAACTGGTGAAGAAGGGACAACACCAGAGATTGACCACCACTTGAGCTCATGGGCTTGGGAAGACATTCAGCTCTGACCAACCAGAGCAGAGAGGCCTCAAAGAGAAGCCTGGTGATGAGTGGAGGCTTCCAAAAGACCTTGCTATAGGAGTAGGGCACAGTCACCCTCCAATGAAGAATACCCTATACCCATCCTAAGACAGCCTAAAAATAAAGTTCGGAGGAATTGTGCTAATCTGCAAGTAAATTTACTGCCTGCCTAAACAAATGTCAACACTCTGTTAAGGAAAACTACAAAATGCAGTCACTGGACAGTGTCACATCATGACAATCAGTGCCCACTAAAAAATTCGAAACACATGAAGAAGCAGGAAGATGTGATTTGTAACCAGGAGAAAAAGCATTCAGTAGGAACAAACATGCTGATGACAGACAGTAAAATCATATACAAGCCTAAGACAAGATACAAATATGTTCTAGGATTTAAAGGAAATCATGAACGTAATGAGGGAAAAAAATAGGGAATCTCATTATAGACGTAGAAACTATAAAAGAGCAAATTCCAGAAAGGAAAATATTTACTATCTGGAATGAATAACTGATTCAGTGGTCTGAGTAGCAGATTAGATAATTGAGAAGAAAAGATCAGTGATCTTGAAGTAAGGGCAAAAAAACACCTTCTAATGATCCAGAAAGGGGGAGCGTGCTGGGGAAAATTAGTCTCAGTACTTTGTAGAGCAGTATCAGGTTGTTTAATGTCTGTAATTGGAGGAGCAGAACTGGAGGGGTTCTGCAGAAAAAGCCATTGATGAAATTGTGGTATAAAAAGTCTCAAATTTGACACTGAAGAAAACCTCATAGATCCACAAAGTTCATCAGACTCCAAGTGGGATATGATTTAGCAGTAGTTTAAATCATAATTGTTGAAAACCCATGGTGAAGAAAAGTCATGAAAGAAGCTGGAGGTAAGAGACAGGTTGTCTATAGGAAAGCAATTACTGACCCACTCTGGCTCAGAGGGGGTCCGCATCCTTAAAGTGCATTCTGTGTCCAGGAAAATGTTTATCACAAATGATTATGAAATAAAGATATTCTCATAAACACAAAAGCTGAGAAAAATCATTGCCATAAGGCCTACACTAAAAGAAAACTTCATTTTGAAGGTAAATGATACCAATTGGTAATGTATGTGGCGGAGTGAGGAGTGCTGGATATGGTAAATGTTAGGGTAAGTACACAATGTTTTTTAGTGTTAAAGTTTCTCTTAAAGGTAATTGGCTGTTTGCCTCTTCTTACTCTTTATTTACCTAATGGGGTTTTGATATTCTTTTATTTTCCTTTCTGTGAATGTTGTCAATTCTTTGTGCATTGAGCACGAGGACATGGGTTCACTCCCTGGTCTAGGAAGATGCCACATGCCGAGGGCCATGTAAGCCTGGGCACCACAACTGCAGAAGCTCACTTGCTGTGGAGCCCATTTTCCGCAACAAGAGAAGCCCCAGCAATGAGAAACTCAAGCACTATAACTAGAGAAAGCCCACGTGCAGCAGTGAAGAGCCAGTACAGCCAAAAGTGAATAAATTTTTTAGAAAAAGAATGAGATGACCCTCAAAAGCCGTACACTGTGGGACTAGGCACAAGAAGACACTGGCCGGTGGGTGCAGCGTCCTGGGACAGGCTAAGTCATAGTGGTGAAAAGCCTAGGACTCGGCAGCCTGAGCAGGAGGGCTGGCTGCCAGCCAGGCTGTCCCGTGGCCTGTGTTTCTGGTTCATGGAAGGGCCTTGTCTATCGACCAGAGTTTGGGTCACACACCTCCTCCAAAACTTGTCCTGTACATTCATTTCAAAGAGTTTTGATAAAAGCTTCCTACCCCCAACAGCGATCCAGCCCCTCCGCATCCTCACTATTAGTGTGCTTCGTGCCCTGTCACACTGTGGATCCCAGAGTGCACACCAGCAGTGGACAAGAGCCTCTGGAAGTTGGCATCTATTTAGGACCTTGAAGCTGATGACGGACCCGAGGCTTCTGGATGGCGAGTAGGACACGTCAGGGTGCTGGACAAAGGTGCTGGGCCGGCACCGGCCAGTGTGGGTAGCAGTGAAGCTGCCGGTGTGCAGAGCCCTTTGCGTCCTGCGTGCACAGTCAGAGATTTTCTTTCCAGGGAAGTTGACCTTGGCATGGAGCTTGTTATTAATTGAAATTTCTCAAAACTTTCTCAGAGCTTCCAAAGGGGGCTCGAAAATGAGAGTTTGTTTGAAGGAAGTGAGCAGGACTGAAAAGAGAACCAGTCCCTAACTTCCCAGAGGTGCAGGATCCTGGACAAAGTGTGCAGGCTGTTCCTCCAGGACTCCCGCCACAGAGAAGAAACATCAGAAGACCCTTCTGGTACTTCCTCCGTTTGTGGTGCTGGTGTGGGGAACAGCCCCCCTCCCTGCCGCTCCCCTTTTCCAGTCGTTACAGAAGAAGAGCTGTGAATTTGAGGGACAGGCAGCCATCACACAGCCTCACACTTTGTCCCTGCCCCATGGGAACCTCTACTGCTGAAGACAGGAAACCAGGGCACCCAGACAGGCGTATGTCCCTCCCTGAGACCTTCTGTGGGAGCCCAGGCCTGCAGGAGCAGGCAGTGCACGGTCGCTGAGGATGTCGTCCCAGTTTTGTTTTGAAATCATCTTAGGGCTCTGGGGTTAGAGTGGATTTTATTTTTTGTTTTTTGAGCTTTATGTTTTTCGGATGTTCTGAATCGAATGTGGTTTCATTTCTCTATTTTTGGACCTCAGCAAAGCAGCGTGGGCCCCTCAGCTCTGGCTCTTGGAGCCTGGTGGCTGCTGCTGCGTTGCCTCTGGCTTGCTGGTTCGTTTACTGGCCAGAGGGCCAGAACTTGTTCCGTGACCCCTCTCAAGAGCAAGGGTGTGCGTCTTCCGGGACCTACCATCCAGCATCGGGTCCCTAAGGCTTGTGTGCGTGCTTGCTTGTGGCTTATCCCTGTTCACTACCAACTGAGGTCCCATCCTTAACTCATGCATGTCACCCACCTTCTCCCCAGTGCTGGTCCTGTCTGCCAGTGTAGACTGGCTGGCTGGAGTCCAGGTGGGAAAAGGGAGCAGTGAGGTGTTAGCCGAGCGAGTATATTTGCAAACCATCTCTGGAGTGGTGCTCGGAGGGGGAGCACTTGTCACTGCTGAGCACAGATGACGTGGCCACATGGCACTCTAGCGTTCTCTGGGGACCCTAGGCTGGTGATGTTCATGGTCCTCCCCTTTATGACGTCAGTGACCTGATATGCACCCGCCCCTCCAAGACATGCGTGTCTCAGATTCACCTTTGTAATTGATGACTAGGACACAGCCCTAACACCCTTGCTCCCCCATCTTTGTTTCCAGATAAACATTGAGGACCTTGACGAGGCACCTGGGGTAAATGGGGAGAGGACAGACTGTCTGCTTGTGGATGCCGTGGTGTCAGGGAACAAGAGGAGGGCCCAGAGCGGGCACTCAGAGTCCACCAGGGGTGGCGATGCAGCAGACACGGCAGTTCCCTCAGAGCAGGTGCGGCCCACCCTCCATCCCGCTGGCGTGCTCCAAGGGCTGTTCTGTGACTTGCCCAGCTGCCTGGATTGCCTTGGGGGCCATGATCAAACTTGCATGGACTCCTCGAGACTAGTGGTGGCTGGGGAAGGGCCACAAGCAGGGGCCCCTAGGCACGTCTCCCTGGCACAGGGCCTGCCTCCCACATTCTGGGTGTGTTGTTTGCGACGGGGTGGATGCTCCTTGAAGCATATAGGCTAGGTTAGGGTTGGATGAGAAGGGGTCTTCTAGGAGGCCCCTCATCATTCACCTGGCAAGTGCTCACTGCAGGCCTGTCTGTGCCCTCCAGGGGCCTCTGGTGCAGCTGGGCACCTGACTGGTCTTGGGATGTTGGGGGCTTCCTTAAGGACCTTTGCACTGATGGAAGGGAGGTGGCTGGGTAAAGGCACAAGAGATCTTGAGGCAGGGGGCCTGCAAGTAGGGGGATTCTGCTGAACGCTGTGGGGAGTGGCTGACACGGTGAGGCATGGCAGCCGAGGGCAGGTGGCTGTATGGTCCAAACCCCGTGAGTTGTCAGGGACTCCTAAGAAAGGTGGGGTGAGACCAGAGTTGGGAAGGCTGGGGGAGGGTCAGCTGCTGGAGAGAAGTGGGTGTGTTCCTAGGGGATTCAGAAGGTGGGCGGTTGGACGACAGGCCTGCTGCCATGTTCCCCTCAGCTGACTACCCCCCTCCAGCTAGTTCTTAGGTTTAAGATGTCCTCATCTCTCTCCATTGAGTGAAATGTGTTTCTTTTGTTAGTCCAATGCAAGTAGCAAACTCCGCAAGAAGAAAAGAAAACAGAAAAATAAGAAAACCGCAGGAGAAACCTCGGTATGTACAGCTGGCAAATTTCCTCTCTGTTCTTTTCTGTTTCTTGAGGTGGTGTTGAAAACAGGCCAGTGTTACTTGATATTTTGTTGACTATTCAGAGGTTTGGGGAAATTAGCAAGCTTGTTCACTTAGATCCCAAAGGCTTGGAGCTGTCTGTGCTGTCCATTTTCCAGCAAACATCTGAAACGGTGCAGACTCTGAGTCCCTTCCTGGTCCGTGGTTCTGACTGTCCATCTTATGACACACCTCTCCTTTGTCCTCACTGTACCTGCAGTACATGGTGTTCAGATTGGACTGTCTTTCAGGAAGGCGACACGATATAATACTTACTTTTGGTGAAAGTAGATTTTGCTGTTGATTGCTCCGTGTGGTGATGTGTGTCGTTTGGGACTCTCAGGAGAATGGCCTAGAGGACATTGACCGCATCCTGGAGAGGATTGAGGATGCCAGCGGCGCCAGCCGCCCGGGCCCGCCCCCCCTGAGCACCAAGAAGCACGTCCTGTATGTGGAGCACAGGTGCGGCCTCGCCGAGTGAGGAGGGGGATGGATGGTGCTGACCTATCAGGACCTTTCTCTAGCTCCGTGTGCCTGGAGTATATGACCTCCTCTGCTCCTGTCCCTACTGCCAGCTGCGGCCTCCTTCCTTCCTAAGGCAGGGAAGACCCCTCGGTCTCTTGCCCAGTGGGTGGTGGCCAGCATGGTCATGGGCTGTGTGGTTGCAGAGAAGGTCAGCTGGCAGGAGAGCGATTTTTCCCATTGGGTTCTCATGTGACTTTCTGACATTCCCAGGATTGTTGTCAGAGCACTCATCTTTGTTTTTTTCTCTAAAATTTTCAATTCTCTAGACACTTGAATCCAGACACAGAGCTGAAAAGATATTTTGGTGCCAGAGCCGTCCTTGGGGAGCAGAGGTGAGATCACTGCTGTGTTTTCATTGAGGGGGGTGGGGAGGGGCTTTAGAGCCACATTGACAGGCGGAGTCCCAGGGTCCGAGCGGAGTTGGAGAGAAGTCTTGTGGCCTCGCCCTCCGTCCATCACCCCTGCTGCCCACCAGGGTCCTAGTTTTACAAAGCCTTGAAATCTCAGCCAGATGCATTTTTGCTTTTCAGTCAAGAGCAACTCTGACTTGGAGTTCGGGTTCTGACAGAAGTCTGATCTTTGTGAAGTGTGTTCTGTGGCTGCAGCCGTGTGTTCAAGGCCATGGGAGCGCCCAGAGCACTGCGATCCCAGGCTCCCGTGGGAGGGGCTGTTGTGCCTGGTGCTCCCTTGCAGGCCCAGCCCCAGCTGAAGGAGCTTTCCCTCTGCCTAGGCTTTATCTTTTCAAGTGCATGTGTTTCTGATTGTAGGACTCAGTGCGTCTGTAAAACAGCTACTTAGTCCAGCAGCTCCAGTCTGGTTGTCTGCTGTGCGTTCTGGGCCTGCAGGTCCTGCTGTCTTTCACGTGCCTGGTTTGCCTGGCTGAGCTCTGGGCACCATATACCAGGGCATGGGTGGTGGGGTGTGTTTGACAGCAGCCCCTTCTGGCACTTGGCGTGGGGGTGCCACCCACTGCCCTCTTGAGAGTTGAACCGCCACCCCCAGTCTGGGTGTGTCTTCCTGCTTGGACCCATGGCAGGCGTGGGAGGCTTTAAAGCCTGTCGTGATAACAAGATGAAAAATAGTCATGTGTTGAGTTTTGTTGGTTTGGTTTTTCTTGGCCTTGCTGCTCACCATGAGGGATCTTGGTTCCCCAGCCAGGGATCAAACCCATGACCCCTGCAGTGGAAGCACAGAATCTGAGCCATTGAGTTTCTCATTGTGTTTGCTTTATAATTTGCTTTTATTTTTGGTGTTCAGTTATACAGGACACAGGGGTCTCTGACTTTGTCTTCTTTTTTGGAATATTAAGGAAGAACGGGTTTTTTTTGTGTGTGTGTGTGTTCATTTACTTTAATAACACTACATTTACCATGTTATCACCACGGAATGTAAATTCAGGTTAGACAAGAGAATTTCACAAGTACAACAAAGCATTCTGTGATATACCAAAGTTTGTATAATGTCTGACCAAACCAGCTTGCTCATCAATGACTTCCATTATAGGCATTTTATTTAGTTGATGATTCTTTTGGAGAAAATAAACATACTGCACACATTTATAAAGTGTTTATCATTTACCTTTGCATTAGCACTTAAAATACATGTTTCAAAATAATTTAAAATTATTCTAATATAACAGCAGCAAAATATAATTCTGCAATTACAAAAGTGCTAAAAGGGATCTACAATTTAAGTTACTCTCATGTTTATAACTATGATTCTAAAATAAATACTACTTCAAAGTGGCTCTGTTACCAGCGTTTTAGGTTTGGTTTAAAAACACACATAGACTTGCAGGGAGATTTATAATGTTCCACGCACTGTTCTGAAAGGGTTCCTCAAGAGCCAACCAGCCCTTAAAACAGTACTCAGTCCACAAGGCAGTCAGAAAGTTAAATTAACTGGGGTATATAGGATTCTCATATTACATCAAGAGCATATGATATTCTGCAGCAACTGGGAGCATTTTCAGGATTGGCATGTTGTCTTCTTTAGAACTAATTTCAACAGAAGGGTTTCAGAAGGTGGACAGGTACCACTATCAAGTGTATTTAAAAGTGACGTGTTTCTTTGGTGCTGATCTGACTCCCCTGAATGACCTAGCTAGTGAACTAGTCACCAGTAACTTGGTCACCAGGCAAATCGAGCCTGCAAGAAAGGAAGCCAATATTCAAATTACCATGTTCTTGTCTGACCCAAACCATTTATTTTCCGCATAAACATATAACCTCAATATGAGATGTCTAACTAAAGCAAGCACCACCAAGAAGACGAAGACAGCATCTCCTCTTCTAAGGTTTAGGTTTTCCCCAGAATTCTTGATACAGGGAATAGCCCATACCAAGAGTCATTACTCCCACAACAAAGCCTTGGGCTGCCACACGCATGTGGATCAGGTGGACAGACATTTTAGTATTTCCTCTGCTCTTCAATCTGTATAATCCACATGCAACAATTGCTGCAAAACCTGCCATTCCAATGGGGACAAATGGTGCGTCTCTAGCTTTTCGGATAAGTTTAGATCCCTGATCTTCATCATATGAAGAAAGAGAAGTATCTGTGTCGCTTGACATAGTGATTGAAGAATCTTTGGACAACCTCAAGATGTTTCAGGTTCCTACCGGATTCAGGAAGAACGTTTTTTTTTTTTTTTTCCATTTAACTTCGCTCTGTATAATGGGCTCCAGTTTCATCCATCTCATTAGAACTGATTCAAATGAATTCTTTTTAATGGCTGAGTAATATTCTATGGTGTATATGTACCACAGCTTCCTCAGGGAAGAACGTTTTTAACTCAAAATGTTCGTCTTTTTCACCTGGGCTCCCCTGGACTCTACCTTCCACCTTGCTTCCTTGCGTCCTCTATTTGCCATCTGCCTGGTCTTTCTGTACCACATCTTTACATGTTTGCCTGATCGTATTTCTGTGCAAATTACAGTTGTTAGTGTACTAGTATTTAACAGCTCTGCATTTATGTTTTCAGTGGTAAACTGTACTTTTTATCCCATTTACTCCTTTGAACACTTAAGTCCTGTGTACAGGCTCCCCTGAGTAGCTGTGGTCTCTCCTGGGCCGCTGCCCCCACGCGTCTCTGGCCATCTCGGGACCTCCAGGTGCCCTGTGCGCCTCACCTTCTCTGCTGCTGGTGTCTGCCCCGCGTTGGCACACCACCTCCCAGGGCAGCCTCTCCTGCCTGCCTGGCAGCCCCCTGCAGGGCTGGACCCTCCCTCGGATTCCTAGACAGGACAGTTCTGAGTATTTGATTAATTATCCTTTGTACACCTTACTAATCACCCAGAACCACCCCACATTTCAGTTTCCTCCAGGTTTTGACCACTGTTTTCTTGAAGAGTTGTATTTTCTCCTGTAGTTTTTTACTTTTTTTTTTTTTTGGAGTAAGTGGGATTTTTAATAATTTATTTGGCTGCATTGGGTCTCAGTTGTGAGATGTAGGATATTCATTGTGGAATGCTGGATTTTTGGTTGTGGCCGTTGGGCTCCATAGCGGGGAAGCTCAGCAGTTGTGACGTGCAGGCCTGGTTGTCCTGCGACCTGTGGGATCTTAGTTCCCTGACCAGGGATCAGATGCATCCCCTGCATTGGAAGACGGATCCTGAACCACTGGACCACCGGGGAAGTCCCAGTTTTTTACTTCTCTGTTAGAAGAAGGGTCATACTTTTTCATCCCATTCCTCACCTAATCCAGATTCTTACTCATTTTTTTTTCTTGATGAAATAATTCAGATAATCAAAGAATTATGCAGAGAAATATAGATGAGTCCACTAGGCCACTGCTGCTCAGTTCAGTCATGGAGGAGGAAGCCTTTGGTGTGACCCTGGCTGAGGGGAGGGGCTGGCGCCTGCAGCAGAGAACACCCCCCATAAGAGGTTGGGAGAGGGCTGGGGGAGGGAGTGGCCCACGGCCCACTCGTGCTTATGTGTGTGTGTGACTGGCTTTCTTTCTCCAGAAGTGTGCTGGTGTTCGGGCACTGATGCCCCATCCCTCTGGGGTTTATTGGTGGCCCCTGCTCAGTGGGTCATCATCCAGGGAGGCCAGCGCATCTGCTGGTCACTGCAGGCTCCCTTTCTCCTTGTTGTCTTCACATCAGGTTCCACCTTGTGCTGCTTTTTTACCTTTCCTGCTGTTTCACTAGCCTGAGTTTCCTGTTTTTCTTACCTCTGCGTGTGTGGTTTGGTCTCTCGGATCTCAGTCTGCAGTCCCGTCTGGCAGCCTGATGGCTGTTGTCCAGACAATTTATATTCTGTTCTTGCCCACCGAGGTAAAGTCATGCCCTGTCCATTCTCCCCAGGCCGCGGCAGAGACAGCGCGTGTACCCTAAGTGTACATGGCTGACCACCCCGAAGAGCACGTGGCCCCGGTACACCAAACCAGGTGAGGGAGTGGGGCCGCCGGGCTCTGTGCGCGTGTGCTGCCGGGGGCTCCAACGTCTGGGCTCAGACCCCATCCACCGTCTGTCTTCTCAGCCATGTGGTAATCCGCTTTTCTCCACCTTCTCCCTTTGTGCTGTGGGTCCTGCCCCACAGGAACCCAGCAAGTTCATTCTTAAACTGTGCTGTTCTGTGTTCTGTTGCAAACTCACAAATGCACAGAATTCAAAGATCAGCAGCAGAGTAGAAAGGTTTGGATGTGGGGTAGTGCCCTGCTGGGGGCTTGGCTGTGTGGCGTGAAGGATGGGGGTGCCCTGCAAGACCCCTTGTGCCCAGTAAGGACCTGGTGGGCACCTTGTCCCCCTTGCCCTTCCCTCCCATGTTCCCAACAGTGGCCCCTGACTGCAGGCAGAGGACACATTGGCATGGGGTCCTGGTGGGCTGGAGTAGACTCTGTCAGAGACCGTGGCTAAGGGCATCCCCAGACCCTAACGGGTCTCACGACGGTGCTGAAGGAGATGAAGTTGTCAGGCTTCTCAGACCCTGAACCCGGCACCCAGCGTCACCGTAGGAGCAGAGGGTGTCATGAGTTAGCAGTCCCTATCACCTCAGGGGTGACATCTGGATCCTGACTTTAAGCAGACCATGTCCGGGGCTGACCAGGTGTGGTGGGGTAGTCAGGCTCTGCATGTGCCCCTGTTGTCCACGTTCCTGGGGGTAGAAAGGGTAGAAGGGGCATCGGAGGTGTGGCCTAAGTCGCAGGCAGTCGGCTCTGGGCATCCTGACGTGGGCAACCCCCACCCCAGGTCTGTCTATGCGGCTGCTGGAGTCCAGGAAAGGCCGCTCGGCCTTCACCTTTGAGCACAGCGAGGAGTACCAGCAGACACAGCACAAGTTCCTGGCTGCCGTCGAGTCCATGGAGCCCAACAACATTGTGGTGCGTGGGTGTCCTGGTGTGGTCCTGGGGGCGTCCGGAGGCCCAGGGCCTGCCTGGGTATCATCTCATCAGCGCACGCCGCCCCCCCCCTCCCAAATAGGTCCTGCTGCAGTCGAGCCCCTACCACGTGGACTCACTCCTGCAGCTTAGCGATGCATGCCGCTTTCAGGAGGACCAGGAGACAGCACGCGACCTCGTGGGTAAGGCCGTCCAGCAGCCAGCGCCTGCCTGCATATAGGCGGGGACGCTCTGTGAATACAGCTTTATGGATCTAGTGTACACACAGCTCTTCAGCCACCCCCCCTGCTGATTCTGGGTCATTCCCATGGGGCATCAAAGGACCTTGACCATCAGCTTTCACCTCCCCTGCCCTGCCGCTGGCAACCACCAGTCCATCCTCTGTCTCTGGACTGTCCTGTAAATGGAATCACAACCCTGGTGTCTCCGTCTGGTTTCTTTCATTTATCACGATGTCCTCAGGGTTCACCTGTGTGAGCCCTGTGTCAGCATTTCATCCCTTCATTCATTCTCCCAGCCGGTTCCCACCCTGGCTCCCGGGAGTTGGCCCCTGGGGGCTTCTGGGTTTCTTGAGGGGTGTGGCCAGGTCATGCCTCCCCTTTGGGTGTGACTGACACCCGCTGTGTGTCTGTCGGCTGGCAGAGCGTGCACTGTACAGCATGGAGTGTGCCTTCCACCCCTTGTTCAGCCTCACCAGCGGGACCTGCCGGCTGGACTACCGCAGGCCTGAGAACAGGTGAGCCGCCCGCCCGGGTGTCTGTGGGCCACACTGTGTTCCCTTGCAGGGGTCGTAGGCGTCACGACATGAGGGCCCGACAGTCTGTGAGGGGCACCACTGGGATCCTAGGGTATCTCACTGTGTTTAAAGCTCGGATGCAGGAGGGCTGGGCCCAGGGATGGACAGGACTGGCCGGCCTGGGGTTGATACTCGTGGGCAATAGGACAGAAACCATCAGCCATTTCACCACATAGGACCTGCAGTTGTACTTCCACTTGTGTCTGGACTCAGGGTCCTCTGGAACGCCTGTTGGCAGGTGTGCATGCTGGCGGTGCGATTGCAGTCATCATGTCCACATGCGGTGGTTGGTCACATGCACATGTAGGACCCTCTTCCTGTAGATGCCCCTCCCCCAAAGCCCCTGCTCAGCAGTGCGGCCTCCCACCTGGGCCTCTGCCTCAGGGCCCCGCACATGTGGGCAGGCTCCACAGCCCAGGCTCCCTCTCCACCCTCCTGTCGTGTCGCACGTGGGCTGTGTCCCCCAGCTGGGGGCTGTGCTGTACCCCAGGGCACAGGGCCGGTCCTGAACTTTCTTGTGTCTAGTTGTATGAGCTCTTTCCAGTGAAACTCTTAGTTCTTTGAGATGCTGAAAACACTGACCTTCCTGGCATTAGCAGGCACTTACAGGGCAGTGGTGACAGTTGAAATTTGAGGATAAATGAAGATGGTGATTACAGTTTAAGATGTTAAGTCTCTTCCCTTAAACGAGAGTTACTTTTAAGAGAAAGCCCGAGAAGATGGAGGTCTCCACTAACATATCAGCTTGGTTTTCTGTCCGTGCTCCCACACGTGACTGCAGACAACAAGCAGAGTCACCTTCTCTGCAGACAGGACCCTGGCAAATGTTGGCGCTGATTAGGCCACACGGGATACGCCAGCGAAGCCCACGGGCAGAGGGTGGACGCGGTGTTGGACGAGGCGCCGGGCGACGTGCGGTGCGGCCTGCTGCCGCGCTCATTCACGAGGAACTGTCTTGGGTCTAGGAGCTTCTACCTGGCCCTCTACAAGCAGATGAGCTTCCTGGAGAAGCGGGGCTGCCCACGCACGGCGCTGGAGTACTGCAAGCTCATCCTCAGGTAGGGGCCGCCGCAGCTCCCCGGCCTGGGGCTGCGGCCCTTGGGCGTCCGCGCCAGCCCACTCTGGGTTTTGTCTCCCTCTGCCTGCCCTGCTCACCATGCTGCCTCCCCCTGGAAGCCTGGAGCCGGACGAGGACCCCCTGTGCATGCTGCTGCTGATCGACCACCTGGCCTTACGAGCGCGGAGCTACGAGTACTTGATCCGCCTGTTCGAGGAGTGGGAGGTGGGTGTGCACACAGGCCAGGCAGGGTGGGGCCTCCAGGGAGGCTCTGGGGCAGACCCTAGTGCTCCTGCCTCTCCCTGCCTTGCCACCTGCTTACAGGTGAGTGCAAGCGCAGAGAAGGCCTGGGGGAGGGGATGGCCATCGGACCCCTGGACACATTGGTGCCGGAGGGGTCTGAGACTGGGCAGGAGTGAGGACACCAGCAGTCCCATTGATGACCTTCATGGTGGCTTCACGTGCAAGTGTTGCTGTGTTAGATGTGCTAGATTGCATGTAAGGTATTAGCATCAATTTCACCCGTTTTCTTTTAATTTGCTGCTAGAAACTGTATACTGATGGTGTGCTCCTATTGGGTGGTGCTGTCTCGGGGGACACCTCCGGTCAGGAGTGGGTAGAGGCAGGAGGTGACAGCCATTACTGCTCTTTGAACTTCCTCATAGCACATGCCGGTGTATAATTGAAGGCTAACTACATGGATCCTTTTGAACTCTGGGCCTGTGGTGTAGTTGGGCAAGGATCCCCACCCATGGGGTCTAGTTCACACAAGTTCCTGAGGTCACAGGAACACAGCTTCAGGGGCTGTCCCTGAATGTTTGGGGTGAGACCATGGCTTCATCCTCACAGAGCATCATACATCCTGTGTGTTTTGCCATGTGCCCGTGGGCAGGGTGGTGTGGGCCAGGCGTCAGCAGCTGTGGAGGTGGGGGGTGGTTCCACTGCCCAGATGACCCTGAGCCTTGGGAAGGGGGGCATCCGGCCTTTTCTCGCTCACCCGGCCTGCCTCTGTCCCCACACCCGGGTCCTTTTATTTGCCTTTCTGCACAGAGGAAGGGACAGCATGTCCATGGAAGCCATGTGCCCGTGAGCATCACCCTGAAGCCCTTCCCCTTCCCCTTGTAGGCCCATCGGAACCTGTCCCAGCTCCCAAACTTTGCCTTCTCTGTGCCACTGGCCTATTTCCTGCTGAGCCAGCAGGCAGACCTCTCTGAGCAGGAGGTGAGCTCTGCGAGAGAGGAGGCCTGTGTCCGGATCCAGCAGGCACTTACCATGTTCCCCGGAGGTGAGTGTGCCTTGCAGCCCCAGGCACGAGTGGGTCCCATGCCGGCCCAGCTCCCGATGATGCATCTGAAAGCCATGTGTGCTCTCAGAGCATCTGTGGGGCTTAGGGTGTCTTCAGATATTGACAGTTCTAGCAGAACTTGTCACCTGAAGCATATGCTTCCAGGGAGAGGACACTAGGCTGGGTGTGACAGGAAGCAGGGTATCTGTCCTTGTCCCTTGTCCTGAGGACCCAGTTCTCACTGGGTGAGGAGCTCGGGGTCGGGGTTGCCCCGGGTTCTCTCTGATGACCTGCCGGTTTCCATGGGCCCCTGAAGTCTGGCTGTGTGGCTGGGAACAAGGCCTGCTGCCCCATCAGGCCCTTGTGGGGTTGCAGTCCTGTACTGTGTGTAGTTCCCGAGGGGCTCCCTCCCCGGTGGCGAGCCTGCCTGTGGGTGGCCTGGTCACTCAGGGCTTCCTGCTCATCTCGATCTGGCTCCATCCACGCGTGGGGCTGCCTGGCTGGGTCTGAGGGGAGCTGACCCTGCCCCATTGAGACCCCTGCACAGGGAGGTCACTCGCTTCATGGGGAAGCCCCATCAGGCAGGTGGGCAGCTCTAGTGTTGCGTGTCCCAGGGAGAGTGCTGGGGGAGGGTCTCTGATGACAGCATCCAGCGCACGTGCTCCAGAGTCCTGGGTGAGCCTCAGCCTCAGCCCCTCAGGGTGCCGCCCTGTTCCCCACAGTGCTCATGCCCCTGCTCGAGTACTGCAGTGTGCGCCCCGACGCCACCGTGGCCACGCACCACTTCTTCGGACCCGACGCCGAGATCAGGTACAGACTGGAGGTGCCTGGGGCCTGGGAAGCGACCACCTGGGTGTCAGCTTGGGGCCACCGCAGCGTGTCTGCCGGGCAAGCATAGTGTTGTTGTAGCTATGCATGTGGTCCAGATGCCTGTGTTGCCACCTGCTGCCTTTTAAAATTTCTCATGATAAATGAAGAAAAACCTGTGACTTGGGAGCCAGGCACCTCAAGGCTGGTCAGTACACCAAGGCGAGTCCTCAGGTCTGTGTCCACAGGTGCACACATTCTCCGAGTGTTTATGTTGGCATTGGGGAACTTGTTCTTAGTAAGGGTGCTCGCTTCACAGAAGGAAACGCCTAGGGGCCGCGTCCCGGGGCAGCAGCCCCCTCGGGGCGGCCTCCATCTGCTCCAGGTTGCCAACAGCCTGGGACCCCCAGAGCACCAGTGGGCCCGTGGAGCCGGCCCATGGGGTCTCACAGTCCCCGCTGCCCACAGCCAGCCGCCTGCCCTGAGCCAGCTGGTGAGCCTGTACCTGGGGAGGTCACACTTCCTCTGGAAGGAGCCGGCCACCATTAGCTGGCTGGAAGAGAATGTGCACAAGGTCCTACAGGTGGTGGACGCTGGGGACCCTGCCGTGGAGGCGTGTGAGAGCAGGTGAGCCCGGGCATGGGAGTGAGCAGTGTGGAGGGCCGGCCTGTCTCTCGGGGCCGCGGCCTCCTGCAGCGCCACCCTTGTCTCCCGGCCCCAGGCGCAAGGTGCTGTACCAGCGGGCGCCTAGGAACATCCACCGGCATGTGGTCCTGTCTGAGATCAAGGAGGCTGTGGCCGCCCTGCCGCCGGTAAGGAGCAGGCTGACTGCGGGCTCTATCCCTCCAGCAGCTCTGCCCCCATGTCATGGTTCATGCAGAGCCCCCTGAGAGGCAGAGCCATGCTTGCAGCTTCTGTGATCTTACGGGGTGCAGAGCGGTGACCCGATGGCTTGGGGCCCATGGCCTATAGCCAGCAGTCCTGACATTTGGGGAGAGTCACAGCACCTGTGAGCGGAGGCCCTGTGATCCCCACACATGTGCTTGTCCTGGGTCCACCCCGATCCTCAGAGCAGACAGCCTGAATGTCCTGGTGGACGAAGCCCCCCGCCCCAGACTTCCCCGACAGGGAATGTGGCCCGCTCCCAGCAGAAATATCCGGTCCAGAGTCGAGTCAGCTGAAAGCAGCCTGTGCTCTTTGTCCTTTTCCATAGGATGTGACCACACAGTCTGTGTTGGGCTTCGACCCTCTGCCCCCTCTGGACACCATCTACTCCTACGTCAGACCAGAGAGGTATTGCTTTGCTCCTGGGCTTGCACTGCTCCAAGGTCAGTGCTGGGGCTCGGAGGGTCTCAGAAAAAAGAGTCAGCCTCTGCAGGCTGTGTTTTTTCACGTATCCCTTCACCCAAGGCCATTTCTTTGTCAGGTTCTGGAGCAGGTGGTAGATACAATGGGACATGGGTATTGAATCCAGGAGTAAATGTAGTCAGAGCTGGTGTAAGAACCTGGAGGAGACAGCCATGAGCCTGGGGTGTGAGGGGCAGCTGGTTTCCCATGGGAGCCTCAAGGGCCCCAGGAACAAGCATCCAGCACAGCCAGAGGCTGGGAAGGAGGCCCCGAGGCCCAATTGTCCAAGCTGCTCCAGAATCGTGTTGGAGACAGGCTTCTTTCCCTTTCCTTATGGCCTTTAGCACTGAATGAGTAAGTACTTTACTTCACACAGAGCCCACCTCACAGTCCCCAGTCTAGGAAACTCAGACAGACTTTCTCATGTCCAGGGCTCAGGTGGACGTATTTTTTAGATCCAAGTCTTTTTTATCTCCTTTGAAGTATAAAACTTAGGATACATGTTCATAAGGAAATACAGTCCTCAGTTAAAATGTCAGTGGGTTAAGATGAAAATTATTAATGATGAGTATCAGAAGGCTCAAAACCAAGCTGGCATGTGGGGTGTGGTCCCACTAAGGATAGTTGGGGGCCATCCTGGCTCCAGGCGCCCAGAAAGTGCAGGAGGCCCCGAGACGCACTTGCTCGCATAGTCTCTCACTGCACAACTCGGAGGGAAGGACACTTGGAAACACAGCTTTTCTTAAGATGCAGTGGGGCTCGGCTGCAGTGGCCCTACTTTGCACTTTGCTCAACCGACCTTGTTCCAAAGGGCCAACCTGCTCTGGATCCCCTTCCCTCTCAGGCCCCAGCCTCCATGGGGGCTGCCCTCCCAGCCCACCGGGCTTTTCTGACCATCCTGACTCCCTCCTGCAGGCTCAGCCCCGTCAGCCACGGAAACACCATCGCCCTCTTCTTCCGCTCACTGCTGCCCAACTACACCGTGGAGGTACGTGGCGTCAGCCCATGGGGCACCAGCCTGAGACCGGGTGTTGGGTCTGGAGACCTGGCTCAGACAGGCTTCATTTCCACAGGGGGAGCGACCGGAGGATGGGGGGCCCGGGGGTCTGCACCATGACCAGGGCCTGAACAGACTGATGCTGGCTGTGCGGGACATGATGGCCAACTTCCACTTCCACGACCTGGAGGTGCTGCCTGAGGAGCACCCTGAGGGCGACGGGGAGTGGGACTGAGTCCAGTGGCGTGCACGCCCCAGCGCTGCAGTCGTGCTCCGGGTTCTATTCTGGTCAGATCGGCCAGGTCGCCACCTGCTCTGCTCTTCTATAAACTACGTGGGTTGCACTCTGCCGCGTGAACTCTTCTTTCCCAGGGCTGCAGTCGCCGCCCCCAGCTCCCCTCACGTGCAGGACCTCGCCGCCACTGCCATGCTGCCCTGGGGCATCACAGGGCCAGAGTCCATGCTGGCTTCAGGGGTGTGGGTGTGGAAGCCAAGAGATATGTCTTGGGAAGATTGCTCGTCCTGGCAGCTCTGGGGAGTGAACGAGGCAGAGACTGGGGGGCACTTGATCTGGGGGCAAATGGACTGAGGGGTGGAGAGGGCGAAGACCAAGGCGCTTCATCCAGATTGCGTCCTAGCACTCTTGAGTGACAGCTCAGAACCACACAGGCCGCCCGTGAACCGAGGACGCTGTGTGGTGGTGGAAGGATCCAGGCCACTGAGGTTGTGAGTCCCACTGGGTACTCTTGTCTACTGAGCACCATCCCAGCTCTGACCTCTGCCCACAGAGGCTGCCTGTGTGCTCCAGGGCAGCATCTGGGCCCCAGGCCGGTCAGTGTGGCGACAGGTGTGACCCAGTCGTCTCCCGTCAACAGCCACCCAACTCCTGTCCATCGCCTGTCTTCCAGGAAGTCCAAGGCATCCTAGTGATGTGAGCTCACCCTCCAGCCGTTCCCAGGTGAGGGGCACCTGAACACCTGGCAAGGACAGGGCCCTTCAGACATGATGCTGTGAGCTAAACTTCCCACCATCCACACCTAGCTCCAGAGACCAGGCCTGCCCTGGAGCCATATGGCCCCCACCAAGGTGGGCTGTGGTGGACTTTGGCCAGTAATACAGTCTGCTGAGGATCTTTTGAGAAGGGGCTTGTTCTCTGAAAATGACAGGCAAGCAGGGAGAGCTTGGTGCCCTGCCTCTTTCAACCTTAAATACATTTAGGTGGGGGTGTGATGTATGGAGCTACAGCAGCCATCTTGCAACCAGCAGTCCAACTTTATGATGAAGAGCCAGGGTCCTGGGATAGTGAAGCAAAGACTGGGCCCAGGCCTGCTGTCCACACAGTGCTTAGCCATGCTGCTCTGGCTGCTAGAGTTAGACAGCCAGGGCCCTTACATCTAGACATCTGTGCTATAAAGTCTCACCTGACCACTCAGACCTTGTGTTGCTCATGGATTGCTGTTGTACTCCTTCCCACCAAGTCACACCACACCTCAGGTCTTCAGCACGAGCACCAAAGAACGGGCACAAAAGCCCCTCCCTTCCCCAAGTTCAAAAGAAAATAGACAGTTCTTGAACCAAGACTCGATGACTCAACTCTGGGCCAGGCCTTCCTGAGATCTTCCTGCGGGGTGGGGTGGGGGGTGGGGGTGCTGGCAGCACATTCCCCGTGGCTGCCCTCGGGTGACCTCCTGACGGCGGGCCGCTGTGGTGTGACTGTGACTGGATGCAGGCACCCCTTAGCTCTGCAGGCAGAGGCTCCTCAGGCTCTGGCTCCCAGGAGCTCCCTCATGGGACGAGCCTCTGTGTGCCCAGACCTCTTCTGGTTCTGGGGTTCCCACTCAGCCTCCACATGTGGTCGGCACATGCTCTCACGTGGTGTGTCCTCTGAGGGGGCGGCCATACCCCCCCCCCCCCGCCCCGCCTGTCTCCCCTCACTCGTTTACTCCCGGGGACAGAGGCGGACAGGCTGCAGGGCTAGCTGTGGGTTCGCATGGATGGTTCCCAGGACCGTGACCAATCACAGCTTGGCGATCCTGCTGTCCCCCGCCTGCGGGTGAGCACCAGATGTGGAGTCTCGAGGCCTCCCCAGGAAGAGGGCTGTGGCTCCTGGCAAAGGCAGCCCAATTCTCACGCCCTTTGAAGTCTCAGGCTGGGCGACTGGGGGCTGGAGAGGCACAGGCAGCTCAAAGGCCTTATTTATGGGGCAGCAATGGCATGGAAGCTGGAGGCAGGATGCCATTCACCCAGTGACCTTGGTTCCTGGGGAGTCCTAGGCTTGCATGGCTGGTTCAGGACCGAGGTCCCAGCACAGGCCTTGCCGTGGCTCTTGCATGGTCCTCTTCTGGGACCCGTTTCTCTTTTGGAGGCTGTTCACCAGTGGGACACCCCGTGCCTGGTTCCTCTACATGGGGGCGGGGAGCTCATGCTTGGCCAGGAACAGGCAAACAGTCCACCAGCAGGTAAAAGGGTTTCCCTGAATCTACCAAAGCTGAAAGTATGGCTCTGACCAGGTGGCGTCCCAGCAGCAATGTTAGTGACAAAACGGGAGCCTCCCAGATGCCCCATGGCCAGTGCCTTGCCGACCACTGAGAGCAGTCAAGAGAGCGTCTCAGTGCTGAGTGAAGAGGGGCCCCGAGTCCTATGGATCAGGCTTTAAAATGGAAAAAACGATGGTCAGGGAGTGGCTGCTGGGCAGGAGGTGCCCCGGAGAGTCTGATGTGGTCGTGTTAGGTTGACTGATTATGGAGTGCTGCAGTCCCGAGGGTCTGGGTGTGGCATGCCCCAACCTACATGTTTATAACTTGTGTACTGTCTCTCACATACCATGTGCTTCAATAAACAGCACCAACAGAGCCACAGAGGAGAAGGCCATGTGAGTCCTGGAAAGGGAAGGGAGGAGGACACAGGGCAGGTGCGGGCCTTGCCCGTCTGGCAGGAGGAGGAGAGACCCTGACATACCAGCGCCTATAGCATACCAACTTCATCGGCCCACCTCTGACTTCCCCCCCCCCCTCGTCCCCACGGTGGGGCCAGCCTGTCCACCCCACCCTCCTCCTCCGAGGGTTTGTCGTCAGCACCACGCACTCCTCAGTGAGAAAGTGCTGGGGGGCTGGCACACGGCTGCAGACAATGGTCTGTCCTTGAAGTGGTTGCTGGCACTGGGCCGGCTGTGGTGACCTTTCGCAGAGGAAATGGGGGCTGTCAGGGAAGGACTGGCAGCGCGCCCCCCCCCCACCTCCGCACCCCAGGGAGAGGCCACAGTGCGGTGAAGGGGCTGGTAGTCCTTGGGCGGGGCTGGCCTCAGCTGGCCTTTAACATGAGTCAAGGGGAGGGTGGCTAGGGCCAGGGTGGGGGTTCCCGAGGCAAGATTGGACGGCTTCAAGGAGGAGGTAATGGTTTTGTGTCGGGCTTGGAAGAGGGTTGGAGGTCTCAGGCAGGTCTGCAGGCGCGCCCCCCCCTCACCTGCATCGCCTGGAGCACCGGTTGGCTGAGCACCGACCGCTGCTCAGGCCGGACTGCCTCAGTCTGACAGGCCTGGGCTCCGCCTGCGCCACCTGGTGGCGGACCTCGCTGCAGCCGGGCACACGCCCATTATGCGGCCGCCCTCAGGAGGAGGGACTCCGGGATGACTTTAAAGATGCCAAGGAAGGCTCTGTTCTCCCTGGACCGCAGCCCACCACGGCCTGGTAAGGCAGGAGGTCCCCACGGGCCAGGAGGAAGCAAGCAGCCCAGAAATGTCTGCCTGTGGGCAACCGCACCTCCAGGGAAGAGGCAGGGACGCAGACTGAGGGCAGAAGAGCGACGCTACACCCAGAGGGCTGGCCCCACGAGCTTGGGGGCCATGCCTGGGCCAACATTTGTCCAGCCAGGGAGGGGGGTGTGTGAGGCCCCTCCCAGGGGAGCCATGGGTTGAGCAGGACCCCAAGAGCAAGCACCCCTTCCTGCTCCCTGCGGGATGATGCCTGTGCTTGGCTCCCAGAGGCGGCTGCTGGGTTCCCTTAACTGCACGCCTCCAGCCACCTTCCCCCTCACGCTGGCCCCCAACCGGACGGGGCCCCAGTGCCTGGAGGTGTCCATCCCCGACGGGCTCTTTCTCAGCCTGGGGCTAGTGAGTCTCGTAGAGAATGTGCTGGTGGTGGCTGCCATTGCCAAGAACCGCAACCTGCACTCCCCCATGTACTACTTCATCTGCTGCCTGGCCGTGTCCGACCTGCTGGTAAGCGTCAGCAATGTGCTGGAGACAGCAGTCATGCTGCTGCTGGAGGCTGGTGCCCTGGCCGCCCGGGCAGCTGTGGTGCAGCAGCTGGACAATGTCATCGATGTGCTTATCTGTGGCTCCATGGTGTCCAGCCTCTGCTTCCTGGGCGCCATCGCTGTGGACCGCTACATCTCCATCTTCTACGCCCTGCGGTACCACAGTGTCGTGACACTGCCCCGGGCGTGGCGGATCATTGCGGCCATCTGGGTGGCCAGCATCCTCACCAGCCTGCTCTTCATCACCTACTACAACCACACGGTCGTCCTGCTGTGTCTTGTTGGCTTCTTCATAGCCATGCTGGCCCTCATGGCCGTCCTCTACGTCCATATGCTGGCCCGGGCGTGCCAGCATGCCCGGGGCATCGCCCGGCTCCAGAAGAGGCAGCGCCCCATTCATCAGGGCTTTGGCCTCAAGGGCGCTGCCACCCTCACCATCCTGCTGGGCGTCTTTTTTCTCTGCTGGGGCCCCTTCTTCCTGCACCTCTCGCTCATCGTCCTCTGCCCCCAGCATCCCACCTGTGGCTGCATCTTCAAGAACTTCAACCTCTTCCTGGCCCTCATCATTTGCAACGCCATCGTGGACCCCCTCATCTACGCCTTTCGCAGCCAGGAGCTCCGGAAGACACTCCAAGAGGTGCTGCAGTGCTCCTGGTGAGGCTGGCAGTGCCGTTGTGTGCCCCAGGCCTGTGAGGCCAGAGCAGTCCCTTGGCAAAGAGGATCGGCTAGGCCATCTCTGAAGGTGAGGGTACACAGGCCTTCGGGGGCCTGAGAAGGGAATCGCAGGACTCTCCAGGAGGCTGTGCGGAATGAGGAGGCTGGGGAGATGGTGGGGCACGGCCCCCCACACCTAGAAAGGAGGGCCCCCACCCCTCCATCCAGAGACCCACTCCGGGGCCAGTGCCCACACCCCACCCCGCCCAAAGCTGTGGGAAGTGCCGCTCCAAGGACTTCATGACCAGCACAGGAGGAGGTGGGGGCCACAGTGGGGGCTTCTCTCTCTTCGAATGCTCTGTGGTGACTGGGGAGCCGGGCTCAGCCCGTCTGTCAGCAGCACATGCATTTGGCAGACACCCCAGCCAGGCCTGCTCTGGGGAACCAGTGGCCAGTATGCAGGCTCCAGGGCCAGGAAGCAGTGCAGCAGTATTAATAAATGCGATGCTTGGTGCAACCTCCTTCCCATCTGTCATGCCTCTTTCCAGAAGTTGCCTGAAGCTTGGGGCCGAGGAGTGGGGGTGTGGTGAAGAGAGGAAAGACTTAAATCCCAGGAGCCAATCAGAAAACATGGCTCACCTGTCCAGGACATGAAACCACAGCCCCCAGTGTCAGAGGACCCACCTGGGGGAGGGTGAGGAGACCCCAGTCACACCCACTCCATCCTGTGTCTTTGCATTCTGTCTGTGGTGCACACCCCACGCCAGAGGTCCCCCATCCCAAGTCACCTCCATTGTGACAAGACCCTGGCACTGCCTGGCTGCCCTCAGCTGCAACAGAGGCAGGACCATGGTGACCCGTGTGTGACTCTGGCTAGAACATGGCCCTCTCTCAGCCTCCTTATCTGCTGCAGGGTGGCCTGGAGGCTGGGGTCTGCTCTTAAGTTCCATCCTGCTGGGAGAAAGGTCAGTGCCCCACCAGCCCTGGGAGGTCTGAGACAAGCTGCCCAGAATAGGGTGTGGCTCTCCAGGGGCTACAGGGATGTCCAAACCCCAGGGGTGAGGGTTGTGTCCTCCCTCTGCCCCCCCCACCCCATTCCTCCACGGACAGAGCATATGCCCTACTCTCTTGCTGGGACAGGCTTGTGGATGAAAAGCAGGGGTACCAGCCAGCCCTGCTGCCCCCTGGCCAGTCCCCCACCCCAGCAGCGCCACCTGATTGTTGGCCTCGGGGCTGGGAGCCGGTTCCCGGCAGGGCCGGCCTTTGCTGGGAGATGGACGATGAGTCAGCCTCAAGCCAGCCTCAATTCCTCTGGGGATGGAGGGGGAGCGGTCCTAGCTGGGAGCCATCCTGCAGGGTGGCAGGTGGGTGATGGGTCCTGTTCGAGAGGGTGCAAAGCTTCTTCCTTCCAGGGAAAAGGACCCCCTGAACGGGGACAGGGAGGGGCCCCAGACAGCTGGAAACCAACCACAGGAAACCACATCAGAGACACGTTGTGGGGGAGGGGCATCTCTTGAGAACAAAAGACCCTTTCCAGACTTGCCAAGTTGGAGAGCTTCATGAGGGGAAAGAGGGCCACCCCCAAGCAGTATGAGCACATGGGAACAGGCTTCATGCTGTGGCTGAGACCCTTCCGGAGGCTTTTGTCGCCAAAATGTAAGATAGGGCTTTCTTGTAGGTGGTTTCACTCTACCCTCTGACCTCAGGAGACTGGTGGTGTCGACCAGGGTGTGTACAGTGAGTCTTCTTTTCTGACAGTGACCTCTCCTGTCTGCAAACACCAACCCCCTACAGAGCTTCTCCCCACCCACTGAATTTCCTTAGCCTCATTTGGACCAAGACTCCAGGGGTACGAGTGACAGCAAGGAGTCAGACAGACACCACCCCCCAGGCTGATAGTTCTTTGTCTGGCTTGTTTGTGTCCTTATGACAATCCGGGACACCAGTGCTCAGCTACATCCAGCAGCAGCTACATCCAGGGGCGTGTCTGGCAGGGGTACAAAGCACCCAATCGTGCTAGGTCCACCTGGAATGTCCTGGCAGTGCCCTGGGGCAGCAGGGGCAGGTGGCGCCCCACTGCAGAGATGAGCAGTGACAGAACTACCATAGGAGCCCATCGCCAACTCCTGCAGCCACCGCCCTTCTGACTCAGATGTCTAGGAGCCTTGCCCCAGCTTGCTTTCTTCTGGAGAGAATCTAGTGCCCGCTGCAGCCTTGCCTGCCTCCCCCACCATCAAAGGCTGCGGGCAAAGCTCAGAGTACCTGGTCTGCCCCTTCTCGACAAAGGAGGGGTGCTGGGGGGCGTCCCTTCTGGCCTTCCTGTGTGGGAACATGGGGTTGGTCCCTAATCAGGTGTGCACAAGAAAGACCCTCCCTGCTGCGCCGAGGGGTGAGGCTCTCGCTGGGGAGGGGAGCAGAGGGCAGGCGGGGCGGGGGCCAAGGGCCAAGGGGGACTTCTATTGTCCTCCCAGGATCTCACCAGCCCCGCCTTCCGGTTGCGCGGAGCCCGGAGACCCGGTGGCGGAGGAAGGCGGCGCCGCCGCAGCGCGCGGTCGAGCGGGGATGCGCGGCGCGGATGCTTGCTGCAGCCGGTGCCGCAGTCTTCGGCGGCGCCCCGGGATTGGCCGCGCGAGATGACGCCGGGCCGGGCGAGGCGGGCGGGGCCCCGCCTATAAGAGCGGGCGGCGGGGGCGGCAGAGCCTCCGCAGCCAGCTGCAGCCGGTCCGCTCGCGTCTCGCAGCCGCCCGCCATAGCACCGAGCATGAGGGAGATCGTGCACATCCAGGCCGGCCAGTGCGGCAACCAGATCGGGGCCAAGGTGAGGCTGCGCGGCCCCGTGTGCCGGTCCCCGCACTGGGCGCGTGTCCCGCGTCCCCAGCGCGCCTCCCGCGTCCCCAGCGCGAGCGGGTCCTGGGGGAGGGAAGCAGCGGGGAGGCGTTGTGTGCGCACAGCGGCACCCCAAGTCCGGATCACCACTGCGAAACTTAGGAGAAACGGATGGGATCGCGCACCCCACCCCACCCCCCCAATGCCGGCGGGCGGCCGGGACGCCGGGTCGCCCCTCTGCCACTCCCACCCCGGCCCTTCCGCTGCTCCGCCCGGGTTACCTCGGGCCTGCTGGAGGCACAGCGCAGGTCAGCGGCTCCGCACTCTCTAACCCCCCGCCGCTGCAGGTGCAATTGGACGGCGCTGGCTGGGCGTGGCCCTCTTCTCTGGGGTCGCAACTCGGCCTCCGGCGAGATGGGTGGGGTGGACAAGCTCGGGTGGGGCTCCCCCAAAAGCCATAACGATTCCCTCTGCCCTCCCACGCCAAGAGCTTGATGTCCCCCGAACGTTCAGAGCCGCCCCCATTTCCCCAGCTAGCTTTGACAACCCTCAGCTCCCTGGCCCCACCCTGTTCTTTTGTTGGGGAAGGAACTGTGCCCGGACTCAGAATGACCTTGCTCCAGGACTGGACTCTCCCTCGGCGTAGCACCGCCCGGGCCACCCCTCCCCCAACCCCACTTAGAGACGGCAGGTCTAGGGGTCGGTGGGAACAAAGCCGGGCTGGAGGGCGCGGTCCAGAGCTGCTTCCCCGCTAGGCCCCTCCCCTCCATTGTTAGCCCCCCTCACAGATGTCTGGATTGAGGCGCGCAGGCCACGTTCCTCCCCCACTCCCCGCCCCCGCCCCCAACCCTGGAGGCAGGTGTGGTATCCCTAGGTCCAGAGACGCTGTTCCTTGCCCAAGGTCACACAGCAAGTGGAGAAAGAGCCTCTCCGCCCTCCGGCTCTCGGTCCCTGCAGGTGCCCACCCAGCACTAGACTCAGGCTGGGTGGGTGGGGCCTGCTGCCCTTTGTCAGCACCAAGGCCAGGGGCCCAGCGGGGATGGTGTGGAGCAGGCTCCCCAAGGAGAAAGTGGGAGGAGACAGGTCCTGGAAGGGAAGGGACCAGGAAAACCTTCCTCAGGAGGCTGTTGCCATGGAAACCAGGCAAGAACAAAAAGCTAATTACAACAGGGCTGGGGCAGCCACGTGGCTGACATGTAAATTGCAACTTGGGCTCTAGGGTGGTGGCGCCTCATATGGGGGGAGGGCATGGTGGGGAGACACCCTAATCACTGAGGAGACAGCTGTGCCTGTCCGAGGAAGGGAGGTGGGGGAGGGGAGGCCTGGGGGACCAAGGCCTCAAATTAAATCAGGCCTCTGGGGGCTGTCACTGACAGATGCCCTGGCCGGGCAGGAGGGGCCAAAGACTCATTACTGTGGCCACAGGGGCCAGGCCTGCCCTGAGCATCTGCTCCTCTGAGGGTCAGGGGTCGCTGATGGTAGGGAGGGCAACCCTAGTTCCATGGTAAGCCTGGGGTAGTGTTTGTGGGGTTGCTCTGTTTCCTTCTGAGGCTGCACGGGCACCGATTGGGCAAAGGCAGCTTCATGCCCAGCTGCAGCCCCAAAGGGCGGGGTGGGGTGGGGTAGGGGTGGTCAGGGGGACAGGGGCAGCTGCCTGAGTGCTGGGCAGTGTTCTCTGCAGAGATTTTTTTCCTGCTTTAAGTTCCGTGTCCTTTGAGTTTTCCTCATTACTTCTTATTCGTTTGAGGTTAATTTCCTTAACTCTTGTTTGTTTTTAAAAGTAGTATCTGATGCTTTATAACAGTACAAAAGAGAAGTGGATTTGGGAGGAGGGGAAGCAGTGCGCAAAGGAGGCAGTCAAGTGGTTTCCTTCTGGCCCCCCTGCCTTGGAGGACCACAACCAGGCTGGAAGGGCTCAAAACCCGGCAGGGCCATTTGCCTGCACAGGCGCTCAACAGCGGCCTCTGGACAGGGTCTGGCCGTTTCCTACTCCCACATAGGTGTGGGCTCTTGGCGGAGGGAGACCAAACTTTTCCTGCCAGTTGCCAGCGGCCGCTGACTGGTGGGGGCGGGGCAGGGTGCTGTCTGACTGTTACGGGTAGGCTGTTACCCTACTTGGGGGCAGGCTGCCTGCTATGGGAAGGGTCCTGGCTGCGGGTGGGGTCGGGATGGAAGGGGTTATGGAGGGAGGAGGGTAAGTCTGGGCGATCAGGGCTAGGAGAGACTGCAACAGCATTTATGACAGTGACCAGTGTTGGGCACTGTGCCGGGTGCGTCCCGCACTGCGCCTCTCGAGGTTGCGGTGAGACAGGGTGCTGCCCTCCCGGCAGGGCACGGGTGTGAATCCAGGCCTGTGTAGGCACATCAGGATGGGCGGGGAGCCCCCAGCCCCCACCAAGGGGCGAGGAGCCAGGGAACCCCACCCTCCTCCCCTAGGGGGTAGGGCGGTCCCGGAGCCTTTGTCTGCCCCCCCTCCTTGGCCGCTGGGCGGGGCCTCGGAGAGACGGCCCTGGCCCTGACAGCCAATGGGAGGAGGGAGTTTCTGGTTTCGGACCCCACCCCCACATGACCCCTGCTGCTGTGCGCCGGGTGGGGAAGGGCGTGGAGTCCTAGAGGGGCTTAAGCCCTCCTTTTACAGCGCACACTCAGCTTGCTTTGGGCTCATCTGTGTGCGCCCTCTGCGTCCCCGCCCCAGGTATGGGCGCGGCGACCGTCAGCACCACGGACAGCGCCGCGGGAGCTACAATTGTGCGTGTGAAATAGGAGCCTGGCCTGGACCCTGGGGTCCATGCGCCACTTCTCATCTCTGGTGATGATCATAATCATTATTTAATTTATAATATAGTATTTTGTTGTTTATTAATGTTGTATAATACATGTAATATATTCTGCTAAGCTTTTATTAGTAATATTTTAAATTGCAATTTATATTCGTTTTAACTACAAAAGCTATTATTAACATATGTCCTTTCTAAGAAGTCGAAGCATTGCACAGAAGGCTAAAGTGCCTGTTTAAGCACCTCCCCCTGGTGGTCCCCCTCTTCTGGGTGGAGCAAGTTTTTTTCCCTTATTCTAATCCATTTTCTGTGTATGTGCACCTATGGGTAAGAATTATAGCATCTGTTGTGAGGTGCCCGTTTTTACCCTGAATCTCTTTGCCATGTGCCTTTCCCCCCAAGGATGTGCCTTGGAGATCTGCTCATACCAGGGATGATCTTTTATTGTGCCACAATATTCCAAAATATATTGATTTTTTAAAGTACTTTTTATTTTATTTATCAGTGAATGTGCGTTGGTCGCTCAGTCCTGCCTGACTATTCGTGACCCAATGGACTGTAGCTCAGTAGTCTCCTCTGTCCATGGAATTCTCCAGGCAAGGATACTGTAGTGGGTTGCCATTCCTTTCTCCAGGGGATCTTCCCAACCTAGGGATTGAACGTTGGCCTCCTGCATTGCAGGCAGATTCTTTACTGGGAGCCACCAGTGAAGTCCTTATCAGTGAATAAGGCTTGACAAATTTAAATAACAACCTAAGGACTTTTAACTTGGTGAGACCAACATTTGCTGAATGCTTTTATTTGTCAGGCCTTGAGTTGACCACTTGAAGTGAGTACTGTCATCATGTCTACTTTACAGATGAGAAAATGGAGGTCCTGAGAGGTGGCACTCTGGTCTGTTGCCTTCTGGAAGCCTATGCATTCTGTACATGAGTTCCAGAGAACTCTTCATAGATGTATTGGTGGCTGGGTGACTGAGTCACTCTCTGTCATCCCCTCACATGCCATCTCAGGCTCATTCCTTCTCTACAGAGGTTGTGGATGTCCCAGGGCTATGGGGCCAAGGTCCTGAAGCCAAGCAATGATTGAAAGCTCTGATCAGGCCCCAAAAGCCTCAGTGACACCTCTAATTACAGCATTAACACATATCTAATGCAGGGAGAAAGAAGAAGACTTATCAGTGACACAAATCACAAAGACCAGCTGAGAACTGACCTTTGCCAACAGTCTCTCTGGGTGAACTGCCAAGATTCCTCTGTGCATTTGATAATAATTACTCTTCATACTTTTTGGGTTTTAAATTTTTAAAGTCTTTTAATTTTTAATATATTTTTCTATTTGGCTGTGCTGGCACAGCCAAATCTTAGTTGTGGCATGTAGGATTTGAATTCCCTGACTAGGGATCAAACCCTGGGCTCCTTCATTGGGAGTGCAGAATATTAGCCACTGGACCACCAGGGAGGTCCCTAAAATTAAAAAAAAAAAAAGTTTAAAAAATTTTAACTAATCTTTTTCTTTTCTTTTGAGAAGTTAACATGTGCACATGATAAAAACTAAAAATCACCAAAGAATATGCAGGGTAAATCCTCTCCTCCCAACCAGAACTGGACTTCCCTTGTGGCTCACTGGATAAAGAATCTGCCTGCAATGCCGAGACCTGGGTTCAATCCCTGGGTTGGGAAGATCCCCTGGTTCTAGAAGGAAATGGCAAACCCCTCCAGTATTCTTGCTTAGAGAATCCCGTAGATGGAGGAGTCTGGCAGGCTACAGTCCATGAGGTCACAGAGAGTCAGATATGATGAGTGACTAAACAACAACAAACCCCATATAGCACTCCCCATCCACAGAGTAACTGGATTTATTCTCACAGCACTCAGACTTCATCTTCAGGCTTTTAGGCCTTCAGGCCCAAGGCCCTGAGACACAGAAGCTTCAGGGTTTGGCCAAGGTCACTCTGGAAAGGGGTGGTCCAGCTTGCAAGCGAGACCCTGTCCTGTCTTAGTCCTGAGAGAAGCTCTGTGGGTTCTGCCCAGGGCAAACAGGGCAGATTGCAGTGCGGTGAGTGAGCCCTTGAAACTGGGGCTGCGGCATCTCAGCTCAGACAGGCTGGGTTAGCCCAGGTGAGTCACTCCCCATGCAGGGCCCCTGGGGGCTGAGGCTGCTGCTGTGGGCTGCTTCCAGGCCCTGGCACTGGATGGCCTATGCTTGACACTGCGGTGTTTGCATATCCTAGGCTTGGTCTCCATTACTTACCTTCCTGGGCCTCAACTTTCTCATCTGAAAAGAGGGAAATAAAAAAAAAAATACCCCAGGTGGGTGTTTGTTACTAACCCCTCATGAAGTGGACTTTCAAGGCCCCTCTCAGCAAGTGCAGAGCTGGGTCTGGGGCCCAGGTCTGTGTCAGTTGAGCACTGATCCACCCTGAGGGCTCTGGTCTCCATGGACATGCGTATTTTTTATTATGACAGTTCTCTTGATGACAGAACTTGGGGCTCTTTTTCAAAGTCACTCAAAGGGACTAGAGCAGGCTTTGGGTCCACACCCCTCATTTTGTACCAGGGCCTTGAGGCTACCAGAGGGCAGGCCTTGCCGGGGGTCATGACCACCAACTGGCCCTTCCTTTCCCTGCAGTTCTGGGAGGTCATCAGTGATGAACATGGGATAGACCCCAGTGGCAATTATGTGGGTGACTCGGACCTGCAGCTGGAGCGCATCAGTGTCTACTACAACGAGGCCTCTTGTGAGTTCCCCTCCTTGACTGGGTGGGGATGGGGTGGGGGCCTTGACTGCTGGGTTCCAGCATCCCTGCCTTCCTTCCCTTGGCTGGTAAGTGTAACCAGAGACTCACAGAATAAAACAAGGAATCCTAGTCACCCATGTGAGATGCAAGTGTGTTTAATGGCCATGAGACACACATAGGGGAATGACCAGGGCTGGGCAGGGTCCCAAAGACCCTTCAGGAGGCCCATGGAGGGTCCAGAGCAGGGGTTATCTGGAGAGGTCAGGCAGGGGCCATTCAGAAGCTGGTGTGAAATGGTGCCCTCAGAGACACCTGCCCATGTCCAGGTGTCACCCATGACCTTGTCACATGTGGTCCCTGCCTCTCTGATCCTAGAGTCTAAGCTCTTAGGTGAGAGCACGAGGCTGGCAGGCCAGGGCAGGATTTAGGAGGCAGAAGGGGTGCCTAGCTTCTGTGACCCATGTAACCCACTCCTCTCCTCTCAGCACACAAATATGTGCCTCGGGCCATCCTGGTGGACCTCGAGCCTGGAACCATGGACAGCGTCCGGTCTGGGGCCTTTGGGCACCTCTTCAGGCCTGACAACTTCATCTTTGGTAAGTTTCCCCTGTCCCCGCTTTCTCATGGTGGACCCCACCACCAGCAAACCCAGGTCAACAGAAACGAGGGCAGAGTCACCTCTGCCCACAATGCTGCAGAGCATCACTGAGCTCACCAATTTGCAGTGAAAGAGTCCCAGAGAAAGGGTTCTGTGCAGGAAACAGACATTTGCGATTTCAGGCAGCACGGTGTGTGCAACAGAGCTTACAGGATGTCAGAGAGCTGGAAGGGGTCTCCAGAGCACACCAGCTCATGAGCACACTGCGTCGCTGTGGTCAGGGGTCGCCAGTCCTCATGCCCATGACGGTGACAGGAGGAGGGCCTCACCCCACTTCACCTCCTACAGCTCAGCACCTGATGCATGGGCATGACCCTCATCCCGACCCTGGGCTGCGAGGCACTCAGGGTTGTAGCTTAGCCTTCCAACACAGCAGGCTAGAGGGTGGGTGGACCGGAGGGCTGGGTGGACCAGTTCCGCTAGGAGGTCCCCTATGGCAAAGCAGAGGCAGAAGCTCCAGAAGCTGTGTCTGTGTCCAGACCCCACAGCTCTAGGTGCCGGGGGTGACATCCCCAACACACGATGTGGCTGGCATGAAGAGCCATGGACATGAGAGTTGCATGCCCCCACTTCATGGAGGGCAAGCAGGCACCGAGCTGCCTCCTCGGCTGCTGTCTGGGGTGGGCTGTTCAGGCCAGTGCTGGAGCTGTGACCCCATCTGTATCCCCCCTGCCCTCCCCACCGCAGGTCAGAGTGGGGCTGGCAACAACTGGGCCAAGGGCCATTACACGGAGGGTGCCGAGCTGGTGGACTCGGTCCTGGATGTGGTGCGGAAGGAGTGCGAAAACTGCGACTGCCTGCAGGGCTTCCAGCTGACCCACTCCCTGGGTGGCGGCACAGGCTCAGGCATGGGCACACTGCTCATCAGCAAGGTCCGCGAGGAGTACCCCGACCGCATCATGAACACCTTCAGCGTGGTGCCCTCGCCCAAGGTGTCGGACACGGTGGTGGAGCCCTACAACGCCACGCTGTCCATCCACCAGCTGGTGGAGAACACGGACGAGACCTACTGCATCGATAACGAGGCGCTGTATGACATCTGCTTCCGCACCCTCAAGCTGGCCACACCCACCTACGGGGACCTCAACCACCTGGTATCGGCCACCATGAGCGGGGTCACCACCTCCCTGCGCTTCCCGGGCCAGCTCAATGCCGACCTGCGCAAGCTGGCCGTGAACATGGTGCCCTTCCCACGCCTACACTTCTTCATGCCCGGCTTCGCCCCGCTCACTGCCCGCGGCAGCCAGCAGTACCGGGCGCTGACCGTCCCCGAGCTCACCCAGCAGATGTTCGATGCCAAGAACATGATGGCGGCCTGTGACCCACGCCACGGCCGCTACCTGACCGTGGCCACCGTCTTCCGAGGGCGCATGTCCATGAAGGAGGTGGACGAGCAGATGCTGGCCATCCAGAGCAAGAACAGCAGCTACTTCGTGGAGTGGATCCCCAACAATGTGAAGGTGGCCGTGTGTGACATCCCGCCTCGCGGGCTGAAGATGTCCTCCACCTTCATCGGCAACAGCACAGCCATCCAGGAGCTGTTCAAGCGCATCTCGGAGCAGTTCACAGCCATGTTCCGGCGCAAGGCCTTCCTGCACTGGTACACGGGCGAGGGCATGGACGAGATGGAGTTCACCGAGGCCGAGAGCAACATGAACGACCTGGTGTCTGAGTACCAGCAGTACCAGGACGCCACGGCCGAGGAGGAGGGCGAAATGTACGAAGACGATGAGGAGGAATCCGAGGCCCAGGGCCCCAAGTGAAGCAGCTGAAGGGGTGGGACGCGGCTGCGGCCAGGACCAAGTGGTCTGTCCCCCAAGCCATGTAGCCACTGACACACCCCCGATCTCACCCCCACAAGGTTCAGTCATGTCACCCTGGGGCTCCCAAGTGTTTGTCCTCCAGTATTTACAACACCCCTGCCCTGCGTGAGTTCTCTCAGCTATCTTCCGCCTTAGGTCAAATCCGTTTCCTGTCTCTGCTTTATTGTTAGCTCCAGGCCTGATGTTTTTTTGTTTTTTTTTTTTTTTACTGGTTTCTGTTTATATTTGGAGGGGGATATTTAATAAATTTATTGCTGTCAGATACCCATGCCTGGTGCTGCAGTTTTCCTCTTTTTTGAGAAAGATGGGGCCAGGAGAGGTAAGGAGGGTAGATGGGGAGGCCTGATGGAGGCAGGACAAGTGACAAGTGGGAGGGGTTGAGACGGGCCTGTGCTTGGAAACTGCAGGTGTCTCAAGGTGCTGCTCATGGCAGGGGAGCTGCTGGCGGTGGTGTCGGGGGAGGCGGCCATGCCTGGAGGAGCCTCATCTTCAAACCCTAGGTGGGCTCTCAGGCAGCTCAGGACAAGCCCTCAGGGTGACTCATGCTGGAGAACTTTCCTCTGGCTTATCTGTGTGCCAGATGTTAGAGGCAGGCGGCGGGACCCAAACAAGTGTGAGGAAGTGAGGAGCTTGAGGATTCCTCCAGAAAATGTGGTGTGTCGGATGGTGGGGGCTTGAACCCCGGGGAAGGGCTGGTTGGGTCAGCAAGTTGTGGCCACCGCACCTGGGTGCAGGGGTGCTGGGAGTGAAGTTCTGGCCCCATATGCCTTCTGGAGATCATTTCCACTGCTTCAGGGCACCCAGGGTCCCACAGATAGGGGCAAATCTGGCTGCCCCCTCCTCCTACAGAGAGAGAAGTGGAACCCAGAGTTGCTGTCTGCCTGGGGCCCAGGTGAGCATGCACAGAGGTGGATGAGCCTCAACCCTGGTGCCCTGGGCCTCCTCATACCCCACCCCTAGAAGCCAGGACACCCCTGCATGCCCCCCTCCTGGGTGGGTACCTGAGCAAAGAGAGGCCAAAGGGGCTGATCTGGACCGGGGAACAGAAGCCCTAAGAGGGTCTGCATCCCGGGCTCAGGCAGGAGCGGATGCTCTGGGCACCTGCTCCGTGCTGGGCGGCTTGAAGTTCACTGCACTGCTGGCCCTGGAGGCTGCCAGCTTTCAACCCTGGAGCCTGTGTGGGGCCCTCTGATCCCACCTTCACAAGGCTGCGGCCTCCATGCCGTTGGGGGGAAGGGTGTCCACAGCCCAGATTCTCCAGGCTGTCTGTGATCCCCAGAGGGTTGAGTCACCCACCGAGCATTGACAAGGGTGCCCCGGGCTCCGGATATCCCAGTGCTCACTCTGGGCTCTGGGTCCACGGTCTTGTGGGGTCTGTCCTGAGGGTTGTTTAACCTTCACACTGAGGCCACCAGTTTCCCTGGCGAGAAGGGGGACTCAGAGGAGCAACTGCCAGTCGGCAGGTGGCACAGCGGCGGGCCGGGCCGGGCCGAGTGTCTCTCCTCTTTGCTCAGACGGCCGCAGTCGCACATCCCTCCTGAGCCCCTGCACGGTGAGAACTTTGTCCTGGCTCAGGTCACATAGATGAAGCTGGCCTACCGGGGCCACCCCGCCTTCTCCCCTGGACCACACCCACTCCAGCCCTTGTGGGGGAGAGTCCTCGCTTCGTCCTTCCTCCAGCCCTCCCTCCCCTCCCCCTGCCTAGTCCCTCAGCCCGACCCCTTGAGGCTCCAGCCCCCTTTCTGATGAGAGGCCATTTAGTTCTCTCCTGTTCCTCAGTCATAGGCTCACTCCTCACCCTCACAGCATGGGCATGGTGGAGCAGACACCGCCCTGAGCGAGGTGAATGGCTGTGCTCCACATTTCAGAGTGGTTCACTGTGCCCCTGCAATCAGGAACACACATGGAAAGTGGCTGCGATGACAGCATGTGGCCCGTAACAAGAGCCCTAAGTGTTAGCACTCATTTACCTGTGACTGTTGCTGAGGGTTGCGTGTTTGCAGGCACACCTGGAAAAGAGGGGGGCAGCCCACTCAGGGGGTCCTCCGTCTCACCTGAGTCTCTCTGAGGGCTCTGACTGGCCCAGCACTGTGCAGTGTTGACGGCGGGCACTCTTGGGCAGCCTTTGGGGCCACCTACCTCCTTGGCTATTTGCCTTCAGATCAGTTCATCCCTTTCAGCCTGGTAATGGGCCAGGGGTGTCCAGACCTGAGCACACTCCTGCCCTGGCCCGGCACCCTCAGCCTGGCATGCAGAGCTGCTCAGGGGCCAGCAGATGGACTCACACCCAGGGGCAGGGCGGCCAAAGCAAATCCAGGATGCCCAGTCACACTGGGATTTCAGATGAAGAACAAATAGCATTCCTTCTGGGGACATATTTGTACCAAGAGGTTACTCAGTTACAAGACTGGGGTAATCCTAGGCTGGGGACTGGGCAGCCCTGTACTGGGCCTGTTCTGGGGGCCCAGCCGCCTTGAACTCATACATCATCCACTGTGTTACACATCCTCACAGACTTGTGAGGTGGGTACTTCCAAGGAAGAGGCTGAGGCCTGGAGATGGACAAAGCTGCCCCAAGACCCCAGCTGCCAGGGGCAGAAACACAGGAGGATACTGGAGTCATCACTGCTCCCACCACCCAGGGGACCACAGCAGATGTGGAGGGGACAGTGAGTGTGGGATGCAGGTGACCCTCAGCTCTGCCACACCAGCTGGCAGAGCACATCCCCTCTCTAGGGAAATTTCTCCAGTGGAAAAGGACACGTCCAGCTCATATTTTAGGACTTGTAATTCCAGATGGACTCGCTGGAAAGAAAACGTCTTGCTTAGATAATAATAAATGAGCAGGTGCACATATGAGTGTGATAAAACCCAGCATGCCCACTGGATGTAGAGTTCTCTGCCAGCACAAGTGTGGGTGGGGATGGGGGTGGTGGTTCTCCCAAAGAGGATGGACCAGAATTACAGGGGGTCTGAGACTGGATAGAGTCAGGCAGAGCTAAAGGGAATTGAGTCACTGTGGGCAGGGTATGAAGGCACCCTCCTCGGACCAGGACCCTGACACAGATGGGGTCTGCTCCCTGGGGTGCTGCTGAACCCAGGTGCAATGGGGGCATGGGTGTGGGTGCTTATGGGTGTTTCCCTGTCTCCTTCTCCAAGGGCCTTTGGAGGAGGGCTGTATTCTTCCCCAGCAGGAGCCATTTATAAGGTAGCTTAGTGTCTCCCCGAGATTCCCACATTTTCCAGCATGTTTAAAAGGGCCGCTCCTGAACATGTCCCCAATTGTCCCCCACCTTCCTCACTCTTACCCTTGGGAGCACTGGGGATTGAGATGTCCTCCTCCCAGAACTTGTCGGCTACCTCGTCATACTGTTTATTTTCTTGCTGTGCTTCACGTCTCTTACTGATGTGCATCTTTGTTTACTGTCTGGCTCCTTGCATTCTGGGGCTGCGCCAGCCGTCTCCCTGCTGAGACAGAGTCGGGCTGGGTCCCTGTTGTTGCAGGGGGTTGGGGGGTGGGCACAAGTGAAGTGAGGCCAGCCCTTCCTTAGTCCCTGAAACTAAGCACCTATGTGCCTAGGAACTGTTCTAGGCCCCAAAGCAGTGAAGAAAGCAAACAAAATCCTTGCCTGCAGCCTTTAGTTTCTGGTGCCAGGTGGAGGTTGGGGGTGCCCGTGGAGAAAGACAAAAATCAAGTGAAAAAGTACAAGATGCAGGACATTGGACAGTGACAAGAATTATGGAGAGAACCATAGCAAGGGGCCTCTGGAGAGCAGTAGGCTTCTCCAACACCTCTCCCATCTGCGCTGAACAGCCCCTTGTCTCACAGTGGCTCAGTTTCCTCCTCTGTGAAATGGGTAGCATTGCAGTAACCTCTCCCTCACCAGTGATGAACATGGTGGAGGCAAGCACAGCTGCTGCTCCTGCTCAGCGATCACCTATTCCATTTTCCCTGCAACTGCTAGAGTTTAAAAGAAACTCAAACACCATTTTTTTCTTCCCTCTCTCTCTCTATATATATATTTTATTTGGCTGCACTGAACCTTAGTTATGATGTGTAAACCCTTACTTGCAGCATGTGGGATCCAGAGCCCCAACTGGGGATCAAATCTGGGCCCCCTGCATTGGGAGTGTGGAATCAGCCAGTGGACCACCAGAGAGGTCCCATCAATTTTTAAAAGAGTATTCGGTTTTTATTTGAATCAGAACTTTTGTGATTATGAAAAATCTAGTCAGTGCTGCCTCACCCCCACTCCTACCACTCCCCACCCCGCTGCCCCAACCTTACCATTGTGGGAAAAAAATCAATCAGGTGACCTAAGAAAGAAATGGAAATTTTTATTCAATCCAAATTTGAGGATTATAAGCCAAGAACAGCATCTCAGAAAGCTCCAAGGACTGTTTTGCCATTAGAAGTTAAGTCACAGCTATACAAGTTTCTTGAGACAGGACAGGAGTGTTATCCACAGTTTACACAATTCGAATCTAAGCTCATCATGGCCCCCCACAAGATCAAGAAACTGTTCAGTTGCTAAGTTGTGTCCAGCTCTTTGTGACCCCATGGACTGCAGCATTCCAGGCTTCCCTGTCCTTCACCATCTTCCAGAGTTTGCTCAAACTCATGTCCATCGAGTTTGTGATGTCATCCAACTATCTCGTTCTCTGTTGTCCCCTTCTGCCCTCAATCTTTCCCAGCGTCAAGGTCTTTTCTGATGAGTCACCTCTTCCCATCAGGGGGCCAAAGTATCAGAGCTTTAGCTTCCAAGGAGCATCAGCCCTTCCATTGAATATTCAGGGTTGATTTCCTTTAGGATTGACTGGTTTGATCTCCTTGCAGTCCAAGGGAGTCTCAAGACTCTTCTCCAGCACCACAGTTCAAAAATACCAATTCTTTGGTGCTCAGCTTTCATTATGGTACAACTTTCACATTAGTACATAACTACTGGAAAAACCACAGCTTTGACTATACGGACCGTTGTTGGCAAAGAAGTTCAGGAAGTGACCTTATCTTTTAAGCAGCTGTGCTGAATTCCAGGAGGCGTTTCTGCTGATGGGGGTGGTTTGGCAGATGCATAAATACAGATCAGACGCACAGCGAGGAGAGAGGCAGGTAAAGGGCAGAGAAATTTTTCGTGTTTAAATTTTCCTTGTCTTCCATGAAGCGTGAATTTTATTTCACACCATCTTCAATAATTGGGATGAAGGGTCTCGCATTTCTTGGGTTGGAAAGTGGAGGCCTGGTTCCGGGGGTGGGACGCGCAAACTCCGCCGGTGTCTTGAGCCTCCCGACCGCAGGAGGCAGCAGCGAGCGAGGCGGATACAGTGTATCCAAAGCGGCGGTGAATACGCTGTAACAAGCCCGGCGGGGAGGATACAATGTAACCCGGGCGGCGGTGGTCAGGTGAGCGGCGGGAGGGGAGCAGACCGGGTTCTGGGTGGCGGGGACTCGGACGCTCGGGCCGCCGCGCCCCGGAGCCCGGGGAGCCTCTCTCTAGAAGCGGACACCGGGGCATAGGGGGAGAGAAACCCAGCCGAGGCCCAGGCCCGGGCGCAAAGCAGGATTCAGACTCCCGGGCGATCACCTGGGGGCAGAGGGGCTTGGGGACCTCAGCTGCCCCCATCCCGCTCTGTCAGGATCTAGCTAGGAAGGCTGCCCCCGGGCACACTGTCACCCCTTCCAGCTGTCACCGCGCGCGTCTGTGGGATGCGAGAGGCCGGAGGGGACCCCACGGCTGTGCCACCCTGTGCTGGGGCTGGACCACTCTGAGCCTGTTTCCTCATCTCTGAAACGGTCAGACCCGGTGGAAGACACCTGGCCCTGTGCGGAGCCACTTAGCAAGGGTCCCCAGAGTGTATGTTGCTGTTGTTGTTGTGGGTGAAGGTGGGGGAGGCCCTTTTGGGGTGGCGTCACCCAGAGGCGGGGTGGACGCTGCCAAGCTTCAGTGGCAAGCAATCCTTAAAGGGACAGTAGCGGCCCTGCTCCCGGTGGGGTCCTGGAGGCCTCCTGATGGGCGTGAGCAGCTCGGGTGCACCTTCACCCTGTCCCCCCTGGGGAGAAGTTTAGGGGCCTCTGGTGGTAGCTGGGTGATGACAGGGCCTCTGGTGGCTGTGTCACAAGCAGAACAGGCAGGGCTGGTTCAGGCACATCTGAGCTTCAGCCCTGTGTTCCTCGGGGCCTGAGAGATGCTGGGCTTTGTTCTCAGGGTCCTCTAATTGCAAAGTCGTGGGCTCCTCACCCCACCCCAGTGAGAGGAAGTCTCTGGAGAAGGGGAGACAGTGGACTAGTGGGTTTCCTGCATGCCGCTTGCTCAAGTGTCCACCTTCCGGCCTGCACCTCTCTGAGGTCAGGCCTGAATTTGGGGTGCAGAGCTCTCCGTGGGGTGAACCTGGTGGGGTGGTGAGGGTTGCTATCGCTCCCCTGTAAGCCAGTTGCTGTGCACTTTGTCTGCTGGGCCCCTGTGTTAGGACCCCTTCTGGCTGCTCCTGGCACCCACTTCTCCCTGGGAAATGGGATTCTTTTAACTTTGGCTGGAGGGGAACTGAGGCTGAGAGAGGTCAGGTTACCCCAGTCACTCACTCACCCATGGCCTCTCTGCCTGGCCTACCCATCAGGAGCTTAATGAGAGATGCGATTTCCAGGAGGGCTTGTATCCCAGAGAAGGGCAGCTGAGCAGTGTTCCTGCCTTTGAGCTCCTCAGGCCATATTTTATTTTCTTTCTGACTAAGGGCTAAGACCCTGTGCATTTTATGTATTTTAAAAAATTGAAATGTAGTTGATTTACAATGTTGTGTTAGTCTCCGGTGTACCCCAGAGTGCTTCTGTTATAGATATAGATATCTTTTTCATGTTCTTGTCCATTATGATTTATTACAGGATGTGGAATATATTTCCCTGTGTTATACAGTAGGATCTTCTTGTTTATACATCCTTTATATAATAGTTTGCATCTGTTAACCCCATAACCCCAATTCAAACCCCACTCCCAACCACCTGGCAAACTCAAGTCTGTTCTCTACATCTGTGTGTGTGTTTCTGTTTTGCAGATAGGTTCACTTGTGTCATATTTTAGATTCCACATTTAAGTGATATCATATGGTATCTGTCTTTCGGACTTAGGGTGTTAATCTCTAGTTGCATCCATGTTGCTGCAAATGGTGTTGTTTCATTCTTTTTTATGGCTAATATTCCATTGTGTATATCTGTACCACACCTTTATGCACTCATTTGTTGATGGACATTTAAGTTCTTTCCATGTGTTGGCTATTGTGAATACTGCTGCGATGGATGCTGGGTGCATGTATCTTTTTGAATTACAGTTTTCTCCAGGTGTATGCCCAGAAGTGGCATTGCACCATCATATTGCAAGTCTATTTCTAGTTTTTTTTTCAGGAATGTCATCCTGTTCTCTATAATGCCTCTGGCCATATTGTAAAATGCTGGGAGGTTTCTGAGGAGAGACCCATGGGGGTGGCTCCTGACCCTCCAGTCTTTTGGGGCTAGACTGATTGGCATGGGATGTCACTGCCATGCACCCGTGCTTCATCTCCACCCCTCCCCTGCCCCCACCCCAGGAGGCAGGCATTCTCCCTTATTTATGTGCTAGAAAATGCTCATGACCAGGAGAGGCAGCGTTGTATCAGGCCTGTCTGATTCTTAGTAGTTGCGATGATGACTGTAATATGCACCTGATATTTATTTCTGGCCAAGGGACTCAGAACTTTGTATTGACTCGTTTAGACTGTAACTCTATACAGTGGATACTATTCTTGTCCCTGTTTGAAACATGACAACTCAAAAGCACAGAAAGGCTTAGGCATTTGCCCAAGGTCACACAGCTGGAGCTGGTAGAGTGTGGATTTGAGTAGGGCCAATTTGCCTGCTGATCACAGTCTGTTGGGGGTGATTAGTATGGATCTGTTTTGGCTGCAAGAGACAGAAATCCTCCTCCTGATAACAGTAGTTTAAACAGAAGTTTATTTGTGTCTCAGTTGAATGAAGCCTGGGGGTGAGCAGCCCAGGGAATCCTCACCACTTGGGAAGAAGGGGATGGTGAGTACGGAGACAGCTGGGTCTCCCCTGCATTCTGGAGGCTTTCTTGGGTGCTGTGGTTCCTGTCATCTGGGGAGGCGCTGGGCATCAGAGCCGAACACAGTGTGTGAGCTTCCCAGAGACCTCAGGTTATAAGGGAGATAGGGGTTTGGGCTCATGGCACCATGTTCTGCCCTGCTGTGACCAACAGGTAGCCGGTCTGCAGGTGCCAGTTCTACCGGTCCAGAACTTCCAACCCCCATCCTTCCAGAGGCCAGAGAGGCAGACAGGTCCCACAGAGGTGTGGGGGTCCCTGTCCAGGTGCAGGGCAGCACTAGGGGTGGAGGGTGGCCTCGGGCCATCGCCGCTGGTTCAGTTTTCCTTTCAGTGTGTATGTGGGCACATAGGAATCATAGGATTGCCTTTTATAATTACAGATTATTTTAGACTGCAACCAGGTGTCAGCAGAGCATAGCAAACATCCATGTCCTTCCTACAAAGTTTTGAAAACATCGTTCAACCGAACTCATTTTGTCCTTGAAGCAGAAAGAAGCTAAGGAATGTGGGTCAGCTAGTTAAGTGTGGGCCTCTGTCTCAGGAGCCACCAGCCCTGTGTGTCTGTGGTTTGCTGAGCTCCCAGCTGTGAGCTCAGCCCTTGCTGTCTGTGTCCCTGGGCCCGAGGTGTGGGGCCAGCCGTGGGCTCAGGCCACATGGTGGTCATACAGCATTCAGCAGGCCTCTCCACAGGGCAGTGTTAAGGTGGGTCCTGCCCTGGGCCACACTGCAGGTGGCAGGGCAGGCCTGAGCCCTGGCATCAGCACTGAGCCTTCTGCTGGCAGGGCTTTCTGGATGCTCTGACATGAAAGGAGCACCCTGGGTCCTGGGCGAGAGGGAGGCATTGAGTGTTGGCTGGCCAGGCGATGTGAGCGGGACCAAGGGGGCTCCGTGTTGGAGGTCTGGCTGGGCACCCCCCAAGCCCTGCCTGCCCCATCGGCGACTTGGGCATCACTGTTCTCACTGAGGGGCCAGCCATGGGGGCTGGGTGAGGGGGCTGAGATGGCTTGGGGAGGGACTGAGGGGAGAGGCCGTGGTGTGTGGATATTTGGCCTGGACCCTCCAGGGGAAGTGAGAGGTGCCAGGTCTCCCCTCTGATACCTTAGGCACTGGAAAAGGGAAGGGGACCCCAGTGAACCTGGGTGCTGGATGCTCACTTCTGCTCTGCCCGGCTGTCCACAGGTGGGGTGCTATGGAATATGACGAGAAGCTCGCCCGGTTCCGGCAGGTCCATCTCAACCCCTTCAACAAGCAGCAGCATGAGCAGGGGGCTGGCGAGGAGGCCCTGGACATTACTTCTCAAGGTGGATGCAGGGGGTGGGGTTGTATAGGTGGTCTGCCCTGCTCATGCCAGCCCCCATCTTTTTAGATGGTTCCTCCCTGGGGGCATGCAGGCGGCTTCTTCACAGTTTAGACTGCTTCCCCTGGTCCATCCTCAGGAGAATGAACACGCCCCTGGGCGGGGATGTGTCACTATCTTGTCTGCATGTCCCGGGGGCCACACACAGCAGGGGCTCCCTCGGGGAACACTTAGGCCTGGAACTCAGAGCCAAGACCTGCAGGGTGAGAGGTCAGCAGGATGTGAGCCCTGAGACTGCAGACCGAGCCCAGGGGGTGCCCGAGTCCACACAGGGGCTCCCATGTTCTGGTGTGTAGCCCTCCAGAGGTCCTTCTCCAGTCCACAGATGCACACACAAGCTGTGAGCCTTAGAAACTGGCGTTTCTGTAACCCTGGTTTTGCACGGCTCCTGTCAGCACAAGGACACAGGTCCTCTGCAGGTGCACACAGGGCTCACGCCAGAGCAGAGCCCTGCTTCCCTGGGCACCTCTGTGGGCTCCCTGTTCCCCGAGGGCCCTGCAGCCCCCTCCTGGGGTGGCGGGCCGACTCCTCTCTCTGCCACCCTCCCCACCTGCCCTGCTGCAGCGCGCCTGCCCGAGCTGCCTCCCGGGGAGCCAGAGTTCCGCTGCCCAGAGCGTGTGATGGATCTTGGCCTGTCTGAGGACCACTTCGCTCGCCCCGTGGTAAGGTTCAGGGTCTGTGGGTGGACGAGGTGACCCTCCCCCTCAGAGTGTGAGGAGCTGGCCACATCCATCTCAGCCGGGCCTCCTAGGCCTGGAGTCTGAGGCCTGCGTAACACCCAGATCCCACCCTATACCTCTGTGCCGGCCTGTGGGAATGGGTTGGATGCGATGTTTGGGAGCCTGGGCTCTGTCCTCCTGGGCAGCCATTCTCTCCCCTCCACACAGGATCCTACAAAGCAGATGTGGGGGTTGATTCCATTTGGGGACCTAGGGAATCCTGTCGTCTGTTGCGGGGTGAAGGCAAGGGTGGCCCCTGCCCGCCACTACCGGCTCAGCTAGGCAGGGCCACTCCTGTCTGAGCTAGGTTTTGCTCCATGAAAACCTTGTGGGGTGTGTTTTGTTTTGCTTTTTTAATTAAAGGGCTCTAATGATTCCTTTAAAGTTTCAAAATCTTTGCAAACTATCTCCAGCTGTTGTTTGAGAGAGATGTTATGGTAACATTCAAATAGGACTTTAAGATTCGCCTGAGTCCCCAGTTCTCTTTTGCTGGTCATGTGGCCTTTAACTTTACATTCTGTTGGTACATACACTCCTCTCAGTTATGTGTTTAACCCTTATTTTGCACTCCTGCAGGCAGTGGCACCCCTTTTTTGGGGTCTCAGCCCCCAGCTCTGAGACCTGGCCTGTCTCCTTGCCCAAGTTTAGGGCTTTGCTGGACCCGAGCCCAGGTCAGCCCGTGAGGTGCTGGGCCTGAGGGCAGGTGGCAGCCAGGGGTGTCTCTGAGCTTGGCGATTGAACCAGAGGCAACTTCCTCTCCTTCTTGACAGACAAGTGTCATTTCCCCTGCTTTCATCCAAGAGGAAGTTCTGTAGAAGCAAGTGAGATAGCATAGCCAGAAAAGCAATTGGATTTCTAAAAGAGGGAAGTTCTGTTTTGAAGAACACCATGAGTTAGCTCTCCAGAGGCCCATGGGTGGACAGGTCCAGAGAGTGGGCAGGTGGTGTGGGCTGGGGCCTGCCTCTGCTGCTGATGGTTCTGGGCCTTGAGCAAGTCAGAGATCGAGATGGGTGGGGAGATCTGTTCTAGGCCCAACAACACACAATCTGACTATCATTGTCTCCAAACTGCTCTCCACCATGTGAGCAGGGCCTGTTCCTGGCCTCTGATGTCCAGCAGCTGCGGCAGGCCATCCAGGAGTGCAAGCAGGTCATCCTGGAGCTGCCAGAACACTCGGAGAAGCAGAAGGACGCTGTGGTGAGGCTCATTCACCTCCGGCTGAAGCTGCAGGAGCTGAAGGTGGGTGCTGGCCCACCCCCAACAGCAGCCAGAGCTGAACTGGAGGCTGGGGGAGTGATGGGCCCTCAGCCCAACTCTGATCCTGCCTGTAGTCCTGGGTCATGTGTCCACCCACTGAAGCAGGTGGGTGAGTTAGTCCCACCTTGAGCCACGTGACCCAGAGTGTGGGCTGGTTCCCTGAAGATGACAACAGAAGGGGTTGTGGATCCCGGAAGCCAATAACCACTGGGGTCTGTCATATAGTCCTTGAGTCTGGTTCATGAGTCCATGGGATTTGGACAGTGGTAGGTTCATTAGAATACAGGTAGGGCAATGGTATGGGCTCAGACATCCTGAAAGACAGTGGCTTAAAGGAGGCGGTTGTGTAGATTCACTCATGTGGAAGTGTTACGGGTTCCCTGGGCCCATCTGGCAGCTACTGGCACTGGAGGCCGCAGGTCCCCCTTTTCCGTTGCTTTGCTCTTCCCTGGCAAGTCCAGGACCACCTCCACCATCTGGGTCTGCTCTCAGCCAGCAGAAACAAAGCAGGGAGCACAGCGAGCACCCCTCAGTACCAATCACGTGCCCTGGGCCCTAGTGTGGCCCTGGAGCAGCATCTAGGTACAGAGGTGGTCTGTAATCTCAGTGGACCAGGCCTGACCGGGCATCCTGTTCTATTGTAAAGGGAGGGGTCTGTGGTAACCTCTGCTATGTGTGGTGCCTGGGAGATGCAGTCAAAGGGCTCATGTGCCCAGAAGGAGCTGTGACCCCTCCCAGGTCTCCTCCCTAGGACCCCAATGAGGATGAGCCCAACATTCGAGTCCTTCTTGAGCACCGCTTCTACAAGGAGAAGAGCAAGAGTGTGAAGCAGACGTGTGACAAGTGTAACACAGTCATCTGGGGCCTCATTCAGACCTGGTACACCTGCACAGGTGAGCAGAGACCAGACTGCCCTTCTGGGCCGGCAGTCTAGGTCTCCGGGGAGAGGGGTTCTCTATCATGTCCTCAGTATTTGCAGAACCCTGCAGTGTGTGGTGGGTGTAGCAAGAGATGAGAGACCCAGGTGTCTGCCTTCCCTGGGCTCAAGTCCACTGGCCACATGTCACTCTTCAAATTTAAATTATTGAACATAGATAACTAGCTCCTCAGCTGTACTGTGCACGTTCCAAGTACACAGTAGCCATGCAAGGTTGGTGGTCACCCCGCTGGACATTGTAGAGACACATCACTGTATTGGAGGTGCTGCTCTGGATGAGAAATCAAATGAGTCAGTGATATGGTGTGTTAGAAATAGTGAAGAAGGCCAGGGGAGGAACAAGCATGTCAGGGAGTGGGTTGCTGCTATTTTAGGGTGAAATGAAAAGGCTTCATGTGACATTTAATAAAAAAAACTTGGAGGTTAGGGGCAAACCAGGAGCATATCTGGGAAGGAACATTTCTGCAGGGGAGCTGTCTGTGCAAAGGCCTGTGGTCAGTGTTTGTCCAATGTATTTGACGAGGAGCAGAGAGCAGCGTGGCGTAGAGGTGCTTCAGAGGTGGCAGGGGGCTTTTCTCTAAGTGCACTGGGGCCATGTGGGTGGATATACTTAGGTTTTAACTCCAGCTGCTGAACTGAGTGTAGCATGGGGGAGGGAAAATGATGGCCTTCTGACCAGGGTGAGACTCTGACAATCAGATGAGAAGGGCCAAGTGCAGCTGTAGCTGAAGGACTGGACATGGGTGTAAGAGAGGAGTCAGGATGACTTCCCAGTTTGTAGTCTCAGGAGGTTGAAAGACAGAGTCCCTGAAATCTGAGATGGGAAGCTGGGGTAGATTTGGGTAGGAAGAGTCGGGTTTCACTTAGATTGCTTGGCCTTGATCCCTTTGTGTATCCCAGTGGGCATGGCTGGTAGGCCCCTGAACTTTTGAGTCTGAAATTGGGGGAAAGGTGTGCATGTACCTTCAGGGCAAGGCTTGGGGTGGGGACATTTGGGGACCTGCAGTGACGCCCGCAGAGGCTCTTGGGTTGATCTGGGAAGTGGAGTGGAGCCCCCTGGGTGTCCCAGAAGCTGAAGGTCAGCCTGGGCTGCAGAGTGGCCCCCCTCCTAAGAGGCATGCTGTTGGGCCCCCATCCCAGGGTGTTATTACCGCTGTCACAGCAAGTGTTTGAACCTCATCTCCAAGCCCTGTGTGCGGTCCAAAGTCAGCCACCAGGCTGAGTATGAGCTGAACATCTGCCCTGAGGCAGGGCTGGACAGCCAGGATTACCGCTGTGCTGAGTGCCGAGCACCCATCTCTCTGCGTGAGTGCACCCCAGGTTGGGGATGGGAGTGGGGCAGGGCGCAGGGCTGAGGGGAGCTGTTCTAGGCAGGGTGCCCTGCCATCAGCTGCGTGAATAAATGGGAGGAATGTGCAGTTGAGCTCCTCTCCTTAGGAAGCCAAAAAGGACTGCTTTTGGTGCCTTTTCATGCCCTGCCCAAGCTGACTGAGGTTCCCCTAGGAGTCCCTGCAGGGCTGGGCTACAGTCTCCCTCCTGTGACCACATTGTCACAGAAAACCCACTCCATGGGAAGACCACGCTACACTCACGCTGTATGTCAGGCCTTCTTCCTAGAAACTGAGTCAACTGAGGTTGACTCGAGGGATTCCCCATCTACTGTCCCATTTTACTGATGAGAAAAGGGAAGTGGGGCAACGTAGAAGAGGACGAGTCAGGGGCGGGCCGGGCGGTGGAGAACCCTTGGTGCAGCTGGGGGAGGGGACCTCTCGGGTCTCCCTGACTTTGGAACATCTCCTCCGCAGGGGGAGTGCCCAGCGAGGCCCGGCAGTGCGACTACACTGGCCAGTACTACTGCAGCCACTGCCACTGGAACGATCTGGCTGTCATCCCAGCGCGTGTGGTGCACAACTGGGACTTCGAGCCGCGCAAGGTGCGGAAAGAGAGAGCGGGAGCGAGGGGTGCAGCCCTGGGTATTGGGCGGGGCGTGGTGTGGCCAGGGGTGTGGCCGAGCGCTGGGGGCACTGGAGGGTGGCTGCAGGGGCAGGTCAGAGCACAGGCTGCGTGGGGCGGGGCCTCAGGGTGGGGCAGAGTGGGGCGGGGCCGAGACCGGCGGTGCTGCTGGGGAGCGCAGAAGCGCCAGCTTTCCACCCCTCCCGCCCAGGTGTCCCGGGGCAGCATGCGCTACCTGGCGCTGATGATGTCGAGGCCAGTGCTCCGGCTCCGGGAGATCAATCCTCTGCTGTTCAACTACGTGGAGGAGCTGGTAGAGATCCGCGTAAGACAGGGGAGGGACAGGCATGGGGCAACTCTGCTCCCCCTTCGCAGCTGTCTGAGAGGAGAGATGCCACCTGTGTCGCTGGGTGCCCCCCTCCCGTACTGTCCTTTAAGTTAAAGTCGCTAGAGCAACTGTCCAGTCACAATACGAAATAGGACGCGAGGCTCAGAGGCAGTTTGAAATTTTCTAGTAGCCACAGTAGAAAAATGAGGTGAAATTCATCTCAGTGGTGTATTTTATTTCATGCACATTATTGAGATACATCGCCTGGTGTTTCTGTCTTGCATTAGTCTGCATCCCAGTGTGTATTGTCAAGTGCAGCCTCACATTGGCCCAGCCACATCTGGTTGGTGTTCTGAGGAGCTGTGTGTGACTGGGGGTCCTTTCTTTGGCTCAGCAGAGGGCGGGGTGGGGTGTGCCTCGGGCCTGTGCGGAGAGGAATGGGACTTGTTGAGGAGGAGCTGAGGCACAGGGCCGCAGGGCTGAGGAGGGGATCTGGGTTCAAATGGGCAGTCTGGATGTGAGCTCAGGTGCCCCTGGGGTGTGTGTGCGCATGTGGAGTGGGGCAGGGAGCAACTATGCATGAAGGAAGCTTAGGGTCCTGCCTGGCAGGGAAGCTGTGGCTTGACCTTGAGCTGAGCTGGAGGGCTCAGATCTGGGACTGTCCTGAGGGGACAGGAATGCACTTATGGTCCTCTACTGACCCAGAGTGTAAAGTGACAAAGCTTCCCACAAAGCCAGCCCCACCCCACCCCCACTGGCCATGCAGACATGCCCAGCACAGCCCCTGCTCTGGCCAGAGATGCCCACTTGCCCGTCTTGTCCACAGAAGCTGCGCCAGGATATCTTGCTCATGAAGCCATATTTCATCACCTGCAGGGAGGCCATGGCAGCACGCCTGCTCCTGCAGGTCAGTCCACCCACCCCCGGAGTAGAGGAGGGGTGGGATGGGAAGGGGTCCTCCAGGAGGGCAGGAAACAGACCAGGATCATGAGGGGAAGGCTTGATACCGTGCCTGTGCTGTCCTGTCAGCAGAGGGTCTCCACACTGTCCCAGGGAGCACCAGGGCTACCCACAAAAGCGTTCTACCCACAAAAGTGTTCTACCCACAAAATCGTTCTCTGCTTCCGTCAGTATGAGAAGCACTGAGAGAGTGGGTTGCCCTGCAGCCTTCATGGGAGCCTCCACGGAATGGACCCAGGGAGGGCTGACCACAGAACACTCTGAGGCTCACCCACTTACTTGTTTGCAAGCACTCACTGGGTGCCTGCTGTGTGCCGACGGTGTTCTGGGTCCTGGGGAGCAGAGAGCAGGGCGGGCGGGACCTGGCCCTCACCTAGGAGTGCACTCTCCGGGTTGGCCCAATGGGAAGAGTAGGAAGCAGTGCATTGGGTGGTGAGATGTGTGGACAAGATAAAGCCGGGAAGAGGGCTCTGGGCAGGCGAGGGCCCCAGCCTGGTGGCTCCGGGTTCACATGGCTGCGCCTGCAGCTCCAGGACCGGCAGCACTTTGTGGAGAATGATGAGATGTACTCGGTGCAGGACCTGCTGGACACGCACACGGGCCGGCTGGGCTGCTCGCTGGCTGAGACCCACACGCTGTTTGCCAAGCACATCAAACTGGACTGTGAGGTGGGCCCCCACAAGCCAGGTGGGGAGGCGGGAGGGCGGCTTGGGAGGGTGTGCCCCCAACCTGGGAGTGGGCACTGACCTCCCCGCCTTGCCTGCAGCGGTGCCAGGCCAAGGGCTTTGTGTGCGAGCTCTGCCGGGAGGGCGACGTGCTGTTCCCCTTCGACAGCCACACGTCTGTGTGCGCCGACTGCTCTGCTGTCTTCCACAGGTCTGTGTGAGCGACTGCCTCCGTAGACGGTAGACGACAGGTGTGGGAGAGACAGGTGCTGGGAGTGTCAGGTGGGGAGAGGCTGGGGCTTGACCTTTGCCACCTGGTTTCAAATCCTTGTGCCTGGATCCTGAGGTATGAATTTAGACCCTGATGTGCAAGACTCAGCTGTGGTTCCACTGGGGAGAAGCCCCCAGGGCCTGGGGAAGGTGCGCAGCCCAGGCCCCCATGTCCAGCTCCTTCCTTTCTTCCTGGGACTTTGGTTTACTGAGGCTGAAGCTTCCTAAGCTCTCTAGTTTTTATGATTTTTTTTTCAAACATCCCTAGGCCACAAGAAATACCCAACAGTTTTATTTATTAAGTACTTAGGTTCAACAGTGGAAGCATTTATGTCCTAAAGACTTGTGGGTGTTTGGAAGAATGATACACAGAAGTGGGAAGAACATATTTGAACTCTTTAAGTACACTTACCAGTAGGCTTATGCCTATGGAGCCCACACGGCTTGTCACACTGGGCTCAGATGGGACCCCACCACCCCGTTTCTGTCCACATTGGATTTTCCTGGCACTTGCTGTTTCTCAGAGTGACCCGCAACCTCATAGGTCAGCAGAGCTGGACTGCAGTCTCAGTAAGGACTGTAGCAGAGAGTATTGTTGAAACTCTGAGCTCCTTTGAGCTGGCAGTTTGTGTGGTATCTTGTCAAATGCTGCTGTGCCCCCTTCAAAAATTTAAGCTGCTATGGGGACCGTGTGCACCTCCACAGAGCCCTTGGCCGGGGGGCGGGGGGTGCTTTACACGGTAGTGGGAACAGGTCAGGGAGGGGAGTCACTAAGAGGGTCAGAGGGTACCAGGTGATAGGTGTGGCCCCTTGGGGTGTCTGTATGGAGGAATGGGATACAGGCCTGGCCAGCATACCTGGGTGAGAATGCTGCAGGCTCCTGTCTGTCCAAGGAGTATTGTGAAGACTCAGGGTCACAATTCTACTTGTGGAGCCCCCTCTTCACGGCCATTCCTATCTCCCCCAGGGACTGCTACTACGACAATTCCACCACGTGCCCTAGGTGTGCGCGCCTCACCCTGCGGAAGCAGTCGCTCTTCCGGGAGCCTGGTCCAGACCTGGACGCCTGAGCGATGGAAGCTCTTCTAGGCCTGTCTGTCCTGCTGGTCGTTGCCTCAGTGAAGGTGTTTCCTGTACTCTGGAGACCTAGGGTCCGGCCCCTGGACCCCGCCACTGCTGAGCCAGCACCACCAGGACCATCGTCCCCTGGCGTGTGTTGGGGCTTGGGGCGGCTGTTTTTTGGGTGGGCTGCTGTGAGGGCCAGGACATGCACCCTTCCTTCACTGCAGAGCTTTGAGGGTCAGGTGGGGGAGCATCCCTCACCTCCCCTTTGGTCAAAAGCCCCCCCACCCTACCCCGCCCACCTTGGGATCAAGGCTGCTGGGCCCTGGCTACCCTGGAAATCCTGGAAGCCTTCCAGGGAGTGCTGACAAGACTGAGGATGCAGTCTTAGCCTGACTTTTACCTGTGGTGGATGGTATGGGTTCTACTTGGAGGCCCCTCCCCCAGCTCCTTGCCTCGTTGAGGTCCCCTGGTTGCCCCTGGCTGGGGCTGTGTTCATCACTATCTCCTGAGGGCCCTGCCCCCACCCCCGGGTTCTCTCTCTGGGGTCTCCACCGGCAGGACCATTCCAGGGGCTACTGGCTGCCGTGGAGATCTCACCTCCTAACCGCCCCTGCCTTGGCCCAGCCCAGCTCACTCTGGTGTTTCGTCCAGCAAGGATGTGTGCTTCCAGTTATCTGGCAGGGCCGTGCCCCTGGCAGGTCAAGGTTAGGTGAGAGGGCTAGGGGGCAGAAGACCTGGACCAAGTGTGCCTACGGAGGGCTCCGGATCACTTGGAGACCCCCCAACTGGGGCCTTCTGTATGGGGAACTGAGATCAGGCACTAGAAATACTTGCTCGGGGGAGCACCAGGCAGGACTCTTGGGGTGTGGGAGGTCCTGCCACCAGTGGGCAGAGGGAGCCGGGCATGGAGGACTGACCCAGTGGGGAAGATGCACTTGTGGGGACCATCCAGGGGAAGGCTGCCCTGGCCTTGCTGGCCTTCTCCTTGCCCTGGACTGTGCTTGGCTGTTGACATCTGGGGCTGACACACACATGTGGCGGCTGGTGGGCAGGAGGCAGTCATCTGGACATCCATCACCTTTGACTGGGAAGCACAAGGAGAGGCTTGGCCAACAGGGAGGCCAGCTGAGCCAATGTGGGGGGTGGGTAAGGACAGTGCTAACCCCTCCTTGCCCCTCTGCACCCCAGGGAAGCCCTGCCCAGGGGCTTTAGGCCACCCTCTGACTGTGCTGGGCTGTTCAGCATGTCACTGTGGGGGATTGGTTCACATGGGGCCACCCTGCTTCCCATTCTTGGGTCTAGGGGGTTAAAGGCTAAGTGCCCTCTTCCTACGCCTCCAATCTGTACATCTCACTGGGGCATCGCATTTCTGTCACAGGGATCCTGGCTTCTCCCAAATGGACTGTGTAATCAGCACTGTGTTATTCCAGTTGCAGTTACTGTGTCCATAAGAAATGTCAGTAGCCATTTGTTGGGCAAGGTTGGCTCTTTTTTTTAAACTTCCTCCCACATCACGTCTTCTTCTCATCTGCCTTCTGGGTGACAGATTCTTGAAACAGAATCATGTGTAGGTCTTTCTGAGACCAACAGTAGCCAGAACCCACTGAGGAACCAGTTAGCATGGGCAGGCCTCCCAGGAGAGCCGTGTGGGCTGGGCGCTGGGGACAGGGTGGGGTTTGCTGCAGGGTTACTCAGAGCCCATAGGCCCCCTCCCATATGGTCAAGTGTAAACTGGGCACCTGATCTTGGCATCAGTGTGCTGACACCTCTGTAGGCTGTGCTAAAGCACACCCTCTGGGGTTGTTTGGATTCCAGGAAGTGCTGGGCCCAGCCTGGCTCTGTAACAGAACTTATGTCTTCTTTCCTGAGTCCTCCCAGAGGGAAGACTGTCATGTTAACTCAATGTAAGCAGTGCTGGTCCCAGGTCTAGCTCCCAGAAGCCCCTCTGGTCTTCAAGTTTGACTCACTGAAAGGGCCCTTGGAGCTCAGGAGAACCCAAAAGCCCCTCCCAAATGACATTCAAACCTGTGTGTATGTACATTTCTCTCTGGTTTTGAGGATGATCTCAAAGAAACATCAGGGGTGTGCTGCACAAGGCCAGGGGTGGGGGAAGGGTGTGTGTGGGCTGTCTGTGGGCCCATGCTGGTGCCTCCACTTCAAACAGCTAAAGCCACACTTTGGTATCAGAGGGAGCATGCAGTCTCCACCCACCCACTTCAGGTATGAGGATGAGTTTTTCTTAAACTTTCAATTTTAACAGCTGTAGGTTTACAGAAGTGCTACAAACACATTCCCAGGTACCCATCTCCTGGATTCCGTGAATGTTAACATTTTCCCCATTTGCCTTACTCTTTCTCCACACACTTTCTTTTGAACCATCTGGTGGAAGTTGCAGATGATGCCCCTTTGCCTCTAAGTGCTCCTGTGTTACCCCAGCAAGGATATGCCTCCTACAATTACGGTGCGGTTACTGACATCAGGATGCTCACATGGATGCTGACCATAAAGCCTACAACAAGCTGTGTTCAGATTCAGCCACTTAGTTGCCATGTCATTTTAGCCTTTAATCTGGAAGGGTTCAGGACTCTGGACACTCTGGACACTCTGGACTCAGGACACAGAAAATCACAGATAAATTATTCTGAAGACTTTCCTTCAGTGAGGGTTTTTCCAACTGGACATGGGCTTTGCCCTTTTGATGGGAATTTCACAGAAGTGACACTGGGTCCAGTTTGTCATCTGTCCTACTCAAAATGCTCTGGTCCACTGGCCTGTCAGCTGACTGATATCTTCCTGGCACTCTTTAGGCACTTTCTAGCACAGGAAAGTGTTCCAGGCTTAGTTAGTAATTGCCCCAGTCCCAGCCCTGACACCAGTCATTTCTCTGAGGAGCCCTGGAACCTTCTGGTGGAGGGCGGACGTGATGGTGGGGTGTGCTCACTTCTGGGCTGATCACTGCCCATAGGTCCTTTCACTAGTGTGGAAATAGTGCTCCTTATCTGTTTCTTTTCTGGTCTATAAGCATTAAAAACCCTGAGTTCACAGTGAAACTTCCAATTTCAAAACAACATGAGTCATTCTTTCCCTTTTTCACGTTTATTATTTCCTTGCTCGACAGTGAGTGGAAAAGCTGGCTCCCTTACCCAGAGTACATGTATTTGCTCCGTCCGACAGTGCATAGAAAGCGCCTTTGGGACTGCTCACTTATGCTGGTGAGAAACAAGGCTACTCATGAGCCTTTAATATTTGTCTATAGCCTGAGTGCATACAGTCAAAAAGTACTTGCTTCTGCTTCTTCATTGTGGGTGTGCAGTTCCTGTGAAATATGGTTCTGTTCAGGTAGTCCACTGCTTTATTTTCCCATCCTTGTTTACTTTTGTTTGTACAGTATGTTAACATGGTCCCCAAAGTCAGAACTTCACAAAAGGTACAAAAGTTACATCTCATCCCACCCCTGGAACCAATCTCTTTAGTTTGATTTCTCCCACCTCTGTTTCTTACTGTACAAATGAGTACGATGTATGCATATTTTCTCACTTCCCTGTCTTCCTTCCACAAAAGGTAGCATACTTTACTCCTGATGTTGCTTTTTTTCTATTAACAATATATCTTGGAAACCACTCCACATCAGTTGAGTTCTTCCTTGTTCTCTTATTATTGTAGTTATCATCACTTACAACTGTCTAACTCTCCATTGTGTGCAAGCGCCATTTCATATTTGACTTTTTACATGAGACTCTTCAGGCTGTTTCCTAGGTTTTGCAGTTGCAAACAGGGCTGCAACAAAATTCATGCATCTGTATTTTCTTTTGTTGGAAGTGTATCCTCCTAAAAGTGGGATTGTTAAATCAAAATAAATATATTTTGTATTAGTGCTTGATGCTCCTCTGTAAGGGATGTACAAGTTTGTGTTCCCACCAGGAGTGAACGAGGGTGCCTGTGACCCCACAGCCTAACCAGTGGTGTGTAGCCATACTTTTGATTATTGCTGATCTGAATAATGAGAAATGGTATGAGTGTTGTTTCATCTGCACTTCTCTTATGTTTGAAGAGCTAATTTACTTGCTTATGAATTATATCTTCTGTTTACTTTTCTATGGGGTTTTTGTATTTTCCTCTCGATCTTTAAGAGTTCTTCACATATCAGAGATATTAACCCATTATCTGTGAGAAATTTTCTTCCAGTGTGTTGTTTGCCTTTGACTCAGTTTGTAGTGTCTTATCCTCATGGAAAAGTTTTTATTACATTTTCATATCATCAAATTGATTAATCTTAAATTTCATCTGGACTCTGAGTTACAGAAGATCTTCCTGATCACCCATGGGGAAGAGGCATATATCCATGGGTTGTGTAGCACCTGTATTGTTTCAGCTTTTACATTCAAATCCCTCGTCTGTTTGTTTATTCCTGTGTATGCTGTGAGGTGTGAACTAACTAGCTTTTGCCAAATTTTATCTAGCTGTCCTGCACTATTGAAAAAAAGAAAAACCTATCTGTATCTACTTCTGGACTCTCTATTGTATTCTACATGTTTGAGTACCTCTTTGATTCAATCACAGGTTTTATAGTGTGTTTCAATGTCTAGCAGGGCTGGTCTCCTCATTGTGTGTTTTAAATAACTCTTCCTGGATGTTCTTTCAGTCTTCTTAAAGCACATATTTAAGCACAATTTCAGTAACAAGATGTGATGCTCTTTAGTGTCAAAATGAACGCACCAGAAGCAGGGTTTTCAAGGATGTTAAACATCTGGAAGCCGAGACTTGGCCAGGTGTCATCCAGGAGGTTGCCCTGTTGTGTCTGGTCTTCCTGCCGTGGAGTGTGTTGTGTACCGAGGTTGCCTAGGAGAGCTGTTTGGAGCGCTGCTCCTTCTCACTGTACAGCTCCCTGTAGCAGCTTATTGCATCATTGATTGCTCTTGAAACTTGCAGTTTCCATGCGGCATCAGGGCTGTTACTGGTAAGGACCTGCAAGCCGGCCTCAAAATGTGAGAAGGCTGCTGACAGCTCCCGTGAGGTTAGTTGGCGCAGGGCAGGGGCAGCCTCTTCGCCCTCCTCCTCCTCTCCTGCGGGCTCCTGCTCTCTTGCATCAGCTCCTCGTCTGAGAGACCCTCTTCGTGGGACTGCAGCAGCTGGTCCACATCAGCTTCTCCCACCTCTCCAACAGCCACACTCTTGGCAAGGATCACAGTATTTTGTTGAAGCTGTGCAATGCCATCTGTTTGGGAAGCACTCTGGAACTGAACACACTCAGGCCAAATCTTCTTCCACACACTGTTCATTGTTGCTGGTGTGAGCTCCCCCCAGGCTACTGCGATGTTGTCCACAGCGTCCACAATGCTGTAGTTTCTCCAGAATTCCCTGATCTCTGCTGTATCCTCCCCGTCTGTTGCTTCTAGGATGTGCTCAAAAGTCCTTCTTAGGTAATGAGCTCTGAAGGCAGAGGCTATACCTTGACCCATGGGCTGGATCGAGTCAGCTGTGCTGTCATGAAGATATTCCACTCTTACATTATCAGACAGATCGCTCAGATTGACTGGGTGGCATGGTGCCTTGTCTAAGATGAGCAGGGCTTTGTCGGTCAGGTTGTTTTGGGCACAGTATTTCTCAATGGCAGGGCAAAAAAAGTATGTGAACCATTCATGAAAGATGCTCCTGGTTGCCCAGGCCTTTCTGCTTGAGCGCCAAATCACGGGCAGATTGGGCTTGGAGTACCCCTTCAGAGCCTTGGGGTTTTCTGAGTGGTACACCAATAGGGGTTTCAACTTGAAGTCCCCAGCTGCATTGCCACCAAGAAGCAGCATCAAGCGATCTTTGGATGATTTAAATCCTGGCTCGGCTCACTCTTCTACAGAAAGAAACGTTCTTTCAGGCATTCTTTTCCAATAAAGACCTGTCTCATCCACATTAAACACTTGCTGGGGGGTGTACTCACCTTCCTGAATGATGCTCTTCAGTATTTCTGGATATTCCTCCTCCTTGGCAGGAGCTGAGATGTTCATCTTGAAGTGGGGCAAACAGTGGCGTTCCTTGAATCTCACAAACCATCCTTTACTTGCAGTAAACTTTTCTGTTTGAGAGCTTTCACCTTGCTCACGCTGTAAGTCATCAAACAAACTCCTGGCCTTCTTCTGAGTAATGGTGACACTCGGGCACGTTTCGCTGGCTCTGGTCTTCGAGCCACACGCGCAACAACCGCTCCATGGTCTCCATGACTGCACTTCGGTAACGAGTCAGCCGCGAGGCTCTCAAAGGAGTGGCTATTTGTGAACTCGCTTTGATTTTATCTTTATCATCTCTGATGGTCGCCACAGTAGAGACAGCAAGGCCTAAGGCCTTTGCGATCTGGCTGAGCTTCTCACCCACTTCAAACCGTCTTAACACTTCTAACTTCACGTCGAGGGTGATTGCTTTCCGTTCCTTTTGGCACTCCGGATGACTGCGGCATTTAGGGACCTTTTCCCAGGCATCTTTGCCGCCGGTATGTACTAACCACAGCAGTCTCAGGGCGAGAAAGCCTGTGGTTACTCCACGCCCCCTCGCAGAATTTGGGGAAGAGAAAGTGGGTCTTCCCGGAGGTGCAGGATGACGATACAGGGGATGTGACCTGGTCAGCACAGGTCGGCCCACGACACAGCCCAGGACAGGGCCGGTTCTGTTAGAAAACGCCACGGGAAGAAAGAGCCACCTCTAAGGACTGTTGGTGAAGGCCTTTATTGGGCGATCGCTCTCGGGCAGAACTCCCGGGGGCGGGTGAGTGAAGAGACAAAGGGAGTCTATGCGAGGTATGAAGGGTGGGGGGAGATTTTATAGCCAGGGCGGCGCTTAGGCAGGGTCTTTTCATATAAGGAAAAAAACGCGGGCTACGGCAGCAGTTGGTCTCCAATTGGACCGTCCATATAAGGAACAAAGCGCGGGCTTTTATGGCCCGCCCTCCATGCGCGTCTGGTCAGACTGGAACGCTCAACCTGTCATTCCGGCCTTTTTGCTATAGGACAAGGGGCGCCTCTCTTTCTGACTACTTCCTGCTGAACGTGAGTGACGAGGGGTAGGGGAGGCCGGGACGACAGGGAGCCCTTCCAGCCGACCAGGTCAGGGGCCATCAGTCGATACAGGCCGATATTTTGGCTGCTGTGTGAGGACCATTAACTGGACAGTGTCCAGTCGCTGCTTGATGAAGGCCAAAAGCCTGTTTAGGAGACAGGGCCCAAAGGTTAGGAGTAACGGGAGGATTATGAGTGGTCCCATTAGGGTTGAGAGCAGGGTGGTTAGCCAGGGGGACTTTTGAAACCATGATTCGAACCAGCTGTTGGGCCTCTCGTTTTTTTTTCTGCGTTCTAGCCCTTCTCTTAATTTGGCCATGGATTCTCTTACCACCCCTGTATGATCTGCATAAAAACATTCCTCTCTGAGGGCTGCACAAAGGCCCCCTTGTTGTAAAAAGATCAGGTCTAAGCCTCGTCTATTTTGTAACACTACTTCTGACAAAGAGGTTAGGGATTTTTCTAAGGCCGTCATGGACTTTTCTATTCTTACTATGTCTTCATCGATGGCGGCTCTCAGGGTGACTAAACCCTGATGTTGTGTGGTCAGAGAGGCGATGCCCGTACCCATTCCGGCCGCCCCCAGAGCGAACAGCGTTGCCAGGGTGATGGCTGTGATGGGCTCTCTCTTTTGTCTGGGAACTGAAGTGCCCCAAAAGTTATAGAGGTCTTCTTCTGGGTGGTAGGTAATCTTGGGAATTACTACTACCATGACACAGAATTCCCTGCTTTGGTCAAAGACAGCTAAATGGAGACAGGGTGTCAGCCCGGTCTGTGAACATACCCACCATCCCCCGGTTTTAGGTATGATGTAGGTCTTGTTAGTGAAGTTGGTGTTGTTATCAGACCAGGTACACAGGGTTTGTTTATCCGTGGGGACCATACCTAAGCAGGTCCCTGATCCCCATACTTCTGTCATGGTAAGGCCCACCTTACGGTCTCCCCAAGCACATTGTGATGGGTTAGCGAGAGTGGATATGTTGTAGGTGGCATTTAAGCCTACAGCCTTGTAATAGGGTGGGTTTAAGGTGTAACAGAGCCAGCAGGATTGAGTTGCATTAGGATTGGAGTGGTTGAGAGCCCCATGTCTTTTTTATTAGTGCCCATAGGGGTTCTCGGGTTGTTGGACTAGCAGTTGTCGCTAGTAAGGCCGGGGTGTTTGCCTGACTACTTTTGGGGTCTGAAGTGGTACTGTTTGGTCTTGGCGAGTTGGGCCTGGGGGTGGACACCTTAATTATCGGAGTGGAGTCCTGTACCGTTCCGACCAGATTGTGGTCTGGTCCGTGTTTGGCTGGGTTGGGGCCCAGACTATGTACCCGTATCAGTTCTACAACCTGTTTTATGACCAATAGCTCACCCGGATAGGGACCAGGCCAACTTACGTGGAGTTGAAATCCCCAAGTCAGTCCGGAGGTCCACCTGCTTTCTCTTTTTGCCCTTTCTTGGTTGAATTGTACCCGTACCTGAGGCCCCTGGTGGCCAGGGTCTCGGAAGGTAAAGTTTACCAAGTCTCGATTTCCCACATCCCACTTTTTGGGCCCATCGCATGAGGTCACACAACCCCAACTCGCACAGTGGTAGCTTTCCATACCTCCACAAGTCTTCCAACTACCTCTAATGTTGCCTGAGCAAGCGAAAAACCTGGGGTTGACCCCGGCTCCCACCCTGCCCCAGGATGCTGCCGGGGACCTGCGCTGTCGGGAGTGTGACCCTGTCTGGGGTGTCCCTGTCCGGCAGCCCCTGGATCCGACCTGGCGCTTAAAGAGGCAGTTAAGGTTGAATTCTAGGTTTGGCCACCAGGTGTTGAGGGGGTGGATTCCTGAGGTTTCGTTGAGCACCTCATGGGTCTGTCCGTCGCTGAGCTTCCAGGTGATCCAGAATGGTTGGTGTGGGTTGGAGGTCCCTGGACCGATGAGGGTTGTCACCAGTATGAGACTCAGGGGGCTTGGGAGCTTGTCTCTCATCTTGTTTGTGTTGTTCCTGTCTTAGAGCCGGGCTGGATAATGAGGACAACGTTAACCCCGCCAGGTGTGAAACCGGTATCCAGGCCAGGGTGTCACAAGGGAATAGCACACCAGAAGCAAGGAGCAGGTGGTTAGGTACGTGAGGGCCAGGGACAGTCGAAGAGCGAAGGACCAATCACGGGGGGCCACAGTCGCTAGTCCAATGGCAAAAAGTATGGCCAAAGCTGAGATTAGTAGTAGCCACAGCAGGTGATCCCAGGTCAACATTAGTTATCTGAGTGTGGTCCCTCAGTCATTTTAGGAGGGACACGAGTGATGGTTAGTTTAGTCGGCCCCGTGAGGGTTGAGTGGTAGGAAAAGTTGGGAGGAGAGGCCTGGGCCGAAGACAGTCTCGTCTCTGGGAGGCCCAGGGGAGCTCATTTGAGTCAAGTTAGGTGATACCAGGGCTCGTGTCCCAAAAGTTTGGCTGCCGTGGGAGTGGTAAGGATTACAGTATGAGGTCCTGTCCAGCGGGGTTGTAGCGGGCGGGGACTCAGGGTTTTTAGCAGTACCTGATCTCCCGGGGCCAGAGGCTGAGTTGGCCCCTCGTCGCCAGTCGGTTGTGGCAGAACCCGATTGGCGTGTTCTCTCAACAGGGATCGCAGGAGGGAGAAGAGAGGGAAGTACCCCGCAAGTGGCGGGCCTCTCCCTCTGGGAGGTAGGTCAGGAGGTAGGGTCTGCCCTAAAGCAGTTCGAAAGGAGTCAAACCTGTTTTGGAGTGTGGTGTGGTGCGGATGCGAGTGAGCGCCAGAGGGAGAAGGTCGACCCAAGACAACCGCAGTTCTGAGGTGAGCTTGGTCAGGTGTGTCTTGATGATGCCGTTTAGTCGCTCGACTTTACCTGACGACTGGGGCCGATAGGGGATGTGGAGATGCCAGTGGATGCCCAGGGCTGTGGCTGTCTGTTGGGAGATCTGTGAAATGAATGCAGGCCCATTATCAGACTAGAGAGAGTTTGGCACCCCAAACCTAGGAATGAGGTGAGTCGTCAAGACCTCCGCCACTGCCGCTGCCATCTCTCGGGCAGTGGGGAAGGCCTCGACCCATCCTGAAAAGGTGTCTACTAGGACCAGCAAATAGCGATATGATCGATGTCTGGGCATGTGAGTGAAGTCTACCTGCCAGTCCTGTCCGGGCATGTGTCCCCTTAGCTGGTGAGTCTCTTGTGGGAGTTGGAGTCCTCCTTGAGGAGAGGTGGAAGCACNGGGTGTCCCGGACCTCAGGACTAACAGAAGAGGTCGGAGGGTGAACAAGCAGCATTAGGAAGGCCCCTGACGTGGGAGCCGATTCTGGGGATAGGTGAAGAGTGGCCTTTAGCTTAGCGAGTATATCTCTCCCCAAGAGTGGAGTGGGGCAGGAAGGGATAACTAGAAAGGAGTGAGTAAATAGACAGGAATCTAACTGGCAGGATAATGGTTGGGGTTGGAGCGGACATGAGGGTTGGCCGTCAATGCCCATAACCGAAACCTGGGAAGGACATAAAGTGCCCCCGAAAGAGGGAAGAACCGAATAGGTAGCCCCCATATCAACCAGAAAGTTGATAGACTTACCCGCTACCTGGAGCGTTACCCTGGGCTCGGCTAGGGTTATTGGGGTTCCTGAGTCTGGGCGGCGTCAGTTATCGTCGAAGTTCAGCAGCTCTAAGGCCGGAGGAGGGCAGGAAGTCTCTCTCAGGCGTTCTGGTCCCCGGCCCCTAGGGGTCGGGGCCCGAGAGGCCCGGGGACAGTCGCTTGTCCAATGTCCCCGCTGCCTGCACAGTGGGCGCGGCTTGGAGGGAGGCCACGGATTGGAGCAGTTTTTAGCCCAGTGACCTTCCTTGCCGCACTTGAAGCAGGCCCCCGGAGGGGGGGGTTGGGACCCCGAGCCCATCGCCAGCCGCAGGGCTGCTACCAGGGCTTGGGTCTGATGGTTTAGGAGGCTTGCCTGAAACTTGGCCTTCTGTTTTAGCCTCGCCTTTCGGCTGGCCTCTGCCACCTCTTCGCGGGCATTATATACTTTAAAGGCCATTTTTACCAGGTCTCGGATAGGAGTCTGAGGGCCCTCTTCAGCCTTGGCCAGCTTTTTTCGGATGTCGGGTGCGGATTGGGAGATAAAACGATTGGCCAAGGTAGCTACTCCAATGGGGGACTCGGGGGACAGTCTGGTGTATTGGACGAGGGCCTCAGTCAACCGATTAAGAAACATAGCTGGGTTCTCGTCAGGCCCCTGAGTTACCTCGTCTAGCCTGAGGAGGTTTACAACCTTATGAGAGGACTCTTCCATCCCTTCGAGGATACGCTCTATCATATAGCGTACCCGCAGCTGGCCGCCATCCCCCTCTTGGTAGCCCAATTAGGATCGGTGTCAGGAACTGCCTGAGCCCCGGGGGGCGCTCAGGAGAGGGGTTGGCAAAATGTCGCTGGTCAGCCCGAGCCTTGGCTGCCTTCCAGATGGCCTGGTTTTCTTCGGGGGTGGTAGTAGACCCCAGGATGACATATATGTCTTGCCATGTTAGAGCATAGGTGCGGGTCAGAGCAGTAAACTGTTTAATGTACTGGGTGGGGTTGGAGAAGGATCCCAGTTTAGCTTCAATCTGTGCTAAGTCTTGGAGAGACAAAGGGACGTGGACCTGGGCTAGGCCCTTAGCTCCAGCCACTTGTCGCAGAGGTAATATCTGGACTGAGGGAGGGGGAAGAGAGGCTCTTGGAGGGTTGTCATGAGAGCGGGTATGAGAGCTAACCGGAGAAGGAGAGGGAGTGGCAAGGGGAAGAGGAGGATGTATGATAGGGTTAAGGGAAGGGGCAGGAACCGGAGAGGAAGGGGTGAAAACTGGAAGAGAGATAGGGTTAAGGGCCGGAGGATCTGGGGCCGGCCGTGGAGCCTTAGGGGCGGGAACAAGAGATAAGGGAGCCGGAGTGGGAGGGGGGGAGGCGGGAGCCAGCGTAGTAACCGGAGAAGGGGAGGGGGTGACGGGAGGGAGGGGAGGATACAAGATAGGGCTGAGGGGGTTAGGGGCCGGAGGATCTGAGACTGGCCAAGGAGTCTCGGGGGCGGGGGCAAGGGATAAAGGAGTCGGAGTAGAAGGGGGGGAGGCGGGAGCCGGCGTGGTAACCGGAGAAGGGGAGGATACAAGGTAGGGCTAGGGGAGGAGGCAGGAGCCGGAGTGGAGAGGGTGGGGGCTGTGGGAGAGGTATAGGGAGGGGGAGCCACCAGATCTTCTGGGGGCACAGAGAAAGCATAAGACTCAGAGACGGGAGGAGTTGGCTTGGCCTAAGGGGGTGGAGACGGGGGAGCCATAGTGAGTAGGATTTGGCTAGGAGCGCACGTGGCGCACAGGGTGGGACGAGAGCGCAACGCCCAAAAGGCCTGAACATAGGGGACTTCAGACCATTTTCCCGTTTTCCGGCAGTAATTATCTAAATCACGGAGGACGTCAAAGTCTAATGTCCCTGTGGCTGGTCATTGTGAGCCATTATCTAGGGAATACTGAGGCCAAGCCTGTGAACACAGAAAAGTGAGCTGCTTGGGGCGGATGTATCCCTTTAGTCTTAGGGCCCGCAGATTGGCTAGCAGGCATTCTAGGGGAGTGGAAGTTGATCGTTCGGGTTTGGAAGTTGTCGATCCCATGGCGACCGCTGAGCAGACAGGCAGACCCTACAGTCCGAACGTCTCCGGACGTGTCAGGGGAAGCCAGAGGTCCGCGCAGCTGCTTGGAACGTCTTCCTCGCAAGCTGGGGGACCGGAAAAGGCCGAAGCCGGAGGTCTACTCAGCCTCTGGGGACGTCTCCCCACAAGCTAGTGACCGGGAGGGCCCAATAAGTGCGCACCCGTTACTGGGCCCTAGGAAGTGGTCGCCAGGGAGGGCAGGCCCCAAAGCCGAAGGGACTTACCCCGTATCCTGCCGTCCGGGGAGTTGGTCAGCCGCCTGGGTCCGGGGCTACCGCGGCGGTGGAGTTCGAGGGGGCCTCAACGGCGAGTGCCGGGGGCCTTCACCTCGAGCCCCACGTTGGGCGCCAGATGTTAGAAAACGCCGCGGGAAGAAAGAGCCACCTCTACGGCAGCAGTCGGTCTCAGTGTCGGTATACAATTGGACCGTCATATAAGGAACAAAGCGCGGGCTTGGAACAAAGAGGAACAAGCGCGGGCTTTTATGGCCCGCTCTCCATGGGCGTCCGGTCAGACTGGAACGCTCAACCTGTCAGGTTCCTTCTGGGTTCCCGGGAGTCGATCAGAGCGGCCAAATCCCTGGACAGCAGGACTGGGTTTCCGTGATGCAGAAAACACAACTCCTTGAGGGGCGGTAATACCGCACAGCACACGCCGCCCGGGGGTCTTCGGTTCCTTAGTAACCGGTTCCCAGCGCTGTACCTGGACCACAAGGAGTTGGCGGACAGGGCGGGGCGGTGTACGCCGCTCCCCAAGGAGGACTCCAGATTTAAAGTAAGTCTAAAGGCTGTCTCCTCAGCACCTCGCCCGCGTCTGCCACCGTAGTGCAGGTGGCGCAAACGTTCAGGTCCGAGTCAGGCCGGACAGCAGACACCTGACGCAAGGTCCCCACGTAAGCGCCTTGGCCTCACCGCGCATGCGCGAGACCCCGAGGTACGCTGGAGGTGTGGTGCCCTAGGACCTACTCGCCGCCGCACTGCGCGTGCGCGCGCCGGAGCGGCGCGAGGTCTGAGGGGGAATGTCGCAGCGGCTGGTGGCGGCGGCCGGCAGCAGGGCGGTGGCGGGGCCGCTCGCCGTGCTGTGGCGGTGCGGTCTTGGCCCACGAGGGGGCAGGACGTTCGGGGCAGGCGTGAGGGCGCTCGGAACCGCTCAGCAGGTGAGCGGGGAGGCGCAGCCGGCCGGTTCCAGGGGGCGGTGGTCGCTCTTGACGCCGCAGTGACGCCATCCACGTGCGCCGCCGGCGCCGGGAGCGGGTGAGGGAACCAGGTGCGCGAACCCGAACCCCAGAAGCGGAGGCGCGTCGGCGGCGGCCACAGTTCCGGCCAGCTGGCTGGCCCCGGGGCTCCAGCCCTTCCCAGCGGCTTAGGCGGCTGCCGCTGTCCCGAACAGGTCTCCGTCTGCTTTCCTTCCTGTGGCCTCTTTCGCCCTTTTCTTTGAAAGTTCCCTCAACCTCTCAGTGCCCCGCCCACTGCCCCTGCAGACTTGTTCCCCGCTCCCAAGAGCCGCATTGAGCGAATTGCGTTCAAGCCTTGTTCGGCTGTGAGCCTACATTGTCTTCTCCGACTCTCGCTCCGACTGCGAGGGGGTAGCCTCCTGGGCTCAGAGGTGATACCACTTCTGCTCAGTGTCACAGGGTTGTTCTCCGTCATGATACAGTTTTGTAAAGTGTTAGGTGTTTTTGATTCAGACAGCATTCGTCGAGCCCAGTTCTACACTGTAATCATAGCTAACGTTGTTTGAGGGGTTTCACGCTGAGGGCTTTACAGGGACTGTCTCATTTAAGTCTTATATCCGTCCGGCAGGTAGGAGCTGCACTAAACCCTGTTCTATAGGAGAGGAGACGCTAGAGCATAGCTAGTCGGATCTCCGCTTTTAGATACTTCTGTATTGTACGCCTTCCTCTGGGTTAGATTCTCTGAAGTAGACCATATTTTAAGGTTTATTTTTGTATTGAGCATCCCAGGGGGACAGTGATCACGTTGATTTCTTTTGTGGCGGACTGATGTGGAGCCTCTGGATTCTGGTCAGAGAAAGCTGTCTTGGTTTCAGACAGTATTGAAAGAGGAAGAAGGGGACCCATGCGTTTGTTTTCTGTCCTGTTTCCAGGAGTGAACTTTTCCTTCTTAGCTCTTCATTTTGGGGACGGTGCACTGTCAGTTTGATTGTTTTCGGCAGTATCAGTGAAAGGAGAGCCCTTCATCTGTGGCTACGTGGCAACTCAGCATTGTAGGGGACTGTTCAAGTTGTTAGCTGGATGGAATGCAGTGATTAAGGGGTGCAACACAGGTATGTCATGAGGCACTGGCCTCCATGGAGCTCAGTGGTTTTAGTTAGGAAAGGAGGAAGTTGGATGATTTTTGAGTTCCTTCCCAGACAGAGCTGTTCCTCTGTGGAGTCTATTAGCCACGGCATCTCATCTGGAACAGATGTGCACTCTCCTTTGAGGGACTTGAAGGCTTAGACCAGGCGTGGGAAGGCTGGGGATGAAGTCACAGTTTGCCTTCTGTTTAAAAGACGTGCCGGAGCAGTCAGCACTCCTCAAGGGGAAGCTTATGTTTTGGATGCTTCTCGCAGTTACGTTTTCATTGACTGAGCTTCCTACATTGTCCATTCCATGCCAGAAGGAGAACCAGACAACAGCATGTAGGTAGCATGTTAGGAGGTATGAAGGAGAAGGAAACAGAACAGAGGGAGTATACAGTGAAGAGAAGGGTGGAGGAGGATGAGTGCCACCCTATGAGAGGTGGGGTAATTGACTCCTGAAGGATGTGAGGCTTGAGCAGGAACTGCCAGCAGATTTGCAAGCGCCTGCTGGGGCTGCATCTGAGACACAGACTGGAGTCACCTGACTCATGACCTGACAAAGAAAGGACAGTGGCACTTTGCCCGTTACAGGAAGACTGCTGTGCACAGCTTCACATGCTGGCTTTGTATATCCAGACACCAAGAATGGGTAGTAGACCCCTGTCTTCTGCATCTGACCTACTGTGGTCCCCTAAGCAAATCAAAACACTAAGTCATGAAATAAAGGAGTGGGATGTTCCTCAAGATTTGAAGGCCTGAAGATCATACTTTGTCTTTCTAGGGCTGGAGACCTCCTAACACTTCTAGGAGCCCCAGCTCCCTCTCTGGGGAGCTGCTGGGAAAACCTGGGGGCTGGGTGCCAGAGCACTCATCACATACCACTGGCTCCCAGTCACCTTACCTCAGGCCCTCGCCATCCTCTCCGGACTTCTGCGTTTTCCACCCCACACGGGAGGGCCTTGAGGAGCAGGGGGGCCCAGGACTATCTTCTTCTGTGGGCCTTTGTCTAGGCCTTCCCTCACTGTGACAGCCTTTGTGACATTACGTTCTGGTCCCCTTGTGCGTGGTGACTTGCTATGTGTGGGGAGGGGACACTCATGGAGCAAAGGCTCCAGGAGCCTCATCACCATTACTGCTGTGTCTCCTTCCTGAGCCCCTTGTTTACGGTTTTCCCGGATTTCAGTATCATTCTCATGGCTTACCTGAGTTTTTAGTGCTCTGTGGCCTCTGATAAGGATGTGTGAACCATCCAAATCTTTGGTTGGGGTGTTTTTTAAAACCATTTGTTAACAGACCCTTTTAAAAAAGAATTTTATTTTTAATTGAAGGATAATTGCTTTATAATAATGTGTTGGTTTCTGTCCTGCATCAACATTTAAAACAGTTTTTTAAAAAGTATTTATTTCTATTGGCTTTGCTGGGTCTTCATGGCTGTGCAGGGGGCTACTCTCTAGTTGTGGTGCAAGGGCATCTCATTGCAGTGGCTTCTCTTGTTTCAGAGCATGGGCTCTAGAGTCAGGTCTCAGTAGCTGTCCTCAGGCTTATTTGCCCTTTGGCATGTGGTATCTTTCTGGACCAGGGATCAAACCTGTGTCCCCTGCATTGGCAGGTGGACTCTTAACCAGGGGACCACCAGGCAAGTCCTGGTTGAGGTTTTTTTGGCTACAGTTAATACTAAGTGACTGTGCTTAGAGCTGGTTTTTTTTTACTGTGATGGCGTCTGTTGTGCTCATTTTTCCTATAATGGCTTTTGACCTATGATAGTGAGAAACCAAAATTGTCTTTCATATTGTCTTTAACTGATGTTAAGTATTGTTAGTAGCTTATAGTAATAAAAACTGTCATTTTCCTTTTTGAGAACTCAAGAAAATACAGGGTTTCTCAGGTGGTGCTGCCTGCCAGTACAGGAGACATAAGAGATGTGGGTTCAATCCCTGGGTCAGAAAGATCCCCTAGAGAAGGAAATATGAACCCATTCCTGTATTCTTGCTTGGAGAATCCCGTGGACAGAGGAGCTTGGCGGGCTACAGTTCATAGGGTTGCAAAGAATCAGACACAACTAGAGCAAGTTAGCAAGCAGAAAATGTTTGCTTTCCTAACAAAACTGCTAACCTGTGGTTGATCAAAGATAAATCATAATATCCTTTGATTTTTAAATTTCACATGATTTTAATGTTAGAATAATGTTTGTTTTTTAAGAATTATTAATTTTTGTTTTAATAGCTTCAGTGACAAAAATTGCCTCAGGCAGGAAGTGATTACTTTGCAGTATTTTTTTTTTGATAGCCATAGCTATAAAAATTCTTCATGTATTTCTGCACTGAATGTAGTTTCTGTTTCTCCTGCTTGAATCATATTTGTTTTTAAGATTTTTTTTTGATGTGTATTGGTTTTAAAGTCTTTTTTGAATTGGTTACAATATTGCTTCTGTAGTTTATAGTTGGGTTTTTTGGCCACAAATCTTAGCTCCCCAACCAGGGATTGAACTCGCACTCCCTGCATTGGAATGCAAAGTCTGAACACCTAGACCATCAGGGAGTCACATTGAATCATATTTTTAATGAGATAAAGCAGGTAAGGCCTCAGGTTTATGCCTCCTCTCGAATCCTGGTCCTTTCCAGCCTGGAACTGCCGCTGTGAGAAGAGGCTGCATCAGAATTTGTCGATGCTAATTCTGTCTCCCGTTTCAGTGTCTCCAGGGAACCCGCTCTCAGCAGTCAGCTCTGCAGATAAGACTGGCGTCAGTTTCCCAGTGGCTGTGTTCAAAACCACCCAAAGGTACATGTCTTTCTCCTGCCATCGTTAGCAGCATGAGGTCGCAGGACCTGAGTGTTGCTTCCTTGGTGTCCTGTGTTGTGGGGAGTGGGGACAGGGTGCGTGATGGTCCAGCAGACCCAGCTGCCCCTCTTCTAGCTTCTGTGTGTATTGAGTCACACCTAGCTCGTCTCCCGTTTCTGGGTCACCTGTCCCACGTCTTTGCAGTGTTAATATATCAGTGAAGGTGGCACAAGAGAAGGTGTTCCAAAAGGAAGTGGTGGGTGAATCTTTGGGGATGCCTGGGAGCAAGCCTTTGTTTCTGCATATCTGAGGGTTAAGCTGAGTCTCATGTTTGGAAGCCAGGACAGAGACCTCATGTCGACTGCAGTTAGTTTGGAGCACATGTACTCCTTGAGCACAGGCTGTGGGCTGTGCAGTGGGTCTTGGCTTGCAGAGTTCGGACTTGGAGGTGCATGTTGATTGCACCAGGCTGCAGTCAGGAAGAAAATCAGCTTTTCCCTTACTCCTCCTCATCTGTCGGACAGTCTGGCTGCTTGTGTGAGTGTGGTATGTGCTTTTAAAGTGGCAGAATCTCATTGTTTGTCCCTATGGGTTTGAGAAATTCTTTAAGAGCAGTAGAAGAAACACAGAATTAGAAATGCAACAGCTTATAAAGGAACAATTTGACCAATCAGACTGTCAGAGTTTTACATTTGAGAATTTTTTAATTTTTTTAAACTTTAATTAATTTATTTTTGGCCATGCCACACAGCATATGGGGTCTGGGTTCCCCAACCAGGGATGGAACCCAGGCCCCCTGCCATGGAAGTGCAAGATCCTAGCCACTGGACCACCAGGGAAGTCCCACATTTGAGAATTTTGAAGCATTCATTAATTTTGGGTTAATCTTGGGAGGTGGTGAGCAGGTGGGCCCGTGTGCAGGTGGTCTCAGCACTTCCTTCCTGTCACTGGTTTGTGGACATGGCCTCACTGCCTTCCTTTGCACCTGCATAGCTTGTGTGGATCCGAAGCCTTGACAAACCTGTCTTTGAAGTCATATCACAGTTTGGTGACATGGGGGGTGTGCAGTGGTGTCTTCCTGCTTGGGGAGCCTGGAGCAGCGTAAGAGAAGAGGTGTGCAGAGCTCACTGGGAAGTGATTTGCTGTGACTGTAGGACTTCGTTTTTTGTCCTTCATGTTTATGCATGTGGATCTTCACTCTACCCCATCCTGAGTTTGGCCTTTCCTGGGGTCTTCTGGGCTTTGGGGCTTTGAGTTAATGGTTGTTGCAGTGGTGCCTGTACGTCAGGGGCTGCTGTGGCCCAGCTTCTCCTAGAACTCATGTGAGTGTTGTGCTCAGGCCCTGTGTCTTCTGTCTTTCTGGGACAGAAAGTGATTTTTGTCTCACACCTGTCTTTCCACCTTTTCTTTTCTCAGGGGAATGATTTTTTTTTTTCTGTTTTGGGTTATTTTCCTAAGTTCATATGGGAAAACACATTCCTGGTTATTCTCCACTCTCAACTCTTTCTGTCTGGTTTTGCACCAGAGTAACGATCTTGTGTTATTTCTCTTTGTCATTGCGTGTGTGCTGAAATGCCTTCTGGATGTTTTAATGGGAGGAATAGTTAACTTAGTTGCCTGGCAAGAGGAGGGTTTCTCCTTGTCTGTGCCCAGCTTTGCAGGACGGTTCAGGTCACCTGACCCTTAGCTTGTACTTGGAGGTAGTGGGAGCTTTAGACCACAGATGGGTGTGTCCTGAGTGAGACCCATCCCCCCAGTACATTCTTGGCACCTGATGGAAGGGTGGGGGGCTCCAGGAGTGTTTCTGGGGCTGCCCTGGTATGATTTAAGATTTACATGCACACGTTAAGAAAGAGGCTTGGGGACTGGGTTCAGTCATCTAGTCTGTGCGTCACAAATGTTCTGAGGGGCGGTGACGTGAGTGCCAGCCTGAGGAGTTCTCTGGTGGTCCCGTGACTAGGACTTCACACTTTTAGTGCCAAGGGCCCAGGTTTGGAGAGTAAGATCCTGAAAGCCATGAGGCTCAGCCAGAAAAAAGCAAACCGGAAGGTAACACCTCCTAGATCTCACCTGGCACACACATACAGTCACTCATGATTTCAGAAAGCATAAGAAACTGTTGCAAATTTCCCTTCTTGTCTGGAACTGTCTGGGATTGGTGTAGGCTTGCAGTCTCCACTACCCTGGCCCCTGCCCTGATCGCAGGAGGGCCCTGCAGCTTTTCCTCTGACCTTGAGAAGCTCTGCTCCTTGCCACACGCTGCACTTCCTTTACGTTCCCTGTTTATCTCCAGAAGGCAGCAGTGTTGGGGAAGTTGTGTTTTGGAAGCATTCTTCTTTCCTCTGAATCCTCCTCCTCTGGACAGTTAGGTGTGACCATTCCCTGAGGTCAGAGTTTGTTTTTTCTTAGGAACTAATGAACCAAAGGATGCTGGTTCTGGAGCAGACAGAGGGAAGAGAAGAGGAAAGCAAGATGACTTTGCCTGGTGGAAACGGATGCAGAAGGTTTGTGTGTGTCCGGAGGGCCAATTCCAGATGGCCTGTCACTTTTCTGAGGAAGTAGTCACTGCGAGCTTGGGCTTGGTACAAACTAATTCAAAGATTCTAAATGGTGGATTTAATTTCTAAACTAAGATCTCCATCAGAGTTTTTAAAGACCCAGAGAAGCGATGGTTTCAGGAAGGCCGCTGCTTTTCCTGAGTGGCCTGGGAGCTGCCATGGCCTTACACGCCGGCAGAGGCTGCGCCCATGGAGGCCGGTGGGGGGGAGGTGTGGTTTGGGTGGAGGGCTTGGTGACCTCTCCCTTGTCTGTGGAAGGGCACTTTTGTGAGAGAGCCGCTGTCTTTCAGTGTAGCCCATGTTGTGTTCTCTCCCCGCAGGGGGAGACTCCCTGGGACGACAAGGATCTCCGCAGTCTGGCCGTGCTGGGGGCAGGTGTTGCTGCGGGATTTCTCTACTTCTATTTCCGAGATCCTGGGAAGGAAATCACTTGGAAGCACTTTGTGCAGTATTACCTGGCGAGAGGTCTGGTGAGGGGATTTGCATGCTGCCGGCCTTGGAAGGAGGTGGCCTGTTGGCCTCGGGGTGCAGATGTGACTACCCTGCTGCACCCCCACACCTGCCCACTCCCTGAAACACTCACTCATTGTGTGTTAGCTCTGGCTTCTCCTTTCACTTGGTTCTGTTTGTGAATCTTGACACTCTAGTTGTGAATCTGACTCAGAGCCTTTCTCCTTGAGGGCACCTCTGGCCCACTGCTAGGCCCTGGACAGTGGGGGCCAGCACTGGCTCTGAGTCACACCAGTGGAGTCCGCCATCCTCCCCGCACTCAGGTTTGAGCGTACACCTTCACAAGCACAGTGACCTTGCTCCCCGTTAAGTGAGCAGCGCACTGTGAAGGCTGGGCTTTCCTGCTGTGTGGTGACATCTGCAGGGAGTTCTCGTTTGCCCTGCGGTCTGTCCACATTCTGTCCTCAGGGAGGCCCATGGTGATGGTCTCTACGCGGTGGGGGAAGGGCTGCTGTAGTCCCCTCTGCTGAGGACCTGTGCCCAGCAGGTGTGGCCAGAGGGGCAGGGGAGACAGGTGTCCTCCTGTGCTTTGGCCTGGACTGGGTCCAGGTGTTCCGTGAGGTCTACATGGCTGACAGTGACATGCTTGCCCTGGAGCACAGCACGGCCCGGAGCACAGAAGGGTGACCTGTCCATCCCCCACTCAAGCACACCTAATGCAGCCCTGGCCACACCTGTGGTGCCTGATTGGGAGCTGACGCTCGCCTGGCCTAACTAGACAAGGACCAGATCCCCTCACGTAAGGGAACTTCCACATCCGCTGGGAGGGTCTAACACCTGAACCTGAGGGCTGCGTCTTGTTCCAGCCCCTCTGAGCTGTCTGAAGAGTCTGATAAAATCTCAGGGTGTCATAGAAATAAGTGAACTTATGTGCAGAGGTCCCTGGCCTGGACCGGTGGTTCTTTTGTGAAAGGCTTGTTTGGGAACAAAAAGCTATAACAAAACCTCAGTAGCAGTCTTCGTTTTATTCAGTTCTTTACTTATTGGCTGCGTGGTGGGACATGTGGGATCCAGTTCCCCGCCCAGGGATGGAACCCGCTCCCCTGCAGTGGAGGCTCACAGTCTTACACTGCACTGCCAGGGAAGTCCCTGCAGTCTTTGTTTCAGGCAGTGTCATTGTTTTTCCTGGTCACAAGTGTAACATGTGCTTGCTGCAAAGCATTTGGGGAAATAAAAGTATAAAGCAGGAAGTCACTGTCTGTGCACGCCCAGGGGCCTTTTTCTGTGACCCCGTTGGCCGCAGTCTGAATGCAGGGCTGCTCAGCTTCTGTGCCCTCTGTCCCGTTAGCGCACTGGCAGTGAGCACTGCGGTAGGGAGGCATGAGGGGTCAGCTGGCAGGAGTCTAGCAGGGCCAGGAGGACATGCTGTGCCCTCATCTCATGAACCTGAGAGCTGATGGGCCTGGCTGGCTGGGGCTCTGCATGTTGGCAGAAGAGAAACCAAGGGGGCAGTCACCTGGAGTTCTCTCTGTCATGGTTTCTGGAGTCGTGTTAGATGGCGGTGAAGTTCCACATTCAGGATTGTGTCCTTACCGCGCAATCCTGAGTGTTCCAGTGTTTTCCAAAAGGAGCTTTGTCATCGTGGTTAATGAGGTAGTGACAGCAGGCCATGTCTGAAGCTCCCCAGAGGGTGTGTGGCTTCCAGGCAGTGGGCTGTAACCTGATGGACTGAGTGTTACGGGATCAGCTCTCCTGTCAGTACAAGACTTTCATTTGTGTTCCTTTTGGAGTGTTTTTGAAATTTTCTGTTTTGTTTTTTGGCCATGCTGCACATTTTGCAGGATCTCAGCTTCCCAACCCAACCAGGGATTGAACTGGGAGAGCCTAAGACTTATTTTAGGATCCTACTCACAGGGAACTCCCCTCCTACCCACAGGAAACCCCCCTCCTTTTGGAGTTTTAAGCCAGTTTGAAGGCTTAGTGCTCAGATGTGCCACATTTTAATTCCTCTTCTTGAATCAGTTCCTGTTTATTGCCATAATCCCAGGCTAGAATTGTCCATGTTGGTAGGAAGACAGAGCCAAAACTGTCCTGCAGAGTGTGAGCTGCGCTGGGACAGGTGCCACCTGTGCATGTGGCGCTTGACTGAGACCGAGGCCCAGGGTGCTGTGCTGGTCCTTAACTGGCTGTCTGTCTTCTAGGTGGATCGGCTGGAAGTCGTGAATAAACAGTTCGTGCGTGTTATTCCTACCCCTGGGACATCACCCGAGGTGAGGGCTGGGGTCAAGGCCAGTCTTCCACATGTAGGTTTCGGTGTCAGTGTAAGGTGTAGTCTTCTGGGATCTCCCTGGTGGTCAAGTGGTTAGTACCAGGGGCCCTCATGGCCAAGGCCTCTGGTTCAGGGACTAAGATCCCACAAGCCGTGTGACCTGAAAAAGAATACGTGATAGTTTTTTGTTTTATTGGAGAAATGCCTCTCCTGGCTTCACTTTCCAGCACCCACCTGTGCTCATGTGCCTGTAGAGAACAGTCTTCCCGGTAGCATAGGACTCTAATGAAGCTGTAACTATGCTTCAGTTTTGTCCAATACCATGAACAGTCACCAGCTGAGCTCTGAGAGGAGAGACTAAAATGACAGATAGGGGACAGAAGCAGACTCAGCCATTGATAAACATTTGTACTTTGACCTCAAACCTAAGCCTATGGTTTGGGGCCAGGACAGGAGGCCCATCAGAGCCACTCAGGACTTTGCTGTGAGAGAAGCTGGGGAGCGGATGGTGGCCATGAGGGGCGGCCCCCTACATCGCTTGGCACCTTGGTTTCTGCAGAAGTATGCATGGTTCAGCATTGGCAGCGTGGATACCTTCGAGCGCAACCTGCAGACTGCCCAGTGGGAGCTAGGCATTGAGCCCCCCAACCAGACGGCTGTGGTCTACACCACTGAGAGCGATGGGTGAGTGGGTGTGGTTGGGCCCTGGTGCTGGACACGCAGCGCTTCTTGCTGAACTTGTTCAGGCATGTTGTAGGTGTCTGCTGGTAGTCAGTGTCTGTGGTAAAGACAGGTTTGTTAGCTGTGTTTTTACTGGGGAAAGAACTGGTGGGGAAATGTTTAGCTTGGTAGCCTGAGGGCTGTGGTGTGGCAGCAGGGCAGAACTACCTGGGAGGAGGCTGGGTCAGGGAGTTTCTGGAGGCAGGCCATGGCTGCCCTGCCCTGCCCTGCCCACAGGGGAAATCAGGCAGACAGATTCATATGGACAGGACCCTTTACAGTGGGTGAGGCTGTGTGTCCAGATGGATGGTGCTTGCTTTTGTGTAGCAGAGTCCACTGTTCATGGCCTGTCTCTCAAGGGAATGTGATGGATGGTTTTCTTGGCCTTTCTAGGTCTTTCTTGCGAAGCCTGGTGCCCACCCTTCTCCTGATTGGCATCTTCCTCTATGTCATGAGGAGGGGTCCGATGGGGGCTGGGCGTGGTGGGCGAGGAGGGGGCCTCTTCGGCATTGGTGAGACAATAGCCAAAATCATCAAGGATGACATCGGCGTGCGGTTTGCAGACGTGGCTGGTTGCGAAGAAGCCAAGCTGGAGATCATGGAGTTTGTAAATTTCCTGAAGAACCCCAAACAGTACCAGGACCTTGGGGCCAAAATTCCAAAGGTACTGACTTGAGAGAGCACAGGCAGATGCTTTACCACCGTGCCACCAGGAAAGCCTTTGTCTGTAGTGTTGTTTCTCTAAATTGAACTGAGAACTTCGAAGCAGTTCTAAGGGCAGAATCATGTATTTTTATGACATTTTCTTACTGTTTCAGTTTTTTGTCTGTTCAGCATTTTTTCTCTAATAATTTGCCTTGATTGCTTTATTATATAACAGTTTCAGCTTCGTTTTTGAAGAAACGACTTTCTATTCTATTATTTATTGTTGAAGTATATAATTAAAGCAAGTGCAGGGAATTTTCTGATCCAGAGGCTAGGACACTGCGCTTTCACTCCCGGGGCCCAGGTGCAGTTCCTGATTGGGGAACTGAGATCCTACAAGCTGTGTGGAGTAGCCAGAAAACCCCAGAAAACAAAGAACCAACAAGTACAAACCACCGTGAATGGGTCTGGGGTCAGCTGCCTGTCAGAAAACCCACGACCCAGCAGTGGGACAGGTGTGCAGTATGGATACGGGTCAAGGCTCTGCACATAGGAAGTGGCACTGTGGAGATTGTGGCCGCTGTCTTTCCCTGTGGGTGCTTCTAGGTGTCATGGACGTTTGGAGGGCCTGGCAGTAGCTGAACCCCCTTCACAGAAAGGTCTGTGTCTCACATGGAAGAGGCTCACAGACTGCGGCCCCCCGCCCCTCTACCCCCACACCCCCCCGCCTCAAGGTGTCTCTGGGCTCTATTCCAGGCCGCAAGGTCTCCAGAGTGGAGACTCAGTGCACTGACTTTCCTGGTAGCTCTGTGTGTTTCCCTGAGACTGTCCTGAACAGCAGGAGAACGTGACTGACCTCTGGAGATTAGTGGGCAGGAGACCTGTGCTTCTCTTTGGCCACCTGGTAAGGCTGGCTGGAAAACTCGGGTGTGGCAGGCCCAGGGGTCCCCTGGTCCCATGACCCACTGCTTTGTGGAGACCCTCTGTGAGTCCATATCCATGTTCATGGTGACCTGAGGTCCTGGCACCTTGTGAGTTTGTTTTGAGGCTCCCTCATCCTCCCCACCTTTATATGTTTTGTTTTTATTTTTATAGACTTAGGAAAAACAACTTTTTGGTCTCTTTTGAAATAAGTAGATATTAAGCCATACTGTCAACTAGAAATAAAGTAGTGTAAGCCCCCCTTTAAGTCCCTCCTCATGAAAGGAATACTGAGGTGTGTTACCGGGGTGTGAATTTCAGTATTGAGTCAGTGTAGAACCAGGCAGGTTGCGGACAGTACCACATGCAGGTGCCATTGTCGGACGTGCTGAACAGAATCACAGGAGCGAGTGTGGGGAGGGCCTCTTGCTCGTCCTGGTGTGAGTCGGTGTGTTTCATAGAGCAATTTGACAGTAACTGTTAAAGTAAATGTTGGACCGTGAGATCCATTGAGTCCTGCCCTGGGAGCGTCACTTGAAGAAATAACCTGCTTGGTTGGACTGGGGCTTTGGGGGCCTTTCCTTTACCTGCAGCATTTGAACTTTTCATGATAAATGTGCCTTTGTCTTACAAGCAGGGTTTCAAATGGAAGGCACACCTTGGCCGAAAGCGTGGAGTAGGCTGAGGAGTCAGTTGAGCGAGACTCTGCTTGGCCCCATCTCTCCCCTTTCAGAACCAGGTGTCGCCTTTCTGTTTCAGGGAGCCCTGCTCACAGGTCCTCCCGGTACTGGCAAAACACTTCTCGCCAAGGCAACCGCGGGGGAGGCTGGTGTGCCCTTCATCACCGTGAATGGGTCTGAGTTCCTGGAGATGTTTGTTGGTGTTGGCCCAGCTCGGGTAGGTAACGGCACCCTTGTCCTTGCCCTGGCCTTTGGGTAGGACCCTGGGGGCGGACGCAGAGCACAGCATGGATGTAAAGACAACCTGGTGGGCAGACAGAGCAGCCGAGATGGGAGTCAAGCCCCAGAGGTGGGGCCTCAGCCCAGGGAACTTAGTCCTGTCCTGGCGCCAGTGACAGAGCACACTGTGTATGGACTCCTGTTTCAGGTTCGTGACATGTTTGCAATGGCCCGGAAAAATGCTCCCTGTATCTTGTTCGTTGATGAGATTGATGCAATTGGCCGGAAGCGTGGGCGTGGGCACGTTGGAGGCCAGAGCGAGCAGGAGAATACCCTGAACCAGCTGCTCGTGGAGATGGACGGTGAGCGGGCTTGCTCTCTGGGCAGAGCTCCCCAGGCAAGACCCCTGCTCGCACAGTCTGAGGAAGGCTGTCCTCAGGACCCACAGTGCAGGGAGCTGCCCTCCGAGCTCAGCGGCCGGATGAGGGCTGATGCCCAGGCTGTGTCCTCGCCGCCTTTGTCCTTCTGCCTCCTGCTCCAGAACCCTGTCTCCCCCTCGGGACTCCTGCTCGGGCAGGGTCTGGTCCGGGTGACAGCCGTGGGCCTGCTGCCGCCTCTCGGGGAGGGTCTGGGCGTTCGTGCCACGTTCGGATTTGGAGAAGCTTTGACTGGACCTTTGGCAGGTCCTGTGCTCACCTGGCTTTGGAGTTGAGTCAAGGTACCCAACGTGACCCCAGGTTGGTCATTTGGGAGGAATCCGTGGGTCCCTGGATTCATAATCACAGTTGACTGCCAGGCCAGGACCTGGGAGAATCATGGGGAGTAGGTGCCTGGGCTGGGAGGGTGGCCATGGCCTCCAGCGCGCTCTGCCCACTGAGTCCAGGTCGCAGCTTCTCCCTGGCAGCCAGTTCGGTGACACTCAGGAGTGTCATCGACCAGGACAGGGTTTCCCCTGGGGCTAGTCACATGGCAGTCTTTGCCCAGCATGGGTCACAACCCCAGCCTCCCAGGAGGAAATATCTACTCAGACGACTGAGGCATGGGGGGCTCCTCCCTGAATCCCAGGTCCTAGGCTGGCTCAGGGGCCCAGCAGGCTTTTCTGAGGAAGAGTGCTGGTGAGTCAGGCCCTCATCCTGCTGGGCACCCCCATCCTCTCCCCACTGCATCTCCCCTGCTCTCGCCCAGCCTGGCTTCCTGGGGCCAGCAAGCCATCCAGGACCTGGGTGGAGGGGTCTGCATGGTCCCGGCAGCTCGCTGTGTGGTGTGAGAGGTTGGCAGGGATCTGTAACAAATTAAGATGGGAGCTCACACCCTGAGACTGGGCCATGGGGCTCCCAGTTGGTTGAGGAAGGTCGGGTTACAGCCAGAGCTGTGAGGACTGTGGGGACCAGAGCCACCGTTTCCTGCCTGTGACGGCTCCCGGGGTGGGCAGTGGTCCTGGAAAGTGGGGGCCAGGTGTGCAGGGGAGAGAAGACAGCTGCTGGCCGGGCCCTGCTTGGGCTCACCTGCTTCTCTCGTGTCCAGGATTCAGCTCTACCTCAAATGTTGTCGTGCTGGCCGGCACCAACCGCCCCGATGTCCTTGATCCAGCCCTGATGCGGCCAGGCCGCTTTGACCGTCAGATTTACATTGGTGAGTGTGCTGAGGGTTGAAAGTTTGGTTCGATCATTAGCTGTGTATTTGGAGGAGGTTTTGAGGTGCCTTAAAGCAGCTAACCCCACTTGTGAAACAGTAGAGGTGCAGGACTGGGCCCCACTTCCGGAAGAACAGGTGTGGCTGGGATGGGGAGAAGGTCATAGCAGTCCATGCAGCTGGGAGTGATGTGACAGTGTTGGGTCCTTCAGCTTTTCTTTTTTGTGCACTGTTTACAAGAGAAGCATTCACCCTGGCCTTTCCCACTTGTGAGCAGATCCTGGAAACTTAGGACCTCAGTCCTGCCCAGGTCCCCTGCTACCAGAGCAGTCATCCTGGGGATTGAGTTGTGTGGACTGGAGGCCCCACGTTGAGGAAGGTGTTTGATATGTTGGAGAGCTGAATGGATGTGACCTGTGGGTCGTTTCTGCCATGGGGAGCTCTGGCCCTGGTTGGGTAGTCAAGTGTGCAGTGCAGACATGCAGGGGAGGGTCCTCCTGGCCCTGGTGAAGCAGCTGCGGGTGACCCCGCCCTGGCCACCTGTGCCTCTCTCTCTCAGGGCCCCCGGACATCAAAGGCAGGTCGTCTATCTTCAGGGTCCACTTGCGTCCACTCAAGTTGGATGAGAGCCTCAGCAAGGATGCCCTGGCGAGGAAGCTTGCAGCCCTCACTCCAGGCTTCACAGGTGAGTGATGGAGGCCGGGCGGCTGCCCTGGGACTGGCCACATCATCAGCAGGTGGTTTCTGGTTGTGTCATTTGGTCCTGAAAGTGAGCCCTTGTCTTTAGGACTGTGAATGTGGTGGGCACACCCGAGGCCCCAAAGCTGGCTTTTGTCAGCTTGCGCTGTGCCCCCCACCACCCGGCTCCCCCCACCGCCCCAGGAACGTAATGTGGTGATGATGGGGATAAGGCCCCATCCGCTTGGTATGCTACCCAGGGAAGAAGTCCTGGTCAACACTTCCCACAGTGCATAAGAGATCTGAGTCTGCACATCCAGGAAGTGGGATAAAGCCCGAGATGCCCACACTGACAATATCATCCACATTGGTTAGATGTAGGGAGAGGCCTTGAGACAAGCAAGACCAAAGGGTAGCAGCTGACTTGACTTGGAAATGGAGGCCAGGAGGCAGTGGGTCAGGCAGAACTATTCTTCCACAGTGAAGGAGAAATTAAGGCATCCTGTATAAAGGACAAGTGTGTAAAACCATAATGACATATCTGTGTTAATGGGCACACAGTGTAGAAAGATGTAACCTGTGAAGATGAGAGGGGCTGCGTAGGAGCAGAACTTTTATACATATTGTGAAGCTGGATCCTCAGCTTCACATGGAGGTGCCAGGGGATGGAAGAGCCGCACAGCCTGTAAGCACAAAGTGGCGGACACTTCCCCAGTGTGGGGCTTCTGAGGGCGGATGCGGACCAGTAGGATAAAAGTGAGAGGCCAGGTGTGGGCCTGTTCATCTTGGTCAGTTGTTTTGTCAAGGGTGTGAAGACCATCCAACGGAGAAAGAATAGCCTGTTTGAACAGGTATTTCCACAAGCTAAAGGACGTAACTGGACATTAGACCACATATAGCAGTCAACTCAGAGTGGATAAGAGACCTGAGCGGTGGAGTGAGAGCTGTAAAAGGTCTTAAAATCTTTAGGACCTTGGATTTGGCAATGGTTTTTTAAAGCACAGACAGCAAGTGAGAAAACTATAGAAAAGATTTCTTCAAAGCTAATCTTTTGTGCATCGAGAGACATTATCGATGTGATGAAAAGAGCCCACAGAAAGGAAGAGAATGTTTGGAAATTATGCACCTGGTAGGGTCTAGAATCCAGAATATATAAAGAACCCAATTTAAAAATGGGAAAAGCGTTTGAATAGACATTTCTCCAAAGTATACAAATGGCCAGAAACCATGTGGTTTCTGGTGGTCATGATATTAGTTATTAGGAAAATGCGTATCAAAAGCACAATGTGACACCACCTCATGCCCACCAGGAAGGCCGTAAAAGACAGACAGAGGGTTGGCAGGGAGGTAGGGAGATGAGCATGCTCGCATGTTGCTGGTAGGGATGTGAAGTAGTGTGGCTATGGAAGTCGGCCTGGCACTTCTTTTAGAAGTGAAGTACAGTTAGCATATGACCTCCAGTTCCACTCCTACCTAAGAGAATTGAAAATATTTGTCTGCATAAAGGCTTGCACGTGGATGTTCACAGCAGCGTTACTCATAATAGCTAAACAGTGGAGACCACCCCAGTGTCCAGCAACGACGTGTCACCAGTAGTTGTGTGTACGGTGGGCGGAACCTGCAGATAGAGCTGACCATGTTACATGAGTGACTTGAGCATCTGTGGAATCTGGTGTCTCCTGTGGCTGCCTTAGGGCAGATGGAACCTTATTCAGCCATGAAAAGGAATGAAATACCAGGACATGCTCCTGACAGTGGATGAACAGGAAAACACTGCCGTGTGAAATGAGCACATACAAAAGACCACATAGTGTGATTGCACTTACGTGAGACTTCCAGGATGGGCACATCTGAAGACGTAGAAGGTAGAGTCATGTTCGGCTAAGCCTGGGTACAGGATCTAGCCCCAGACAGCACCTTCATGATGGGGATGTCTAAGATGAGATGACAGCAGTTGTCACACATCTTGATGAAATTACTGAAAGTATTTGAAATGTACACATTTTTAAATGGGTAGATTTTATGTTAAATGAATCACACCTCAGGAAATCATTGAGCCAAGAAACTGGCTGAAAGCAGCAGTGACAGAGCAGGTCCTGTTTTCCTTCACGCCCTTGACCTGTTTTAGCTCTGGCTCCAGTGCTGCAGAGTCCCTGTGACAGCCTGCCCTGGGCCCCTGACGGACGGTTTCTCCTTCTCTGGGTCAGGTGCTGATATTTCTAATGTTTGCAACGAAGCTGCCCTGATCGCCGCCCGCCACCTGAGCCCCTCTGTAGGGGAGAAGCACTTCGAGCAGGCCATCGAGAGGGTCATTGGAGGTAAGCCGGGACACCGTGGGTGAGTTTCCACCCTGGGACCCCAGGCTCACTTCAGGGTACTCCGCTTGGGCAGCTCTCCAGACCCAGATCTGGGATGCGGGACCTGCCAGCAGCTCTCCTCCTCTTCCTGGAGCAACGTTCAGAATCTCAGAGAATTGTAACCTCCAGGGTGCTGAGTCAGACCCAGGTCTGGGTGCCCACTGTGACCTAGAGGACGGCCTGCTGGGTGCTTCCCTGGGAAATTTGCTGGGGTCCCCAGTGCTCCCAGTGGCCAGCATACCCAGAGCGGGTGCAGGCTTCAGCCTGGGGGTCGAGGTCTCTGGAGTGCCATCCTGGGGACAGAGGTCAGGGAGGCATCCCTGTGGCCAGCAGCCATCCTTACCCCACCCACGGCTGTGAGCACTGGCCTGTCCAGGTGGTAGGTAGCCGGAGCTGCTTTGTCTGCGTCACTTTGTGTTGAGGTGTGACACGTGCACAGGCATGTAGTGTCAGGAGCCCAAGGCAGTTGCCACAGCCGTTCGGTGCTGTCATGGGCCATGCTGGGCTGAGCTGCCGTGAAACTGACTCACACTAGTCGTCTGTGTCTCTCCGTGCCCTGTTCTCTGCCTGTGACTGAGTGTACAGGGTGTAGAGAATGCTCCTGTCTCCCTGCTTTGGCTTCACTACCACTTGAGCCATAGAGTAGCTAACCCTGCTGCCTAAGAACAGGTCTCCCTGAGCATATGTTGCTTGCACGGGAAGTGGAGTGGGGTGCAGGATGTCTGCAGAGCAGAAGGCAGCTTAGCATCTGGTTTGCAGGGACAGACCCCTGTGGGCCTGAGCAGTGTGTGTGGAGCCGACAGGCTGCAGGTCTGCTCTGACCAGCCCCCAGCACGCCGGAGTGGGGGCTTGGTTCCCACCTCTCTGCTGGCATTCCTCCTGTGCCTCTCACCAGGAGTGTGACTTGCAGGCCTTGAGAAGAAGACACAGGTCCTGCAGCCCAGTGAGAAGATGACAGTGGCCTACCACGAGGCTGGCCATGCAGTGGTGGGCTGGTTCCTGGAACACGCAGACCCCCTGCTCAAGGTCAGTCTGGCCCCTTACACATCTCCTGTGGGTTCAGGGCCTGCTCCCGCCCTGGGGGCCAAGGGATGGAACTGTCTAGAATGTGTCGTTGAAGGGTGGGTGGGAGGGCAGAGGCAGGGGGCTGGTTCCAGGAGGGGTCTGGATCTGGCCACCTGACACCTGGAGGTTCCTGGTTAAACTCACCTCACTGTAAGCTTCTCCCTGAAGGCAGACCTCTCCACAACTTCCTGGGGACTGTGAGACAGAGGGTATTTCTGTGTTTACCCTCAGGGTGACCCCCTGTGAGCGCTGGGGCCCAGGGTCTCCTCTCCTCCCACACTTTTGTGGAGACGCCCTGGGGATGACGGGGCGCCCTGCTGTGTCTGCCAGGTGTCCATCGTCCCCCGGGGCAAGGGGCTCGGCTACGCCCAGTGCCTGCCCAGGGAGCAGTACCTGTACACGCGGGAGCAGCTCTTTGACCGCATGTGCGCCATGCTGGGTGGCCGCGTGGCTGAGCAGCTGTTCTTCGGGCGGGTCACCACGGGGGCCCAGGACGACCTGAGAAAGGTCACCCAGAGCGCCTATGCCCAGGTAGGGTAGCAGCCATGGGGGGTGGGGGGTGGGGGGCTCTGCACCAGGCTGACCCTGGCACTTGCCCGCTGCAGATCGTGCAGTTCGGGATGAGCGAGAAGCTGGGCCAGATGTCCTTCGATCTCCCGCGGCCGGGCGAGGCGCTGGTGGAGAAGCCGTTCAGCGAGGCCACGGCCCAGCTCATAGACGAGGAGGTGCGGCGGCTCATCGGCTCCGCGCATGCGCGCACGCTGGACCTGCTCACCCGCTGCCGCGAGCAGGTGGACAAGGCGAGTGGGCGGCTGGACCCCGGGTGCTGGTGGGGTTCTGCAGGCGGGGCGGCCAGCTGACAGCTGCTGGGTGTGCAGGTGGGCAGGCGGCTGCTGGAGAAGGAGGTGCTGGAGCGGGCTGACATGGTGGAGCTGCTCGGGCCACGGCCGTTCGCCGAGAAGATCACCTATGAGGAGTTCGTGGAGGGCACGGGCGGCCTGGAGGAGGACACGGCCCTTCCTGAGGGTCTGCAGGGCTGGCGTGGAGGGCCGGAGGAGGGCGGCTTAGGGCGCCCGCTGCAGGAGAGCCCAGCCTAGCGCGCCTGCCTGGAGAGCAGCCTCCGGGACCCCCAGGAAGCAAATTAAAGCACATATAACAGGCAAACAGCTGTCTTCCTATCAGGGCCCTTGAAGCACGGGCTTCCTGCTCCTTGCAGGCACCCTTCCACCGAGGGGGCTGGGACCCAGCCTCTGTCTGAGTGGGGGGCTGGGACCTGGTCAGTGCAGGTGCCTTCACCTGCCCCAGGGAGAGAAGGCCCAGTTCAGAAGCACTCACAGGTCAGCCCACTGTGAGGTTCAGCAGAAGAGGTGTGTAAGCCCCAGAATCTAGGGAATGGCAGTTTGGGTAGTGGAAAGCCAGCTGGTCCTCAGGGATGGAGCTCACCACTCCCATAGGCATGTGGCCGGGGTTGGGGGGCCTTAGGGGCCTGAAACTGAGAGGGAGGGGTTGCCCTTTTCTCAGGGTGGGGCCTTGTTGCTGGCAAGTCTCTGGGAAGCTGTTCCTGGTGGCCTGGTTTTGTTAGAATCCAGAAGGCGACTCTGGGCTGCTCCATGGGACAGGACAGCCCCTGAGGGTGCAGTTGTCTGCACCCTGCCGGCAGTTGTCTGCTTGGACCCGGAGTGAGACTAGGGCCCGGTCCCAGGGAGCTGGGTTTAGTGGAAATGGCCTCATGGGTCCCCAGCACACAGCCAGAGGGCCGGAGTCATCAGAGTTGTGACAGTAGAAGCAGTTCCTGCCTTGAGGGGGTCGGGGGACAGGCTTTCTGGGCTGATAGTGGGTGAAGGGGTGCCCCCCTGTTGCCGGCCCGGCCCACACACGGCCTTGGGGATGAAATTTTCCACATCATTTGGTATGTTTGCCTCAAAAATAGAATTTCCAACTTGGGACAAACACTTTCAGCTTTGCTCTTTGTAGAACATGTATTGTTGATTTTCTTGTCTCTGGGGCTTGCCCTGTATTGCAGCCTCCACCACTTAGCCTCTGTACTGAACTGCTGGGGACCCTGCAGGGGCCTGTTCTGGGACCTTCCAATGTAGGTAATGTCACCCCAGGAAAGCCCCATGCTGTCCCGAGCCTGGGCTGCTGCCCCTCTCCAGGTCCAGGGCTCACCCCTGGTGATAGTGCCCTGCATGCGTGCCCTCTCCTCTCACCCGCTGCTGTCTGCTCAGCTCCCCTCATCTGGCTGAGCATCTGGGCTGAGGCCTGGCTGAGTGTCTGCTAGGGGAGGCTCCACCCCTTGGGAGGAACTGCTTGCTCTCTTCTGCTCACAGACTGGCCCTCCCTGCCGGCTGCCTCCCCAGATCCTGCCCTGGGCTGGGAGGAGCCTTTTGGGGCTGCCTCTTCCAGCCTGGGCTTGTGGGGACAGAGCCAAATGCTAGCCCCCAGTGCGTCACAGTGGAGCCCCCAGAGGCTTCAGCTGGGGGAGGACCAGAGCACAGAGCTGGAGGTTTCTCGAGGAGCCAGCCCCCTGCCCCTGCGCAGCCCCCGCCCCTGAGCGCCAGTGTCAGTCGGAAAGGAAGACAGTGGTCCACGAGACTGAGGACAGGGCGACGTTTTAATTGCGCGTCTTTGAAACGAGGTCACGGAAGCTGCAGCAGGAAGGATGGGGGCTGGAGGGAAGACCCTGGGGTGGGTGGGGCACAGCGGCCCTCTTGGGGCCCCTTTTCCATTAGACTCTTGGAAATCACCCCCGTGCAGCTGCCCCTCGTGTGCAGGAGTGTTGCCCCAGTCCTGGTGCAGCGGCGACCCTTCCTGGCAGGGTATGCCCAGGGCTTCCACAGAGGAGCCTGTTTTTCTTCCCCAGAAATGTCTCAGTGAAGAAGGGGTCAGGACAGGTGGCCTTGGGGACAGAAAGCAGACTGGACTTGCTGTCAGACTGGAAGCTGGTCCTGTCCTCAGCACATAAGCAGCATTGGGAGCAGTCAAGCCTGGCATCCCTGAATTGGTTCAGGGGCTGTGCCCAGGTGCCCTCATGTCCCCACCCCCTCTGACTGCTGCACCCCAGACTGGGACGCTAGCCAGGGACACAGACCTACACGTGTGTGCACATGTGTGCCTGGTGGGCTTTGGAGACTGGGCAAGCCCTGCCTGCCCTGCCGTCTGAGGCCGTCTTGATTGACTTGGCATTCCACGCTTGGGAAGGTGGGTCTGGCTGACGGAGGGAGGAGGACGAGCAAGTTGCTGGGGGTGTCTGGTGCTAACAGTGTTCCCGGGCAATAGCAGGGAGCAGGGGGGAATCGGGTGATTTTGGGGACTCACTCCCCTATCCACTCCCTGGCTGGACAACAGACTCCTATGGGCCGGAGTTTGGCATGGCGATTCACCCCCTCTCACCAGCATATCCCCACTCACCCTGGCCCCACCCAGGATTCTGGTGACAGATGACAACACCATTCCTGCAGACAAGTCTCATCTCATCCCTGGGCCTTGTCCCTGATCCAGGGACCAGGAAAGAGCTGATATAAGGCCACTGGGCTGTGCTTATGCTGAAGTGCCTTGAGACCCCAGCCCAGAGCCGCAGTGGGGAGGGCGGGCAGTGTCCACGTGGCCACGGTGGTCCGGTTCTGCCCCATCTTGGCCCCAGGCCAGCCCGCCTAGTCCTCCTTGGGCCTCTCCACAGTAAGAATCGTGTCCACAATGGCAGGCTGCCGCTCAGGGTCGCCAAAGGGCTGCTTCTCACGGTTCTGCTCTGCCCTGGTGCGCGTCCAGGAGGGTGAGCGCAGACAGCCAGCTCGGGGCAGTGGGTGTAGGCCTGGTGGGAACATGGGCTGGGTCAGTGTGGCTCACCAGTCACTCCTGCATCTACGGTCTGGCCTATTTGTGCCTCCAGCATGGTGTCCGGCCACACCTTGGGGGCTCCCTGGTACCAGCAACATGTGCATGTGGGTCTGGATGCCGCCTGGGCACTGGCTTTCCTGATGCTTCCAGAAGGGTTCCCATGTGGCCAGGGTCCCGCCCTGGTTGTGAGCCTGGCTTGGAGCCCATGTGGGTGGGCAGTAGGGAGGGAAGAAGGTCTCTGGGCACCCACACTCCCAGTGCCTTGCATGCCATTTCTTTGGTCAGTGGGGTCCAGTGCTTCCCAGGAACTGAGCTGAGGAGCAGCCAGGGCTGGCTAATGCCACCCCTTTTGTACTCTGCCTTGTAATTAAATCCACATAGTGAATTCTACTACTGGGGGGGCCTGTGGCTGTGGCCTTTTGCTGGTGTTTGAAAACTGAAATTGAGGAGGGGCAGACAATTCCTTAAAGTTAGCAGAAGGTTGTGTAAAGTGCAGAAGCAGTGAGTGAAATGGTGCCATGTCGACAAACATGCATTAGAAAGGAAATCATTTTCTAGACCAGGTCTTCAGGGAGTGGTGCTGTGTGGTCTCAGGCCCTGGGGCCTCCCCATAATGCATGCAATCCCACCTGCATGCGAGTCACTGGCCACATTCTCGTCGTCCGAGTCTGCAAAGACCTCGGCCAGCTCCTGGTCAGACATGTCGGTCAGCTCGGTGAGGTCTAGTAGGTCGAAGTGCACCTCCAGGGAGGAGACGCTGCTCAGCGGCTCTGGGGGCAGAGGGGCACGTCAGTGGGCCTGGTGATGGCCAGTGTGGGGGAACGAGGTGGTGGGAACAAGGTGGGGCCGACCCATTCCTGGCGCCTGCTCCTTGGGGCACAGCGGGGCCCAGAGACCCATCCCTGGTCCCAGGGGGCTTGTGGAGCATGATGGGTGGATGGGCCGTACTTACGCCGCCTTTCCGTGACCTGCAGGAGCCCTGGTGCTGGTATTGGGACGCCCAACTCCTCCTCAGCCACGGGAGACTGGCTACTGGTCCCTGTGACAGGGACAGGGGTGCTGAGAGCAGCCTGTGGCACGTCGACCTCCTTAACTAAGCCTGCAACAGAGAGGGCGTTACCCGGGAGGGGCTGGGGTCTTCCACCCCCACTGCCAGGATGCAGGCTCAGAGGACCTGAGAACCTGGCCCATGAGGCTAGCCCTCAAGGCTCAGGTAGTGACGGGGTTGGTCCTGGGTCAGGAAGGCGGACAGGGTGCCGGGGGCTTCTCTTGAGGAAGCTGACTTTCCCTGGCTCCTCATTCTCTAGTTTCCAGACCCTCTGCCCTCCTTACTCGAAGGGGAATCACTGCTGGTCTTGCAGGGACCCTTGCTGGTTCTGTCAGAGCTCCCAAGACCCCAATACTGTCACCTGTCTACTTTTGGTCCCACTAGGGTTTACTAAAGAAGACCATCTTGCAGCTGAAGAAGCTCTATACAGTCAGCAAAAATTAGACCGGGATCTGGCTGTCGCTCAGATCATGAACTTATTCCAAGAAGAGCCTGGAGAGTCCTTTGGACTGCAAGGAGATCAAACCAGTCAATCCTCAAGGAAATCAGTCCTGAATATTCATTAGAAGGACTGATGCTGAAGCTCCAATACTCTGGCCACCTGATGGGAAGAACAGACTCATTTGAAAAGATCCTGACACTGGGAAAGATTGAAGGCGGGAGAAGGGGATGACAGAGGATGGGATGGTTGGATGGCATCACTGACTCAATGCAAGCTCTGGGAGTTGGTGATGGACAGGGAAGCCTGGTGTGCTGCACTCCATGGGGTCGTAAAAAGTTGGACACAACTGAGCGACTGAACTGAACTGAGGGTCTAGTGGACGGTCATAGATTTGCTTTAATCCAGCCTGGTCCCGGCTCATGTGTCTGTCCTATGTTGTGTTTGAACTCAAAATAACACATTCTCATAGTGAAAGAGTTACTAGACGGGGCACGTGGCAGACCTGTTCCCCGCCAACCTCACAACTGGGGATGTTCCCCCAGGGATTTTTTTCTGCTCAAATTTCGTTTTCATGTAACAGCTTGTCTCTGTCAGACGAGAGCCGAGGCCCCTTGGGGATCTGCTTGGTGGGCACTGCCACTCAGAGGTGGGGCTTCCACCCCAAGGGGGGCCCCGTCCATCCACAGCTCACCCATTCCTCCCCTCCAGAGTGCTCTAGTGTCCCTCCCCCAACAGCCGGGGTCCCAGTCGTCTGTCAGGCACATGCCCTGAGGCAGCTGGACCCCTCGGCTCCCCTGAGACTCCTCTCCATAGTGACCTGCCCTCAGCTTAGGGACCCCCAAGCTGAACAGGTGCCCAGTACAGAGTGCAGAGTCCCTCCTCTGTCAGCAGTGGGGCCTTGCCGACCCAGCGGGCAAGTGGAGAGTGGGGTGTGGACGAGGCCACAGGAGCAGCTGCCAAGGGAAATCAGGGGGGCCCAGCACCAGCAGCTGCCTTTGAGGGGTGGGCCTGTGTGGCCAGCAGCCTGGACGTGCCCGGCAGGCTGCGTAGGTCCGGAAGGTCCTGGCTGAGTGGGAAGTGGGACATGGATTTGCGGCTGCAGAGCTGGCTGGGCTGCCCCAGCCTCAGAGGGCACCCCTCCCTGGGAAGCGTGACTGAGGGCAGGTGGGCCTGCTGACTGGCAGGGCCTGCCCGGCTCTGCCCTGTGCTGTGTCGTCACTGGGGCCTGGGGCCAGCCCTGCTGGATGGGGCTCAGGATCTGGTTTCCACCTTGCTGCCACATCTGGCAGTGGTGTCTGAGCATCCTCGAAGGGCAGGGTTACATCCGCTGGCGGCCCGGCCCGCCCAGCCTGACAGGGGCACCTTTCCTGAACCTCAGAGTTCCTGCTGCAGCTCGAGGCCCAGGAAGCCCTTGGGGCCTTTGTAGGACATGGTTCTGTTTCTTTTCTTTTCTTTTTTAACTGTTTTATTTTATTTATTGGACACACAGCATGTGGGATCTTAGTTTCCCAACCAGGGATAGAACCCATGCTCCCTCCATTGGGAGCTCAGAGTTTAACCAATGGACCACGAGGGAATCCCCCTGGTTCTGTTTCTTAAGAGGAGATGGCACAGCGGCCAGATCGCCCTCCCCAAGGGCACACGTGTGCCTGGAGTGTCCTGCTCCTCTTCCGCACACGTGGCCCATCCTGGCGGGTGAGCAGGGTGGCCTCTGGCTGAGGGCTCCGGCCAGGTGCTACCATTTCTGTGGAGCCTCCACATGGGGCAGGTGACTCTGGGTTAAGAAGAAGAGTGACAGTGGCTCCTGGTTTTCTGTGCTAGACACAACCCCAGCAACACGGTTTTCAGCTAATGTCACAAGCAGCTACGAGGGAGGGACTGCGAGTTTTGTCCTATAACATGGAGAGGATCAGCTTGTCACAGGCACGTTAACACAGGGGCTCTGGAGCAGGAACTCTTGGGCCACCACCTGCCAACTCATGGAGGGAGGGGAGACCCTGATCTTGTGCCCACAGGGAAGCTAGGGCCTTGCCAGGCAGAAGGGGATTTAGGATCAAAGGTGGAGTGGAGGAGCAGGAGAAGGCCCTGAGGGAGTCTGGCTGCTCTGGGTGAGCTGGGTAGGAAAGCAGCTACCTGCATGTTTATGGAATGGGCCTCGGTCCAGGTGGAAAGGAGGACGTCTACAGTTTCTGAGATGGGGGAAGGGCAAGCAGATGCGCCTCCTTATAGACCCTGAGATCCAGGGGTCCCTCCAGCCCCCACAGGCACAGTGGCCTGTTGTATTGATTCTAAGAAGCACATGTTAACAAATTTCAGTGTATCTGAAACAGCACCATTTAGCTGATGGTGTTGCAGAGCCAGTGGAATATGTTATCTGTGAATTTTTAAGTCACCTTCTGTTGACTTTTTTATTCCTTCTTCTCCCTTTGGCAGTGCTCTGCTCTTTACTTTGTAAATCCTGGTGTCCAGGCCTGTGTCAGAGCTTTGGGAAGGGGGAGGGAGCAGCGGAAGACACAACTTTGGCATCAAGGATGCTGATCTTTTAGCTGGAAGTGAAGGAAACAGGACCTTGGCTTGGTCCTTGTTCACAGCAGTTTTACCGTAAATGCTGGTTGAACGAATGAGCCCAAGACCCCACCCAGAGTTCCTAAGCAGCTGTGCTACCTGAGTGTGTATACCCTCTTGGTAGACTGCTGTAGGAAGAAGGGACAGGTTCTCCATGCGTGAGACCCCCTGCTGTTCCTGGGGTGTGAAGCAGAGCAGTGACTGATCACACAGGTAGACGGGCAAGGGTGCTTGCCTGTGGCCCAGATGTAACCCCAGGGTTGCCCAGGCCAGGGCAAAGGTGAGGGGTGTTTCTAGTTCCCCAGGAAGCTCAGCATGGCCCAGCAGCCCAGCGCAGGCCCCATTGAAGGAGTGCAGCCTGTGGTTCCTGCAGGGGGACCTGCTGCCCTGACCTGTGGAAGCACTGAGGCAGTGCCTGCATGGGGAGACTGGAGCTGGGGGGCCACAGTCCTGCCCTGCCCATAGTCTGTTGTGAACCGATATGGTAGGGTTACCCTGTGCTAAGCTGCTGACCTATTTTCCAGCACATTTGTGCCAAGAACTTGGCCCAGATCTCAAGTTCCCTGCTGTGTGCCCAAGACTTTGCCCCAAGCCTGGAGGAGGGGCTCTGCACACACCCACCACGAATGAGCGAATTAATGAAGTTAATGAATGAACAGCATAAAACCAACATGGCTGCAGCGAGGGCGGCATGGGCACCATCCCCTATGTCAAAGATGCCTGGTGGACGCTGTCTCAGCTCAGCCCCCAGGGCTGGGCCCTGGCCCCTCTCTCAGATGGACAAGACTTGGAGGTGGGTGGACTAGATGCTTGGTCTCCCAATGGCACTTTCCAGAGTGCACCCCCACCTCTCGCCTCCTTGCCTGTGCATTTGATATTAAATTATTATTGATTCATTTAGGTTTTAATTATAAGACCTTATAGAAGTAATTTCAGAGATACTTAAGGATGAAATAATACATCTCAATTTGCCACATTAGCACTGAAGGAAGGCTGGTGGAAGCGGGTGAGCAGCAGGCTGGGGGCACACAGGGGGCTTCAGCATTCTGTCCTACTTCTCTATGTGTCCCTCTCTCCAGTATAAGTTCCCAGAAGTTGGCAAACTCAGAGAATGACAGTCACAGCCACCCACACATGGCCTCTGTGGGGTAGGATGTGGCTGTGGGGTAAGAAGTCTGTCTGCCGGCTTTGGCCCCAGACCCACTGTGTGCCTGCACAAAGTAGGCACCAGGTGAATACAGGTCTCTGGGGTTCCAGAACACTCCCTTCCCTCACGCCTGCTGTCTGCGCTCTTGATCTGCAGGGAAGGGGGTCTGTCTCCACTGAGAGGAGTGGTCTCACGGAGCTCAGAGAGGTCTGGTTTCCGGCATCCCTAAGCTCTTGCTCGCCAAGCCTTCCCCATCAAATCATCTTATGGCCGCACCGGAAGCCGCGGGGTCCTGGTGCAGCCCACAGGAATACAAAACAAAGAAAACCACACCCACTGTCCCCCACCCTCCCCAGGGTGTCTCCTGGTGCTCAGGAGGAGGGTGACAAGGGCCCCCAGAAGGTGTCTGGGACGCACCTGCCCAGCTCAGACTTCAGACAGCAGTGAGTGGCCTGACTGCTTCAGGACACTTCCACGGCTAGCATTTGGGTCTCCAGAGGCAGCCCTCGTGGGCTACGTGGCCCCCAGCGGATCGCTGTGAGGTCAGGGAGTGGCTCCTGGGGAAGGGACCTCCAAGAAAGCCTAGGTGTGTCTGGGGTCTGGCCTGGTGGGTGGAGGAGCCCGGCAGTTTGCATCCAACTTCCTAGGCAGACGACACAGGAAAACCCTTCCTGAAAGAGGACGTTCCTAGAGTTTTCCTCTCACCACTGGGCCAGGGTCAGGCTAGGGCCAGACTCCCAGGGGAGAGACCCCGAGTACATCTCCACCGTCTGGACAGCTAACAGAAGCCCTGAGGAGGGGTCACTTCGTGCACCCCTGGCCTCCCAGGTGTGTGCGCTCCTGGCCGCGCCAGGGCAAGCAACCCCTGCAGGCGTGGGAGCCCCCGCCGGCCAAGCCCAGGGCATCATCCGCCTCCCTCGCTCCAAGCCCGAGCCCGTATCTCAGCCTGGTGCCCCGCAGCATCCCGGCTGCCGCCTCCCCGCCCAGCCCCCAGAGAGGTTCGGCAGGGCCGAACAAAGCAGATGCGCGGCTAGGAGCGTAGCCTCCCCCCTACGCCTTGCTGACTTGGACCCTGACTCTGGTCCCGGCACGCCCCCATCTCCCGGATCCCCGGCTCGGCTGGGAGGGGGCGCAGGACCAAACTGTGCGCCGCCCACTCAGGAGCGCGCCAGGCACTGCTGCCCGGGCCGGGAGCGCGGAGGACGAGGGGGCGGGGACGCGGTCCGTGCGCTTCTAGCCCAGCGCGGGGGCCGCTCCCGGAGGTGCCCCGGCCTGGCTTCCCCAGCACGGCGGGCTTAGGCTTCCACGCTCCGGCCCGGCATAGTGGGACTCGGAGCTGCCTGCGGGTCCTGGCGGCCCTGGGGCGTGGTCGGTGAGAGGGCCGGGGGAAAGGACTGCGGGGAGGCGCCGATCTAGGGCTCAGGGGGGCCACACTCACCTCCCGGGCTGGCGCCCTCCGGGGGCTCCATGCGGCCGGTAGGGCCTTGGAGCCGCGCGCGCGGCGGCGGCGGCGTCACCCGGCCCCGGCGCCCCTGCAGCTGCGGCGGCGACTCGGCCCCGGCTCCCTGCGCAGCGCATCGGGGCAGCAGCCGGGGGACCGCGGCGGCGGGGAGGAGCCCGCGGGGCGGGGCGCGCAGCTGCTCCGGGGCCGGGTCCCGCCCCCCTACCCCCCCGNCGGCGGGGGGGGGGGGGCGGTGAGGGGGTGCAGGGGAGTGCGACCAAGGTGCACAGCCAGTCACAGGAAGCCAGAGGAGCCAAGTGCAAGCCCCTGGTCTACACAAAGACAAACCAACCAAAGAAGAGCATCAGGGAGACAGACTTGTTCCCAGCTTGGAGTGGGGAAATTCGCAGAGGAGGAAGATGTGAACTTGGTGTTTGCTGGAAATGTACCCTCCTAAGGCATCTTCAGCCATTCGAGGCCTCAGTCAACTCCAGTCACCCTTAGCCCATAGCTTTGTTAACTGTCAGTCAGTGAGAGGCAGGCTAACAGTTTGTATTTCTCTTTAGCTTACAAAACAAAGAAAAACTGCTAAAATGATGTCATGACCCACTGCAGTTTGCACTCCAAGAGGCAGGTCAGCCCCTCTGGGACAAAGCTGAGGGTGGTGGGGACCTTGAGAGGTCAGGACAGTAGACGGACACTGGCTACTGGGGTAGAAGTTTGTATTGTCTCACAATGGTCAGAGCAGTATCTCTGATTCCCCATGTCTTCCAGAACCTTCTGGTCCCATCCAGCCATACCCTGCCTGTGCTCCTGCTCACACCTGGGCAGCTCACACTTGTGCTGCTCTGACCAGTGGACTGTGTCCAGCTGATGCCATGTGACTCCAATGCAGGGTCTTAAGTAGGATTCAGGCCTTGATCCCCAGGCTCCCCTGGAATTCGGCCACCCTGTGTAAGAAAGCCCAGGCCATTTGAAGGGCCACTTGAGTGTTGTCTGGCTCACAGTAGCCAATGAACCAGGTGTAAAGTCTCAGCCAGACCCTTCCTTTGAGCCACCCTCCCCCGGGTGGGGGTAATACGTGGAACCAAGGTGAGCTGTCCCCACAGGGTCCCAGCCAAGTTGCAGATTCATGGGCAAAACAGATGTTGTCACTATGTTAAGCCATTTCACTTTGGGGCCAACCTGTCACACAGCCATCGTAACTTAACAGTCTTGGTGTTTAATAATTATCCCTATTTGACAGATGAGTAAGTGGATACACAGGGAGTCTTGTCCAGGGCACCAACTGATCTGACTCCAGAGGCCAGGGTCAAACTTTTCATTCAAAACATTTTCATGGAAGTCAACTATACTTCAACTTAAAAAAGTCAAACTAAATAAAAAGAAAAAAATCAAACAATAGTAGAATAGCATAATTATGGGTTAATTAACCCACGTGTACCCATCATTCAGATTCAGCGATTACTGACTCATGGTTGATCATGTTTCTTCTCTGCTTTCAATGCCTTCTTCCACTTCTGGGTTGTTTTGAAGCAATCCTATATGTATTATGTCATTTCTTTTGTAAATACTTCGCTGTTGATCTCTAAAAATGTTTAGTCTTCTTGAGGACTCTGTTATGCTAACATTCAGGCCTCCATCGAGTTGCTGTTGTGATCTGAGGCAATTTACCTGGATGACCATGTACGTGGGTGTTAGGAAGAGCCAGATATTCACCATAGGTCATTGGGTTTGTATTAACATTTGGTCTGTCATTTTGTAGGAAACTCAGATGTCATTTATCTGGGTTTCTGAGATGCTCAGCTTGATGCCGATTAAAAGTATCTCAAGCCACCTATGTGAAGAAAGGCTCTTTTCTATAAATCTGAACTCAAATTCAGTATGAAAAGCACAGGTCGCCATGGGCCTTGCGGGGAGCCCAGAGAGCTGGCAGCAAGGCCTCCCTCAACTCTTCATCTCTGCAGTGCACACTGATAAACCGTGCTGTGCTGTTCATTTGTGACAAACGAATACCCTGTCTTGTTATCCTGAGCTAACCCTCCTATTCTTGTCCTTTTTGTTGAAAGGAATTATTGTTAATGCATTCGTTTAATTCAGGACTCCCAGCCAGAATTCTAAAGCAAAAAGCCAGTCAGCATGAGGCACCTAGCATACCGAGTCTGCAAAGTAAGTGTTAAATAATAATTATTAGCACTCTGTGCTATCCGGCTGCATTGTCTTACTTGCCAGAACCCCTGTGGGAGGAGCCTACCTAGGGGAGAAGACCCCTATCAGACCAGACGTGTCTGACACAGGCTCAGGCTCTTGTCAGTCCAGGCACAGTGACACCATCAGACCTCCCAGAGGCCATAGGGCTGCTATAAATGTCACTCTCTGTGCAAGTCGGTTGATACAGTACTTCCAAGGGGCCATTCCTCTCCAGGAACAATCAAGTCTTGGGTGGGCAAACAGGAACCCCCCCCCCACCCCCACCCCCGGCTCATTGCTGTGGCTCTCTTCCCCGACCTGACCCTTTCTCCACTATTCACACTGTGCCCAAGGCAGTTCTCCAGGGAGAGAAGATTCCTCTCCATCCCTAAACTGACAGAAAATCTTGACCTGCTGCAAAACCACTGTTTAGTAAGATGCTAATGTTAAGAGTGTAGAAAACAAGACAACACATGGTGGTGTTTTGGGTGTAGGTAGCTGGATGGTAGGAGGGATAAGAAATTCTCTCTGCAATTTGTAAAGCAGTTAGCAGTTTTCAGAACAAGAAGAGGGAAGAAGACCCCTGAAGGCTTTTTTTTCCTGCAGAGCGCGTCTGAAAACCCGTAGCAAAGGTTTCTAGTTTTTCCTCACCAGGAGGACAAAGTCTCTTTAGGAAGAGCAGTTAGTTTTTGTGAAGGGGAGAGTTGCTGATTTCAAAACTGTGGACCCCGCTGGAACATATTTTTCTCGCCTACTTTTGCTTCCTCTAAGGCTTAGTGGAAATCCAGCTGTCTTCCAGCCTCAGGTGGGAGGAATCGTCAAAGGGGGGGCAGGGTGAGGTGAGGCCCAAGGGCAGGGGTTCCGCGAGAATTTGAATCTAATTTGGGTAAAGTCGCGGTGTGGCCGCTTCCCCTCCCTCCCTCTTGGAGTTCATGCACTGGAGGCCCTGTACCCACGTAGAGTACGTAACAAGTGGACGGAAACCGTTCCTCCAGCCACCGTGGAGCTTAAGTTTTAGTGGGGAAGACCCGCGGTAAACAAGAATTGTCCCGAAAGGAATGCGTTCCCAGGCGTCTTGGAGAGGTAGCTTGTGAATAATGCCCGTCGGCCCAAATCTACAAACTCTGCCTGATTAGTTGCTAAGGACTCCAGCTGTTGCGAGGCACCAGCCGGGCCGGAGGGCTCTCGCGATGATTCTCGAGACTTCGCGCGGGACCTTGCAGTCGTTGCCTGGAAACGGCGCACCCTGGGAAGGCCGGGCGCTTTGGTTTGCTAGTCCAGGGAGGCGGGAAGCAGCAACCATGGTGAGGCGGTCTCGTAGGGTCCGCGCCGGGGGCCTGGGGCCTCAGGGGTCCGCGGGCCTTGCGCGCCGGGAGTACCCGGGACGGGAGATCTGGAGCTTTAGGGTCCTGGAGCTGCGGGCTTGTTGCTCTGGGCGGGCGGGGTGGTCCTCGCGGGGAGGGCCCAGGGTGCTGCAGACGCCGGACGCGGCTCCCCCGTGGAGCTGAGAGACTTGGTCTCTCCAGGATCCTGTGCACACCGGGGTGGGTGGTCAGAGAGCACCGTCTACCCCGTCGCCAGACCTAGGGCCCGGTGTGCACGTGTCCAGACTGGAAAACCTGGGTCGAGTGGCTTCCCTACCTGGAATGGAAGGCTCATTGATCAGATCCTTGGGAAATAGAGATCCTCCAGCCTCTGGGATCGAGAGCCTAGGGTATACCAGGGTGGCCAGAGGGTCCTGACAGCGGTTCCAGCGCACGTAGAGTCCAGGGCAGAGCCCCGTCGTACAGGAACTGCAGTTTCCCGGGCAAACCTGCGAGGAGTAAGGCGGGGACTGAGCAGAGCAGAGCGGAGCTTGCTGTCTCTGGGGCTCTCCATCCCCGCCCCTTCTGTGGTAGGGCTCTCAGCTGCGCACTCCCCTCTGTGCCGTATGGGCTGTAGGTCACCCAGTTTCCAGGCAGGTGTGGCAGGGTGGCCATCAGTGCGGGGACCCCTCTGTGTGTGGGAGCCCCAGGGGCTCTAGAAGCCCCAGCCACTGCCTTACTCCCAGATGCTGAGTGGTGACAAGCCCCCGGGCTCTTCTGATGGGTTGGACTTCTTGGTGTAGTGGGTTAGGAAGAGGGCAGTGTTTTAGGAGAGAAGATTTCAGCGACTCTGTCTTTTGCAAGTCAATTGGAAAAAGACCACCAAAACACATCTACTTTCACTAACTTGTGGGAAATATGTGTGATTTTCCTTTTTTTTTTTTCTTGTTACTTTGTGCTTTCTAACATTTCCTTGTAAACTTTTGTGGTAATAAAAATGTTACAGAGACGTGTAGATGCGTGCATACATACAGACAAAAGCATGAGCCACAGAAACCTGGGAGAAGTGAGGGCAGAGGATAAGTTGTTAGTTTTCTTTCTGTTGAGTGGCCCCGGGAGAGGGAGTGGGGCGGGAGGTCCGCCCTGGCACCTTGGAGAAGTGGTTAAAAGCAGGCATCACCCCACTGACAGAGCCCACAGTGTGTGAGTGCCAGTCTGTGCCAGCACTCTTCACCTCAGGTCTCTGAGACACCCACCTTGCCCCCATGGAGCGATATATTGCAGGTTTCTCTCTGGCACTTGCCAAGCACTATAGTCTGTGCTGCTGGGGATACTCCTTTTTGAGGCTGAGTAGATTTTGCTCCACGCCAAGGAGGTCTCTGCTATATACAAGGAACAAGTTCTCCCTCTTTCTTTCTGAAGGAGAGCAACATTCTCTTCTGAGAAGGGAGATTTCTCCTTGCTGTTCCAAAGGTGTCAACAGAATGTGCCTGTGGATAAGGATGGGAAAGCTTAGGGCAGAGTGAGTCGGCCCAGGTGGAAGCCTGAGACAGTGGGCAGTCAGATGGAGGTTCCAGGCAGAAATTCCTCTTCCAAATGGCCCTGAGAGGGAATGAACCAGTCAGAAGTGAACCCTAACCCAACCATGTGTTTTTCAATCCAAGGCGCCCAAAAAGAAAGGGAAGAAAGGCAAAGGCAAAGGCACTCCGATTGTTGATGGGCTGGCTCCGGAGGACATGAGCAAGGAGCAGGTGAGTGGGCTGGCCGGGCCGTGGCACCATGCTGGGGCGGATGGGATGGGTTTACTGCCCCATGCTGGTCCTGGGAACTTCTTTTAGACCACAGCACCCCAGCTCCTTGTCTGCCTTCCCCTCAGTCTGGCTCCTGCTGTCTGTCCACACCAGGACCTGTGAAACAGTGCAGCATGTGTACATGGATAAACTTTTCTCTAGGGTAGTAGGAATTTGGAAGGAAATGTTTTTCTGATAAAAAAGCTATTTTAAGTTTTCTTTCATTCTTACCCTTTTTAGGCCCCTGCTGTTTACAGAGATGTTAATCATAGTACATACACTTACAACATTCTCATTTATTTGATTTACCATTACACACTGTGAATTATTTTAGGCTGCTTGTTCATTTCGATGACATTAAGAGCTAGGGAACATGATTTGATTAATTACAGTTCAATTGAAAGGCTCCCAAAACCTATAATCGGTACAACACATGAGAGCAAGTGTGGTCTGGAAGTGTTCATGACCCTTACTTACTTTTTTATTTTTATTTTTTCCTTACTTACTTTTGATGGTTTTAAGATAACAGAAATCAAAGGAGACTGATCAAGGCATAAGACCTGAAGATGGAGAGCTGGGCGGAGGCCCTTGAAAGTGGTGAACAGGCTCTGTTTCTCACACAGGGAAGCCATGGGCAGTGTCTTCAGAGGGTTAATGAGGTCAGGTTGTGCTTTGAGGGGGTCATTGGGGCTGCCTCATGGAGGTTGGCTTACCCACCATGTTGCCCCAACAGTCGGACTATTTCCTGCCTACGGGTTTACTTCCTGTCCTGTGCCATGGCAGGGGTCAGTCTGCAGAGCTTGGAAGCTCTCAGGGTCCAGGCAGGAGTGAGATGAGAGATTCAGGGCAGCTGTGGCCAGGTCTGAGTTTGGCAATAAGGAGTTTATGATCTGAGCCACAGTCACCTCCCGGTCTTGTTTTTACTGACTGTATAGAGCTTCTCCATCTTTGACTGCAAAGAATATAATCAATCTGATTCTGGTGTTGGCCATCCGGTGATGTCCATGTGTAGAGTCTTCTCTTGTGTTGTTGGAAGAGGGTGTTTGCTATGACCAGTATGTTCTCTTGGCAAAACTCTTTTAGCCTTTGCCTTCCTTCATTCTGCACTCCAAGGCCAAATTTGCCTGTTACTCCAGGTGTTTCTTGACTTCCTACTTTTG